CTGTAGAAGCATGATAGCATGGTGTCTTTGGACAGGATGAAACATCTTTCTTCAGGATAACTGGTGGAACCTCTTCATAAAAAGCAGGCAGCTGTCTCACAGATTTTGACTGTGGTTTGGAGTTTACTTCTAAAGGTTTCATTCTGTCAACCCCTTGATTGTCTTTACTTGGATGTTGAAAGATGGATATGCCTGTACCATGAAAGGACCCTTGTGCAGTTGTTGAGCTTGGGTTGTGATCAATGTTGTCTATTGCTGATGTTGTGAAGAGGTTGAATTTGAGTTTTGATGGGCAGACAACTTGTTCCTCAATGTATCTCCTGCATGCTGCATTAGCCACCTCTGTGGAAACCTCCAACACTCTGTCATATGATGCAGACATTCCAAAGTCATACATGAAGTCAATCAAGTCTCTCTTTTCCGTGTCTTGGCATGAAGTGTCATTCCAATATACAAGGGAAGTGGTGTCTCTCGATCCTTGTTGTGCGAAGGGATGTAGTTCCTTCCTTTATGCGTTTACTACAGTTGTAAACAAGTAGCTGAGAAAGTGATAAGGCAGTTTGTTTCCTAGCAGTTGTCTGTGAATTAGGGGTTGTTCCTTCCAGAATCATTTCAACAAGAGAAAGTAGAGAGTGTGGAATAGACTCTGTCTGGCAGTTTACATCAAACGCTCCTGCAAAAGGTTTGTGTGTCATTGCCAAAATGTCCTTTCTCACAAGCTGAGCTGCTTTACAGAGTATCTGACCTTTATCATCAAAGTCCTGATCATGAACGGTTCTCAGAGCTTCCCCTACATGTTCTGTGAAGACCAAAAGTGTTTCCCTTCCACTTGAATGAGCTTGGAGATCTGGAAACTCATCTAGTAACTTGTTCTTCAGTCTTGTGCTGTGAATGTCATATTTCAGGCCATGATATTTCAAATAGCTTGAATACACTTTAGACAGTGTTGACAGTTTCAGTACAGGGAGATTTTCTTGTCTACATTCGTCAACATATTGTTTAGGCTGAGCCTAAAGCTAAACCTTCTTTAAGTCTTTGGGAATGACTGATATCATCTGACTGTATAAGTTCCCTCGCTTTGGGTTGCTTTTCTGTATAAATTGGAAAGACATCTCGGGTGATATTTTGCATCCTGTGCCATCAAATCCCTAGTACTGAGCTTAGCTAACAGCTGACTATCTTGCAACTTCAAAGCACATTCACGCATTACGTTTGTCAACTTGAAAGGTTGATACACACCTTAACTCTGATTGCAGTCCTGACTGCTCACAAACAAAGCAAAGGTTGCCGTTATCTGCAGTTTTGTTCCTGTCATGAGGTGAACTTCTTACAACTTTACTTTCACAATGTTGTGATGGGGAAAGGCAGTCACCGCATTTACTGTTTGAAGTTTCAAATTCATTGGACAATCGTCTTTTCTTTGCCCTCTGCAGCATGTTATTGTTGAATTTGAGACTACATGACTTGTGCCAGCGTGCTCTGTGAGATTCAAAGGTGGTGAAAATATTCATAACACCTCCAAAACAACTCAAATTTATGTCCATTGGCAGCTGTCCAAGTTCAGAAAAGACTTGTAAATTACTAGCCATTGTATGCGTAACCCGTTTCCTGGTTGGTTCTTAGCATTGGCAGGGCAGATAACAGGATCATTTGTGCATTTCTGGCAAAATACACACAAACTCAATCCATCTTGGAAGCATCTGTGGATTGTGTTTGACTAGTCATCATCCACGGAATCTGGAAAATAATAAAGCTAAAGCTGGAGAAATGACCAAAATAATAATTAATTTCATGACATGATAGTATGAACTGTCCTTGTCATAACCTAATCCTCATGATTGATATTTTGAGAATTTGAATAACTTATGAACCTGCTGTATTTATATTGATAAAAGAAATATTACACTAATTAGTTATTATCATGGACATGATTTGAACTTGTACACCTAGATGATTTTGAAATCTGCAGCTAAAATTTTCCAAATAACAGTGACATTATTTTGTTTATAAACCATTCTGTCTTTAGAAAATAAACCACATATGGCTTTTACTTAATTGGTAGTGAAATACCATCAAAACTGTAATTCAACAAACATTTTCAACAGAAGTCCCCTCCATCTAAAGAAATAAGATCAGTGGAAGGGAAGTATTATTACACGTAAAATTCTACATAGCCTGTGATACCATTATTTTTAAAAATACCAAGTAATCTGAATGATGTAAATTGGGTATTTGTTTGTTTTAGACAATTCTGAAACTATATACCAATCAAGAAGATATACATTATTTGTCTTGTCAAGTATTTAATGTCCCTGCAACTTGTTAGTGATGAAACCCCTAGGTGTCCCTTGCACATAACTAACACAGTGAAAAGAGTTTTACTCACCATTCATGTCTCCTCAGCAACAATGAACATTCTTCTTGCCATGTTGGTAAAATGAATGTAAAATTTTCCAATTATACAGGACTATTTGACTGATTACATCATTGTAACCTTGACTGATGACATGATAGCAAAGTCATAACAAAGGGGAGATCACTCTCACTTCACCTCATTTCTAGTACTTTCCACACAACAAATAACAGTGGCTCAATATTTAACAATATTTTTTTGGAGCTTCATACAAAAATAATAAAACATATTTTTGAGTGCCTCCCTATCTGAAACATGTTAGAATATTATTTTCTTAGTAATTTAACTAAAATTTCACTTGTAACATGTAAATGCACAATTGCATACAAATCATGCCATTATCCGCTGGACTATTGTTCCTGGTTGGTTCTGAAACCTCTTGTAACATTTTTGGAACAATGTTTCAATTTGATTGTTGGGTTGCAGTTTCCTTGTATGTTGTAATAATCTGAGACAGTATAAACATATTCGAAGACAATGAAGATGGCTCTTGTCCGAATGGCAGCTTCATCGTTGAATGTAATTTGTCAGGCTGTCGTGCAGATAACAATACTGAGTTAGGGCAGGATGTTTGTGACTGTAAACCATTGACCTGTTCCTGCTACAACATGGAAACTGTTGTTGACACACTCCTCTTCCCACTGTGGGAGAGGCAGGTCCTGGTGTCAAAGTGAATATATCTACGTATCTATGTATGTCTTAGCTTGTTTCTCTCTGAACATTAGTTGAATTTGGGTAAGTTTCCATTTTCTTTGGTTTATACAGCAATAGCAGTCTATTTATGTTGTTTATTTACATGATTGGTGTTGACCCGTTAGCGTCGAGGCTGCTCCTCCATGACTTTGTTGTGTATACTACACAAAAGAAGTTAAGGACCATCCCAATATTTCGTATTGATAAAGTTGATCTGTCGTGGCAGATTGACTGCAGTAATATAAGAGAAATGAATTCTGAATTTCTAGTAGATAAATATGATAGAAATGTGGCCTGGGTTTTGGGTGGTTGGTTTTATGCCACTCGGCAATATTCCATCTTTATGGCGGCGGTCTGTAAATAATCGTGTCTGGGCCAGACAATCCAGTGATCAACAAAATGAGCACCGATCTATGCAATTGGGAACCAATGACATGTGTCGACAAAGTCAGCAAGCCTGACCACCCGATTCCGTTAGTCACCTCTTACAACAAGCATGGGTTGCCGATGATCAGTTAATGGCTTATGATCTTTAAACTGTCCCAAAAGTATTTACATCGTACTGAATGTATACATGAGAACCTCTGTGTGAATGACCCTGTAGTAAACATTTGCCCCATTGTCTAAGACAAGGTCTTGTAATGGCTTCATCATGTTTCTGTTCAGCTGGTTGTACCAGGACTGACTGTAGACCCAGCATCCCACCACTGGTGACAGCTTGCAGTGAAAGTATTTATTCCTGGGACCTTTAATCAACATGTTAGTGGTCTGAAGGCTGATACTAGTTAATGTTGATCTGGCTAAACTTCAGCAAATGGGTTACCGTTAAAGTCTACTGGCAGAGGGATAAGCTCAGGCAAGTTGATACCATGAGAGTCATAGACACCAGAATGTGACATGAGATCAAGCTCTGTAGCTACAAACATTCTCAAAATTAAAAAATATTCCTAAGTGTAGAATATGTTGAGGATTTCCTATGTGTTACTTGTGTGAAGCCCATTTCTGGTGTTCCCCGCCGTTATGTTGCCGGAATATTGCTAAAAGCGGCGGCGTAAAACTAAATTCATTCACTCACTCACTCCAATGTGTTACTTAAGTGTAACAATTTTGTTGATGTTGGTTGTGTTATTGCCTGGTGATGTTGAGATATGTCGTTGTGAGATTTAGTTGTTGACATCTGGCATGTAACACACTTACTAATGGTAAGATGTGTATAAAAGGAGTGTATATTGTTAGGGACTGTGTATGTTGCAGGGAGTGTTCATTGTTAGGGACTGTGTATGTTGCAGGGAGTGTTTATTGTTAGGGACTGTGTATGTTGCAGGGAGTGTTTATTGTTAGGGATGGTGTATGTTGCAGGAATTTTTCAGTGAACACAGGGGAATGTTCATTTTCGGGGGAGGTGGTTGGAAAGAGTGTGTAGCTGAGCGTTTATTATAAGAGGGACTATGCATTGCAGGAAGTATTCATGTACTATGGACCCTGAGTAAGTCAACTGTTGACAGTTTTAGACCTGCAATATATTCACATACATGTAATAGCATCAGGAAGAAAGAACTGCATTATCTGTGGTGGCCACGGAACTAATTCACCATCAAAAACAAGAGATTGTATGTTTATCTGGTATAGCTTTGCAATTCCAAATAATTTTCTAAGTAAATATCGGGTGGTGGGGTAGCCTAGTGGTTAAAGCATCAGCTTGTCATGCCGAAGACCCCGGGTTCAATTCCCCAAATGGGTACAATGTGTGAAGTCCATTTCTGGTGCCCCCAACCTTGAAATTGCTGGAATATTGCTAAAAATGGCATAAAACTAAACTAAACTAAACTCACTCAAAGTAAGTATCACAAATTAAGAGGATGTTTGTTGTAACCTGAACTGTTTCTGTCTTCAGGGATCCTCTGACGGTGCTGCCAACGCGGAAATGGGAAACCTTGAGAGCGGGAAGGTGTGCCCGCCCAGTAGTCACTATGACTCAAGTTACGGAGTTGCCTTTTCCAAGAATGCCGACAAGTGTGACGTAACACCAGAATATGATTCAGTCAGGTTGCGGAGGAAAGGTCGACGGCAGTCGTCGCTGAATTCAGACAAGGACTCGGCCATTGGCGGTGCGTCCGAGCTTGGTCAGTCCTTCTACAGTGACGGCGGTGTTAACCGTGACTCTTTCTATTCTACATGCACAGCAGAAAGTGGCTTTGAAAATATGCCCGATAATTTTGATGATGCAAGCAGTGTGGGTGAAGGTTACACATTATCACGATATCCCTCTCTGAGCCAGTCGTTGCAGGTCAACTTCAGCCCTAAATCCCTCAATAACAAAAACAGACAATCTGCTGATGCTTCATATGGGTCAGACGAAAAGTCTGGTCTCACAATTCAAAATGGCGACACACTAGACCACAGCAGCATCTTATTGACACCTCCTTCAGAGGATGACATGTCGCCTTCACATTCACAGCTTTCTAGTGATCGGAAAAATGCTTCAGACAATACTACCGGACATTTGCAGGTAGACAGGTCAGACAAAAGTCATTCATTAAGTGCAGAGTATGATGCTTCATTAGAGATATCTGAATCCTTACAAAGCTACAGTGGAGGGAGTCTCGGGGACTGGAGTTGTGACGAGGAGGAGAGAGACACCATGTCTCCGCTGCCCATCATTCAGGAATCGTTGTCAGACTATCAGTTCAAACAGTCACTCCTCCAGCGACTTCGAGAGTGGTCAAGTTTCTCTATAGATGACAAATCCAGATCACCAACTCCAGAGCGTGTGACAGTGTCGCGGACTCTCAGGAGAAGCCGTAGCTTAGATAGAACTATGTCCGGATGTGTGTACGCCTGATAGTGAGATTTTTGACAATGAGTTGATTGATTTTAGTGTCCATACAACCAAAAACTTAGAGCATATTGAGGATGAGCTCCAGGACATTCAGGATGAGTTCTCGATGATCACGTCACAGTTGTCAGACTTGATACATCGCGGGGATGAACCTGAGAAGAAGCCAGCAGAACATCGGGAAAGGAGTCCGATGGCCAGACGGGCCTCGGAAATTGTTCACAGAGCACGTACAAGATGGGAAAGGTCACCGAGTCATTCGTATTCCGACTCGGAACGTTCCTCTAGGGAAGGAAGTGTGGAACTAGCTTGGGACCTTGGAGACATTGGTGATGATGAACTACCTAGAACTCTAAGGAACAGAAGAAGATTCCGGGCCAGACGACAGAACACGCTAATTCCAGAGGAGCAAAGTGATGGGAGTGAATTCAGTCTCTCGTCTTCATGTGACAGTTCACCATTCAAGATTGCCACCGATACTAATTTAGGGCAGTTACAACCGGATCTATCTGGAGCTGACTTGGAGGAGGACAGTGCGCCTGGAGCCATCAGTCAACCATCACATCGAAGCAAATGTAGGTCAAAGCTAAAATAATATTTTTGTGATTTACTGGTATTTTGTTCAAATAATAATAACAATGTGGTGCACTGAAATGAAAGAAATATCCTCAAGGGTTACTTCCCTTGTGTTTTTCACATTAGGTCTTTCAAGTCGTTGTGAGGAAGAAAAAGTTGTATCCTTAGAATTTGGGTTGTATTCTATATTTGTAATTTTCTGGTGAGCAAAGAAAGTGAACAATATCCCAACTTTTTTAATATAATGATGCATGAATACTGTTGGGTGGGTGACATATATATAGTTATTGATATGCAAAAAACAAGTTTTAACATTAGCTAACAGTTGCTGCAAGGTAATACATCCATTTGTTTAGATGCCACTGTGGGAACCAGAATATTTCTCCAATGCAGAGCATTCACTGACTTTGCCTGTTTGTTTCAGACAAACCTCGGGGAAGATTAAAAAACATCAGTGCTGGAGTGAACATTCAGGACTATGCAGACAGAGAATGGCAGGGTGATACGCCGAAGGCCAACGCAATCAGACAGGTAACAAGGGAGATAATCAGAACACCATAGTAGATGCTTCTAAACATGAAAAACAACATTCAGATTTTGTTTTGTTTCAGAATTTTCAATTTTTAAGGACATTGGATCTGTAATCAAAGCCTAGGCAAATGTAACTTCATGGAGACGTAAACATACAGACTGGTGTTTAGTTTCCAAAAGTACTTACACTCATTTTCCCTTGATTACCACAAAATGATATTGAAGTCAATTATTTTCAGTACATACATCAATGATAATGACTTTTCTGCTAATGGAACTTTTAACACACAAAAACAATTATATTTGTGACATCATTTAGCGAAATAATGTAATGCAAACCCCTTCCACAGTCCTATCAAATTTCATTTTTAGCCAATCAAAGGCTGTGCAGTCAGCAACAGTTTAAAATTGTTTGACCAACCATGATAAGTACCTGAAATGCTTATCTCTTGTTCCCGGGACAGTGGGGTAGCCTAGTGGTTAAAGCGTTCGCTCATTACTCTGAAGACCCGGGTTCGATTCCACACAGGTACAATGTGTGAAGCCCATTCCTGGTGTACCCTGCCGTGACATTGCTGAAATATTGCTAAAAGCAGCGTTAAGACCATACTCAGTCACTCACTCACTCACTATCTCCCATTCCAGGCTTATGCATCCATACCGGGATTAATCAACTGCCATCACTTAAAACAAATCAGGGGAGACAACTACTGTGCCGTGCGAGGGTGTTTGTACCAAATCCTCAGTGAGGGCCACCATGTGACTAAGTCCTGGCCAGGCATAGTGGATACAATCAACAAACTTCATCAGCTGTATCAGGATCCTAGGTCCGGGCTCCAGCAGTGGACCTTCGCCAGCCGTCTTCCTGTTACAGACGAAAACAGACTGCCGCGCATGTGTGAATGCATGCTTTCTCTGTACTCAACGGTGAGTGCCAGGTCATGGAGAGCGTCATCTACATATGCCCCATAATTCACTGTACAGTTATCCCCCCTTTGTTATCAACGCCACTGCACCTGTGAAGATCCGGGTTAGAACTGGTCTGCAGCAACCCATGATTGTCATAAGATGCAACTAACGGGATCGGGTACTCACAGTCAAGCTCACTGACTTGGTTGTCATTGTATCGTATCGATGCTCATGCTGTTAATCACTGGATTGTCTGGTCCAGAATTATTTGCAGGCTGCCGCCATATAGCTGGAATATTACTGAGTGTGGCATTAAACAATAAACCAACCAACCAACCAACCAACCAAACAACCAACCAAACAACCAAACCAAGCAGCATCACTTACTATGGGCCTAAACCCAAACCCAGAAATTCAATGTACAGAGTTACCCCCCTTTGTTATCAACATCATTAACCAGGTGTCTAAACTCAAATCCTGTAATTAGTTGCCCCCTACTTTGCTGCATGCCTCTGATGATCAAGGTTCTCAGATGCTCATATTTCAGCTAAATGCAATGCATGGATTCAGTGCATGGCTGTTTTATAGTTTCACTGTGAGTATTGCTAATTAAACACTTTCCTGTTCCAGATCGAGGATATATGCAAACTGCCAACCTATGAACAACGGGCCAAATACACATCTGACCTGCTAAACTCTGACCCTGTCACTGACCTTGAACTCATGGAAGGGGTCAAACTGCTAATGGCCTTGAACTCAATTGAACTCCAACATGCGAGTGAACAAGGCGAGGACGTTCCTCTGTTTGTGTGGCTCATGTTCGCCAGGGACTCGTGCCAGAATGTGTCCGACTTCATCAAAAATCATCTCAATGTTGTTGGCAACTCAGCAGGTCTTGAACAGGTAGGAGAAGTCGCTTGTGAAGCTTAGAATATCAGATGTAATAAAATACATAAGTAATATGTGAGATTATATTTTATCTAATTTTTCACAAAGATGTTCACTGGGAAGACATTATTATCTCTAAAGGACATGATTTACAATATGTATATGAGACTTGCTTTTCAAGGGAATTTCAATGTTTTGTTTCAAGAGCTATTCATGAGTCTCTTTGGCCTTTGTTTTGGCACATGAAGGAATGATTTGGCCACAGAATTGAAAAAATGATGTTATTACTTAAAGCAATCATTGTGGGATTCTAAGTTAGAATAGGTCCCCAGTTGCCCATGCTGGTTGTATGAGGTGATTTAGTTGATTTTGTGTCTTAGTGTAGTTGATTTTGTGTTTTAGTGAGGGTTTTGCAATTTCTGCCCTGTGTGAAGTTAGCCATGGTCACGGTGTAATAAGGGAAATCATGACAACTTGACTGTAACAACTTAAATAAAATTTGCTTGCACTGCCTAAGCCTGTGTGCATTTGAAACATATCGGTAACTGTTGGTAGTGTGATAATGAACCAAACAGCGTTGTGAAAGAAAATATCTGAAATATATTTCAACTTGAAGACATCCTGTCAGACTGATAATCTGGGGTCAACTTATTCATACTCTAGTGAATTTGTGTTCCATACACATCAGATTGGCAATAATTGATGATATCATAAAATTCAATAAAGTTAATTTAAAGTATGGTAAGTCTGGTATTTCAAGCTATGATGGGGTTATCTTTTCAAAACTTTAACATTTCAACAGCAATATCTCAGATAGCTATTATGTTTCACTCCCTTAAACCAACTCCTCACTGTTTCAGGTTGAGATGTGTCTGTTGGGTCATTCACTGGGCGTGTCAATACAGGTGGCACGTCTACAGAACGTCTCCCAAGAAGACTTCCTGGTCAACTTCCCTGACACCTCACCTGAAAACTGGCCAACCATCAACCTGTTAGCTGAAGATGACCGACACTATAATGTGCCTATCCCATAATACCGGGGACCAAACCTGGAGTTGTGTTTCTTTGTAGAGTTAGCTCCCCTGTCGGTCTGCACCATAACCTTGACATAGCCATCTGTGATCTTTGACCTGAAAAATGTGGGTTCATCTACGCACCTATGTGGATTCACTTGTAACAAAGTTGTGATATTGTGGAAAAAACTGTATTCTGAATGTTTGATACAAAAAATATCAGCAGTGTCCAACAGAAATATATATGTTGTTGATGTTGTTGATGTTCTAGATGTACGTCAAGAACTGAACCTGATGAGTTGATGTCCAAATTGTGATAGCATTGAACTCTTGCATGGTAATAAAAGACTAAAGCTGAAGCACTGATTACTCAGAGTAAGACTTTTTACAGTCTGAGGTCCAAAATATTTTATGCAGCAAAACCCTGGTAATCCAGAATTCCCCTTTTCAGGACGATTGTTTATGAAAATGTATTTTGGGCGCATTGATGCTATGGAAACCAAGTCAAGTTTGACATTATGCTCTAAGATTTTAATCGTATATCTTTTTGAGTTGCTCAGTTTTTAGTTATAATCCTAGGGCTTGTATGTGCAATTTCTCTTTTTCTTAGATATAATTATTGGGTTTTGAGCTCAGCTCTCATGTCTTAGCAATCATGGTCATCCTATTAACCCTTTACAAGTCAAATCATCCCATTAACCCCATACGGGACAAGTCATCCATTGGTCATCATCTCAAAAGTGAGGAATGCCAGCAAATCATGTCAGAACAAAACACTGGTACAAAACAATGGAGCAATCTTTGCTAAAGAAACTACTGACCCTACCAAACATGGGGAAACAGGATTTACTGAATGGTTGGTGGGAAGGTGGAGGAAAGAAATTGGGTTAGTCTGGCCACAGAAAACTTACGTTGGATTCCCAGCATGAGTTGTCTCACCCTTGGGAATCACCTTCCCTGATAAACTTATCCTTGGGAATCTGGGAATCACCTTCCCTGAAAAATAAACTCCCCCTTGTGGATCACCTGCTAAACTCACCCTTGGAAATCCCCTTTCAAACTCAACCTAAACTATGCAGTGTAATTTTCAAAATGGCATCATGCACCAAATTGTCATTGCAACATTCTAGTACATAAATACAATGATTCAGCTTTCAGCAGATCTCTTCTCTTGTATTAGTGTAGTGACGTTTCAGTTTAATGGTGACCTGGGTTTTGTGTCAGTGGTTTAATAGGGGAGTTACCTCCCTTCCTTCAATATTGTTGATTTGCATTTTGTACGACTTTTCACGTTTTCGTTGCTTGTCCTTTGTGCACAGCTACTTTTTCATCCTTCACACTCTCTACATCTCAGCCTTGGTGGTGGTCTTCGTAGCTTTGCGTAGTCTTAGATAGGTTCTCATAAATGTGTGAGGCAAATTGTAGCAAACATGTGGGAGGTCAAACAAATTGATGCTCTTGGATTTGAACAAAAAATTCTATTCAGATATTTAGGTTTGAACATTATTTGGATTTTATTCATTTAAATTTTTAATTTTTATTGAAAAGAAAAAGACAAATTTGCAATTTTAAAAGTTATTGTATTTAATCATATGAATTATCAGGTTAATTTTCCAGAATACTTAACTTAATTATGGTTACAATAATTAATTTATTCTAAACACCACACAGGCGAATATGTTCATTTTGAAGGTGATGTTATCACATACTGAAAACAAACATCAATTCTCATCCTAACAATCATAATGTACAAGTAGTTGTGTCACTGGCAGCACAAACATTCTTGCTATTTCTTGTGATACATGACAATGTCGGTGGTCAGTGTATCACACAATCCCATCTCCGATTCTGTCTTTGTCGGATAAGTCTGAGATGGATATTTTCGAGAACATTACAGTTTCGCAGCAAGAATTCCCACTTGAAGAGTCTATACTCTATGTTCTGGCATTGCTCAACATCAGTATATTTTCATGTCATCTTTCATTTTGATCTTGTTCTGGTTGTTTTGCTGAATTTGAATTTGAATTTAAAGTTTAAAGTTTGAAGTCATTACACATAAGGATGAACAGACAAAACTTTAAAGTAAATACTTTCATTTTCATTTTTTTATCACCCAAATTGTGCAATATCTTAATTTTCATAATCTTGGTATAACGAGAACTTACAAACTTATTCTCATGTACTACTATTGGTCTCATTGTAGTCTTTTTAACAACTTAAAATGCTTACTCGACAGAATCTCAATACTGCTTTTTTAGATGCAGCTTCACAAGTCCTAATACTCTGCAGCTTTCTACCGCAGCCACTCACTGATAGTATAATGTCAATATGTATATTAATGTGTACATCTTATTTACCCTTTTTCTACTATGTCAAGTATGTAGAGTCTTTGTGATGAAAGTTTGTAGTTTTATATCCTTCTGATGATCCACAGTCACAGATGTCTGTTGTATGGCTATTATGTAGATACAGGCCACACCACGCAGACCTTGGTTAAGATAGCTGTGCCTACACTGTTGTAGTACAGGGCGACCATATTGGTTCAGTGGTCAGACTAAGACAGACTTTTGTCTGGCCCTGGTTTGACTATTTACATGCTACCATGATATTGCTGGAATATTGCCATGACATACAAGCAAGCAAAAGATGCCAAGACGTTCCACCATGTGCGACATGAGTTCAACTCAAGGACTGAAAGAGGTTGAAAACATTCATCACCACCAGAACAACCAAGGACATTTTGCATATTATGATAATCCTATTATAGGATATTTATATAGTGCACATATCCACGTAACTAGTACATGTTCAAGGTGCTGGAGTGTTCCCTTGATTAATGGATGTCTGTTTTTGGCATTTTGTTAACCAACTCAACTCCCTGGGGAGTATATAGTTTAACAATGATTATTATGTGCATATTTGATTACAGTGTACACCAGCTCGGCAAATGCCACAGAGATTAAACATCCATCATCTCTGTAGTGTCTCTTTGAATACAAGACCTTCCAGCATTAGCTACAAGAGAAGCAGCAACATTCAGGTGACAGACGTGCATTGACCATTACTCTGGGTGTTGGCTGCTGGAGAAAGTCTTTAGCACAGGGCTGAAGTATATATTCAGATGGTAGTGCAGGTTTAAGGCTACAGATACAGGTAGACTTTGCTTGTGATTCCTTTTATGATATCCGGGTCAACAAGTGATTAAGTAGGGTGTCTGTTATCTGGCCGTGTGTTCCAAATCTGAAATCTTCCCAGTGACTGAGTCCTGGTGGTGACTCTGGTCCAAGCTCTACTTACCTTAAAGGGGTTTCGCTCCTCAAAACAGTGACCCATGCTGTATTGTACTAATTGTCAGTGACAGAGGCTCTGTGTAGTAAATGCAGCGCTCGTAAATCTGATTTGTACATGGCATCAGTGCAGCAGATATTGCAGATTGTACTGCACAGTTTTAATTAAATGAGTTACATCTGGCCTGAGGTCATTTTTTAAAAGGAAAGTTGTCCAGTCTTGTCAACCAAGAATACTTCATGTTATGGCATTTTAAAAGGCGTTACATCTTTTGTCATATCTCCTGTCATGATAGTACCCAGGGTATAACATTTACCAACCAAGCCATTATCGCCTTGTCACAGTGTCACTCTCTTAAACACACTAGTGGTTGTCTGGGTCAAGAGACCTTCCTTTAGACAACCATGGTGGTCAGGGCGGGTATCTGGGTCAAGACACTCTCTATAAGACACGTAAGTGGTCAGACACCTAAGTGGTCAGGTTTTGTTGTTTGGGTCAATGTCAAGATACTCTATGGACCTATTGTGTTCAGGGCCTTGTCACTTAGGTTAGGAGATCCCCTTTAAGATGCCAATAGGTCAGAGCCTTATTATAGGGTTAGGACACACTCTTTGAAACACCTTAGTGGTCAGGTTTTGTTGTTTGGATCAACATCAAGATACTCTTTGGACCTTTATGTTCAGGGCCTTGTCACTTAGGTCAGGAGACCCCCTTTAAGACACCAATAGTGGTCATATTTGAGTTTTCTGGTGCAGTCAGACAGAGCAGGTGCTAGTCATGTTAATTTGCCTGATAGTGCTTCCAATCCTTTGTTGGACCTCAACACTGATTTGTATAATAGAAGAGTCCATGTATTGTATTATTTATGTTATCATGTATATGTTGACTAGTCAGATTGAAAGAGTGTTTAGCAAGAATTGAAATCAGCCTGGTCAAATCCTACTTGAATTCTGCTGAAGTAATCTTGATTACCTTTAATGAATTCTGCTTTAATAACCGCTGATTTGATTTCAATTTGTATGAAATATTGGAAAGTTACACGTGTGATTATGTAAATAGTGTATATATGTATTCTATCTAGAAAGTTGGCAAGTTGATCATGGCATTAAGGAATCAGAGACTTGAACACTAATGATTGTGGAATGGACGTAGAACAAATAAAAATGAAAATCTTTTATTTCATATTGTTTTGATATTATTTTATAGTTTTAAAATATGTGAATAAATGTACATCATTGGAAAAATGAATTTTATAAGAAGTCAGTTGAAGTTCATTAGCATTGTATGATAGTTCATGATACGTGTAACCTCAAACTTGTGATTAGTTGTTCCACAAGCGTCGTGTAGCAATGTGTGATTGTTATGTCCGATGCCATTGTTTGAGAGAAAACAGCTGTTGAAATTTGCTGACTGAGGGTTCTGTTGAAATTGATGGTACACTCTTTGTTTTATGATATGTATAGAGAATGTGTTGTTGCACATTGCTTTGAAGAACGCATATGTTCACAGGTAATATTTACCATACACTTTAAGGATTGCTATTATTTTTGTGTTTTGATAAAACATTTAGCCCTGATACTTTATTGTTCAAATATACTCATAAGATTTCAATTCAGATGCCAAATACATTGTATACTTATTTTCACATGTAATGGAAAGATTAATTATTTTAATTTTTATCTTATATTTCAATAAGTGCTTTTTTTTATTCAACGCAACCTGTTAAAATTTTACCAATACTGTGAAACCGAAAGGAAACAAATTTAAAATTGGTTGATTGTTCTGGACAGTTTTCCTTTCAGTATTGTGTTCACACAAGGAAATATTGCTTGTTGAATAAACTGTTAAGTAGTCAAACAAAGAGTGTGATAACTTTGTTAATGCCTGTGAACTATGTTGGACATCTGTCAAGTGCCAGTCAGTACGCTTGTAGTGTGATGGGTGCGACATACTCAGCTTGTAGTTAGTCCTTCACGCATGGTGAATGTGTGGGTTTATTTCTGGACAATGGGAATAAACAGTTTTAACCTGAATCTATGAATTTCTGTTGTATTTGTTCCATTAAAGTTTGTTGGTTGTTGCTTAACGCCACACTCAGTAATCTTCCAGCTGTATGGCAGCGATTGTGTTTTAGAGTCTGGACCAGACAATCCAGTGACCAACAGCATGAACATCGATCTACGCAATTGGGATACAATAACATGTGTCAACCAAGTCAGCTAGCCTGACCACCTGTTCATGTTAGTCGCCTTTCATGACAAGCATGGATTGCAGAAGATCAATTCTAACCAGGATCTTCACAAGTCATTAGATGGCCCAGTGTTAACTAATGATTAGTCTCTGAATATACATTGTATATGAGTGTGGTACAAATAGCTCCATTTCAACTATAAGGGAGTCCCAAGAGGGAGCTCAATCTGAGGAAATCTATACTTGCTCCATCTACAGCTTTTGATTTGCAGAAAGGGTTTTGTGGATGGGATAATAACATGGTTCAGGGACTGTGAGACACACCTTGGCCAGCGGTCAAGGTCATCGTGGAGTTGGACCCCTTGGCACATCGGAAACCAACAATCCTTGGTTTGAATCCTGGTTTGCTGGGTGTTTCTAGATTTGTCACTACCACACTCACTGTGTGAGATCTGCATCATCCCAGGTGATATAACTGCAACACTAACATCTGACAATTGCTGGATAGACAGTTTCTTCATGTTAAGTTTAAACTTCATTATCTATTAGTTTATTTCACATTACATTAAAAGGGGATTTCTTGTCTTGTTGGTTAAAAGGGGATTTCATGTTCAGTTGATTGAAAGGTAAGTCAAAATTTATGTCGTTTATTTTAACTTACTGCAAACCATAGGTATTTTAGTTTAATTTCCACTGCATACCACCAGCCTTGAACCAGATAACTTTATTGTTTGGATAAAATGTCTGTGATCAACATCATCAGCATAGATCTACACAATTAGGATGCCTGATGTGTTTGCCACCTCATGGATCCCGTTAGTTTGCTGGAGACTAGTTCTACCAGTGTCTGAAAAATAACTGTACATGTTCCAATATGGGGACCATGGACACGCACTGAATGTGGCAAGTCTAGATTTCCACAGCTTCAGTTTCATCTGAAAATGAAGAAAGTCTCAGGGCTCCTTTTCATTATATTATATTTTCTTAGTTGTTAGTCTAGGTTTTTGTGGGTTTTGAGTGTTGGCAGGTGGAAGAAAAGACTACCATGTTCATAGATCTAATATTACACTCACGTTGCTAAGTTGTGTGAGATGTTATGGGGAAAATTCCAAGTTGAAACACAAAATATAACCAGAGACCATATACCGACATAACCAAAGGCATTGTTACATACAGAACGAAAAAATGAAGTCACAAAAGATCAATGAATAATAAATACACTATATTAGGATTTCGGTGTTATCAGATAAGTCAGCACTTAAGATTGAAGTCAAGGCATAAAAAGCACTAGTATTGATCTTTAGGTACAGCCATTTGGAAACTCCCAATTCGTCAAATTTGTAAACAACCAGGGGAGGTAACTCTGATCGTCTTTCCTGATAAAATCGGCTTCTCTGTAAATCAACATTTTACCAGCTCTTCGGTTATTTCCTGCCACTAACGGTTTCTGCAAATCTGACAACAATATCTACTGCCTCACTACAAAGAGTGAAAACGATGGAGAAGACTAGTAATAACTATCTGCTAAATTGCGCTGCGGGGAAGCATATGGAAGAAGATTTCTTGGAGAACAGGAAACAAACAATTGTTCTTGATGGGAAATCATCCTCTGAAGCTGACGTAGTATATGGCGCACCGCAGGGCACGGTTATTGGCCCACTCTTCTTTCTTTATATCAACGACCTTCCAATTTCTGTTGACTCTGAAGTACGGCTTTTTGTATCATATTCCTGGACGTGCGTAATGCATCAGACAGTCTCAAACTGCAGAAGGACTTGGATAACCTACAGAAGTGGGAAAAGTACATGGCAAATGGCTTTTAATCCATCAAAATGTCCAGGAAGACGAAAACGCTTCGCCACTCCTACAACCTTCACGGTTTGGACCTAGATACCGCCAAGGACCTGGGGGTCAACATCTCTTGTGACCTTTCCTGGAAAACTCATAATATTGATAGTACTGCAGCCAAGGCCACCAGGACTGTAGGTTTTCTGAGGCACAATCTCAGGGCTTGCCCTGGGCCAGTGAAGGCGTGCGCCTATACCACCCTAGCCTGTCCTATCATGGAATATGCTTCGACAGTTTGGGGCCAACACCAACAGAACTGTATCTACATCTCTGAGAGTACAGAGGCAGGCAGCCAGATTGGTGTGTAATAACTACACTGACCGCGACCAAGGGTGCATCTTGGATGGGAAACGCTTCAAATCAGGAGAGCCAGGGCTCTTTCTTCTTTAAGTGGCCTTCACGGTCATATTCAAAAACGTTGAGGAGAGGATCAGCCAATAACAACATAACACAATTAAGAGGGTAAAAAAAAATCTTTTATGACTTTTGTATTGTATATGGAAAGGCACAAACGTATATGTTGCGAGCGTACTCGCTTTTAAGGAAACATAAAACCACAAAAAGACTTACTGGGAGAGAGAGAGGTGAAATGTATGTGTTTGAGTCCTGGCTCGCAGTGTTTCCATGCTTGTCAGCGTCGTGATATTGCTGGAATATTGCTAAAAGCGGCGTAAAACTAAACTCACTCACAATAATTTGAATTTAAATGCAAATGGTCCAAATCAAGGGTCCAAATCACGGTGTAAGGGACGCACTGGCGGCCCAAACGTCTGAGACCAGGCGCGTAGCAAGCCAGTTTGTTCGTGTATGCCCGATAGGTTGGAAAGCTTTATATTTAGATAGTATTGAGGGCTTGCCCAGCATTTAGCAGCAATCATGTGTAAGCCCGGGCTTTTTTAATATAATGGTAGCTACTCCCCTAGACTGACGTTTAGTTCCTGAATACATATAATTTTGATTGTAACAAATAAACCATTTAAATTGAAAAGGAACCCCAGTGAGACCAGAGCCTGAACCTGAGGAAATCTAGACTTGCTTCATTTAGGGCTTCAGCACTGCAGGGAGGGCTAGGCAGTAGGGAAAATAATGTGGTTCAGGGACTGTGAGACAGACTACTACGCCCCTGGAGGCGCTGCATTTCGACTTGTACAGTTGCGACCCGTTCTGAATAACGTCGTGGATCCGTTTCAGGTTCCGTCTGATTATGACCTTTGGTTTGTCAGCATCCTGCTCGTGATGTTAACACACGTGATTAACGTCTCTCACCAACATCACTTCTTACTGTCCACCTTTCATCCCCTGAAAAACCTTGCATAATGTCTAATACCGACCAACTCTCGTGAGTCCCCTTTTTTCTTTGGTAGAGGTGTTTTGTATTTGGTGGAAGCTCAGTGCCAATGGTAAGAGATTGAGTAAGGTTATACGACTCTCCTAGCATTAGTCTATCAATATTACCGCAGTGTACATCAGACATGGGATTCACGCATTGTAACCTCGAACTCAGGAATCGAAGGTTGGTCCGGTCAGCCATTTGCAGTTGAGTTACGTCTCCAAATGATCGTGAGTTCGAATGCAAAACTTGTCTTCATTGTGTTTCTTTCTTACTTTTAAGTGATATTTTTCTGAGTCCGTGTAAGAGAAACTGGTCAGCCGCCCAGCATCGTGCCTGTAAAAATAAAACGTATTGAACTTCATCAGATTGTCCTCATGGTAACTGCATATGTTTACACACACATACGCACACACACAGATTCAGATTTCTGTACCGAGTTGTAGAGGGCTGAACTTATTAAGAGGAACCTACTGTTAAGTGTCAGCAAGGAGATTCAGTATTCAAGTTCAACTTGACAGTGTTTTAGGTTTGCCGGCAGAATACCTGCGCTTGTGGGTTTTAGGGGTGCTGGGGGTAGTCTGGTGGTTAAAACGTCCGCTCTACACGGCGAACACCCGGGTTGTATTCCCCTCATGGGTGCAATGTGTGAAACCCATGTCTGGTGTCCCCGGTGGTGATATTGCTAAAAGCGGCGTAAGACCAAACTCACCGAGTCGTGGTAAACATCTCCATCCTGCTTCTCCCCTAGCTGTCTGCCCCACCAAGCTGACTCGTCGTCACACAGCTAAAGTTCTGTATATTTAATATCTAATGCATTTATAAAATGAAATATTGTTGTTATTTTGTATTTTGCTATCTGGTAAGCTGCTGTCTTGTATATTATGTAAACGTATACAGTATACGCTTATCTCATGTACCGCCGTTGGCGGCTTCTAGAGCATGAAGAGTTTGAGTTTGAGTTAGAAGTAAAATCTCAGTGAGCTAATCCCTCTCACTCACTCAGTCTCACTAGAAGATAAAGAATACGTTTACATATTCATTCACCCGTGAAGATGAGCGTTACAATCGGTCTTCAATAACCAATGCTTGTTGTAAGAAACGACTAACAGGCTCGCTGATCTGGTCGCCACATGTCATCTGTATATCCCAATTGTAATGCATTTAAAAATGAAATATTGTTGTTATTTTGTATTTTGCTATCTGGTAAGCTGCTGTCTTGTATATTATGTAAACGTATACAGTATACGCTTATCTCATGTACCGCCGTTGGCGGCTTCTAGAGCATGAAGAGTTTGAGTTAGAGTTAGAAGTAAAATGAAACTAATCCCACTCACTCACTAGAAGATAAAGAATACCTTTACATAATCATTCACCCGTGAAGATCCGGGTTACAATCGGTCTTCAATAACCAATGCTTGTTGTAAGAAACGACTAACAGGATCGGGTGGTCAGGCTCGCTGATCTGGTTGCCACATGTCATCGTATCCCAATTGTGTACATCGATGTTCATGTTGTTGATCACTGGATTCACAGCCTGTTACATTTACCCCATAATTCTTTCTTTCCTCGGAAATTTCTTGATGTTGGGAGTGCTCTTTTTGTCTAAACCTGTGTCCATGCATGGCTAAATCTGGAGTTTTGAAAAATAATTATACTTCGTCTACAGTTAGACGTCATTAAAAAAACATTAATTCACATAAGCGCTCGTTTATGGATGGACAGTAAATACACTGCGGCCATTGTAGAATGGCAAATATATGGTATGTTTATATATGGTATAAACTAAGAAAAGTCTGGCCATTTCAGTGTGCAAATTATTTTATAGACAAATTAGGTGTTATGCGAACGTATGCTTCTTTACTCTCAAGAAAACAATGAACCGTTGCGCAGGTGCTCGTTGGGTTATCTCTCTTTGTGAAATAAATTGCCGATGATGGCGCTGCCCAAATATTGTGATACGCAGTTTGTGATGACGTATTGAACAGATTCGGGGAAACACTGACCCTTTATCCGTCTGTCAAAATTGTCCACCTAAACCATCATAGTGGAGGCCACGGTGGGTCAAGTATTGCAGCTGTATTATTCAGCGATTTTGTTATCAGAAAATACTTAAATATATTCTAGCCATCACGATGTTAATGTGGCAAAGGCCGTGACAAGTGAGCATTTCTGCCGCCATGTTCCCGTTCCAATGTTTTCGTTGAGCAATCTCAGATATTTAGGAGAGCATTGTGTTTACATCAATCGAACTTGGCATCTTATCTGATGATATTGACAGATATTCTCCAATATGCAGCTCAGCTGATACATTTACAGGCGATAATATTGCGTTGTAAAGCAAAGGTAAACAAAGTGTCAATAGGAAATCCTAGAATACATCCTATTCCTCATGTTCTCTTGAGTCATTTGTGATTAGCACATATGATTTTAGTTATATCTGATCAGTTACTTCACATTTGTTTTTACTTTTCTTTGACACACATGTAGTATATCTGTTATGTTACGTTTTGACTAGAAAATGAACTGGTAGTTGTGTGACTGTTCTGATAAAATTTGTTTGTGATCAATATAATCTATGTGAGACTCACCTCACGTTGTATCAGTTCCTCATTATAGTGAGTTTCCAAATCATTATGATATAACACTTTTCTTAATCCTTTTCAATCTACATGCATGTATAATGAAGTCTCCTGATAGGAAACTGAAGGTAAGGTATTATCTGTTACATCTACACTTCTGCAGGTCTGAGAAATTGTAAGAGCAGACTCTTCTTGCTATATGGTTGAAGTTCATACATCTCTGTTGTTATGGATGTTTGATCACACATCTTACCTAAGGGGAACCTATGTTATAAAGATGAAATAGTGTTTTAGCTGTCAAGCTTCTCACATTGGGCTAGGACAATAAAAGTTGTTCACTGGTCACGAGGGGGGCATGGGTTATGGTAAGAGTTCTGCCCATAACCCCTGCTTGAAATGTATTCTATTTATTAGGATTATTTCGAGCGTTTGGGGTTAGATTTTAGGGTTAGGTTTAGGTTTAGGTACAGGCTGTTTATTAAAAAAACATAGGCGTATATTCTTAGGCATATAATGATTAAAAATATACGGGGGTTACGGTCGGAAATCTTTCCCAACCCATGCACCCCGAGGGACCAGTGAACAACGTATTAATCTTACCGAACACCTTAATGTTAATTTTGAATTGTTTGAAGCACGGGTACAAAATCCTTGTGTAGCCATCGCTAGATTTTGCTGACAAGAAAAACAGATTTAGAGTTATCTCCCTTCCGTCGATTTGCATTCGCAAAACATTGGTAATTTCCGTACATCATTCGTGATTCAATGTTATTCGAGATAAAGAATTACTACCAGAATTACAGTACAGAATGAGTTGCCATTGACAGCGGGGTACATTGAAATGTCCCTCGCTTGTAAGCGGGGTACATTGAGAATAATAGAAGAACGCTCAGCCAATCAGAAAGCGACATTTATGTGTGAGGTAGGATAAGGAAAGATGTGTGGACATGTTCCTGATATGGATATTGTACATTGACACTGTGCTTCTGGAAGTTGAATTTTGGTATTTCAGACAAAATATGCACATTTGAATATAATGATTAAGGCGTTACATGTTTCATCAAGATATGGAACTAGATTAAATCGTTGATGCTTAATGTGAAATGGGAGATTCCATCTTCCATGATTAAACTCTTCTAATGGAATCACGAAGAGCATAGTGAACATAACAGTTTACAACCTAGTCACTTGACTTGCATGAAATAACTAAAAACTCGGCTTAAATCAACACTCTGAATGGGAGAAGAATTCTAAAGACAGCTTGATATAGATAAATAACCTTTTCAATACTTTCCAACTGAAATTCAGTTACTTGTTCCTGTGATATCTGGGTCGCATATTGAGTTATCCATAAAACTGTATGGGGATCTGTATTATGTATGACTACCAAACTAATATGGTTTGTAATTAACAGACTTTTTAATCATCATTTGTAGATTTGCATCAAAGGTTCATGGCATTCTTGACATGGGGATCATGTCTGTATTGATGTCCTTATGGAAATATAAAAAACAAACAAATAAAACAACTGCAAAAAAATTCTGAAGGAGCCTTAATCCAGTGTAGGAAAGATGTAGAAAATCTAGCCTGTCCACAGGACTGGCAGGTCAAATTATTTACCAGTCCTGCCAAAATCTAGCCTGTCCTCCAAATATAGATAAAACACCTTCGGCAGTAAATATTCAAAAAGGTTATAATCATTATATATATGTAATTGGTTTGCTAAAATTGACCCGACATGAGGACGGACTAGATATGTTTTTAACCCGTCCTCCACAAAATTCACCCGTCTCGGACGTTGGGACGGGCTATCTTTCCTACACTGCTTAATCAATTATAAATTTGACATTTTATTCATACAGTCATCTACAAATAACAAAAGTACAGTTATTCTTTTATAAAACTTACATAGATTACAATTTATAGGTATATCAGGCCTCGTTTCGAAATGTTGACTTAGTCTACGTTGTGTAAGCAGGTTGAAGTAATCTTGTAGTGTTTCTGCACTATTTATCGTGTGATGCACATTGTGATTACTGCCTACAGTGTTGCTGTATCTAGGCTGATTGCTGTGGATGTTGTCATGATTATCTAGTAATCATGATTAATATCAAGGCATTGTAACATTTGTGCACCCCTCTTACCCACCAGTATTTAGCTGTAGCTTCTTTAGTTTCTGTTTTGCTTCATGATGCTACTTTATGTCATTTGGTTTCTGTGTTCGGCTCATCTTGACGTGGGTGGTGGGGTAGCCTAGTGGTTAAAGCTTTGGCTCGTCACGCCGAAGACCCGGGTTCGATTCCCCACATGGGCACAATGTGTGAAGCCCATTTCTGGTGTACCCCGCCGTGATATTGCTGGAATATTGCTAAAAGAGGCGTAAAACTAAACTCATCTTGACGTTGTCAATGTAAAGCATTGCCGTTGGGTTCTTGTCTGTCATCCATCAGTTTCTGGTAGCAAGGGTAAATACTTCTCTGAAAACACCAGCATAACGTGTTCAGTATATCCCATTCCCAGGATTCAACAGTGACAATAAAATTGTGGCCAAAATGTGTAATTATTTTATCTGACATATTGTTTTAATGTTATCAGACTCATCAGATGTGGTTTCATATTAGCTTGGATAGAAATTTATTTGTTAATGTCAAATGTACCCTGAATGTTAGTATAATATCAAACATTTTGGAGGGTACGCTTTACGTTATCACAATTTGGACTAGTACACTTTCTTGGCTACTTTCTGTCCCTGGTCAGATCCACATTCTTTTCGGTAATGTTCCTTTTTGACAAATTCTAGACAAATGTTTTACTTTGATTTGTGGAAAAGTCAGACAACATTGTGTAACAACACCAAAATGATGTTCCTTGTTTGGTTGGATCTGATGGATCAGTTCACGCTTCATTTTAGACATGACTTTTCCACACATTGCCACCAAATCTTGGTGAGCTTCTCTACTTTGGTATTCTGATTATTTATGAGTAGTTGATTTTTATTCTGATATTTTATGTACAAAACACTGAGTAAATTACTTGTACAAATTATGAAAGTTTGGAAAACTCTGTGTATAAATATATGTGTCACATTACCAGGATGTATAGAAAGTTTTGTGGTAACAGAATCATCGACAACATGTATGTGAAGATTACCATATACTGAAGTACTGATATATAGTGTAAGACAGGAAGAATACTGTACTATGGATCGTTTGTTTTCATATCCATTTATATCCATTTCATGAGTAACGTGAAACAGTGAACACAAAGTCTAAAACCATGCATCAAGACAGAATAAGAAGCAGGAAGACGAATACCCTCAAGCCACAGTGGCTGATTCATCTCTGGTGTATGAGTTTAGAGACCTTTGTTGGTTTGTTATGACTGTAGTTTGGAATAATTTGGTATATTTGTTTTCTTTGGACTTTACTTTGTTATTAATCATTTTTGTATTGTAAGAACATTCAACTCTGATTATGAGGATTCTTCATTCTCTTCATAAGCAGCATATTATACAAGTCTGTTTATATTTCTTGAATTGGAAGTTTCGTGCGTTATTTACTGCTTTTCCTGACTTTAAGTGTCAATATTGACTGATTGCTTTCAGATCGCAGAAACCCTGATGATGAACAGGCAGCCTACGTCCGGAGGGAAAGGACGTGGACTCGCCCCGCCATGTAAGTTACATCAGAGAGAGGTTGTGTTGCCAGAATCGGATGATCCTGATTCAGCAGACTAAGTTTGTCAAACAGCAAAAACCGAACTCACCCGCTTGATCACCATACTCACTCTATATAAACCTGATTAGATATATATAGGACACTGACAGTGTTGTGCTTTTAGAGTCCAGCAATGTTAAACAGCTCACATGCTTACTCCCAGTGTTCACCCTTTGTTAAACTGGATATGAGAAATGTTGAGTGCAAGCAGCTTCATGTACACAGAAACTACTGTCACCCCCCATCTGTTACACCAAACAGTTAACCGGAAGGAGTGTGCCCTGCAATGTCATCTTAATCTCATCTTAATCTCTTAATTAACAATCATACCACATGATTCAGTCAATACAGGGCAGTGGGTAGCCTAGAGGTGTAAACGTTTGTTTATCATTCCGAAGACTCGAGGGGGTTGGGGGGCTGGGTTTAGCCGAGTGGTTGAAGGTTCCCTCGCTCACTCCCTCACTCAGCCATTACAAAAGTTCTAGGATTGATGAGATTCACTGTAGATGAACATGAATGATGTAACTCTCACCGAATACTGTCACATCACTATCGTGCCTTGGTGATTTTCTATCTTATTTCCTCTGCTTATTTTCTTCAGTAAATGCCAACAATAACGACCTGGCCAGCTACTTCGAATGCCCTGTCTGCTTCGACTATGCACTCCCTCCCATCATGCAATGTCAGAGTGGTCACATCGTGTGCCAGACATGTCGTCAGAAACTGGCTTCTTGTCCAACATGCCGAGGACCTCTTGGTGAGTATGTCCAGGGATTTATCAAGGAGCTTTAACTGAGCACCAGGCCAACTGGGATATACTAAGTTCTAACTGAGGAAAGTTTATCAACTTGCTGCCAACTTGGGGCGAAATACTGGACTCGTAGCATGCCTGGATAATTCCCTCTCTTAAAGCAGTGATAAGAGATAACATGTTTTATGTTGTTTTAGCACATTACTTATATTGATGTAGCAATACATCGATACTGTATCCCAATGCAAGTCCCAGCTTCAACACCTGTACTACAGTACATCCGATACTTTGCAATGCAAGTTATAGTGTTGCAAGATGTTAATTTCAGTACTATCAGATCTAGACGAATGATGATAATTTTATGGATATACAACTTGGATTCTAATGTTGTTGTCAAGGAAGATGAATGTCCATAAAATTACCATGATTCTTCATCACCTCAACTTCTAAAATGCCCATGAAAGGAAAGAAAATATCAGAATGGCAAAACTGAACATCACCACCTTATGTACTGCTTCAGGATACAAATTGTTGCAACTATACAGGGATTTACATGGAGTCCTGAATTTGAGGGTCCCTGGGACTCAAACTCTTAATTTTCAGGGGCCCTGGACAACAAAATGGGGGTCCCAGACACTTAAATATTATCATTAATACTGTTATTGTATTGTGTATCATGATCACTACATTGTTACAGTAATTAAATTGCAAATGATACCATAACCCAGCTAGTAGCAAACTCAGTGATAACTTATTGTCACTTGATTGGAATTTTTACAAAATGTATTCGGACCTTTTCTGAGTCCCTGTGGACACTTATAAATTTGGTTGTGTCCATTGTCAATTTGTATGCGTATAGGACGCAGGAATTCGCGTCCTGTAAATCCCTGACTAAGGCATCAGGATACATATCTTATCACCAGGCCATATTCTTATGTCTAATGATTTATGAGATAATGTTTGAACGACTGTTGAATGATAATCTCAAACGGTTTTCCTGTTTTCTTTTTGTTCTACTCAGTGAGCAAAACAAGGATAGAATAACTAATGTAAACCAAAATATGTTAATTGTCTGGTCTGGTAATCCATGTGGCTTTTCCTAAACTGGATATTTGCAAAATACTTTAATCATATTCAGATATAACTGATATTTGTTTGGTTAGGTATGCATAATAAGCAATACGTAATATTATTCCCTGTGTTATGATTACACAATGCCATTTAGAAAGTGGTCAAATGTAACATAATTATGGTATATTTGGAATTACACTTTCTCAGTAAAGTACTTAGTACTTTTGTTGGGTTGAGTCCCATCCAGGATTTGATACGTTATATACCCTATGTTGTTCAAGAGGGGTGATGTCAATTCAGTCAACTGATGATGTGATTTGATTGATTGATTGGTCGGTCGATCGATTGTACTTGTATATGTATGTTGCTTCTCTGATAAGATGGCAGGTAAATGAGGAGAGGTTATGAATTATTTATATACTCTTCAAGGTGAGTTTACACCCAATTCACTCACTCACTCGCTCTATATTTCCAGGAAACATCAGGAATCTAGCCATGGAGAAGGTTGCAGCTACAGTGAATTTTCCCTGCAAATATTCCAACAATGGCTGTTTGATGACGTTGTTACATACAGAAAAGACAGACCATGAAGAAACATGCGAGTTCAGGTCAGTCAGAATAACACAGATAGAATTAGGTTCTCAAATAAAAAATGCATTTAGATTTAGAGGATGAGGATGTTATGACTGATAGGATAGACACCCAACACCTGGTGTTATGTTTTACTTGTTCTGTTGTTTGGATGTTGTTTAATGCTGCCCTTGCCATATTCCAGCCATATGATGGTGGCCTGTCATTAATCAAGTGTGGACCACACTATCTAGTGATTGGCACCATGACCATCGGTCTATATCAAGTCAGCATGCCAAACCTCCTTGTTCATTTCCAACAGCAGGGGTGGAAATAACCCATTGCCCGACGCCCGAGTCCAGTGTTTTTTTCTGTCAGGCTAGCAAATTTGTATATCACACTGTACCGGTGTCCAGTTGACTTTCCAATATTAATTATGTTGTTTATTTATAAAATCAACAAGAAAACGGCCGGTATAGTGGAAAAATTATCAGGGCAAGTGATTTTACATGTTCCACTGTACCGGAGTACACTAGCAATTTTAAAGTTATTTCCACCCTGAACATTCATAGGTTGCTGTGAACCTGGTGATCGCCAGGGGTTCAAGTGATCATAGGCCTGATTACACCCACTGTGATTATTCTAGGAAGACTACTAGCCCAGTATGAAAACAGAAAACCATTGTGGCAGTTTAAAAATATTATTACTGGCAAACTTGAGCATGAAAATCCAAGAGTTGCTATCATTTGCCTTATGGTGATCATTTTAGATTGAAGGGATACTTATATTTGAATACTTATTGGGGCAAGCTCTTGGACCCCACCTTAGTTTTGACTGGCGTGTAAGTAGTGAAGCCAACCAGCTGCTGTGTTGTATTGAGTTATGCATGTTGTTGATTCAGGCCATATACCTGTCCGTGTCCTGGAGCATCGTGCAAGTGGCAGGGTTCCCTGGAGAATGTGATGCCTCACCTCATGCAGTCTCACAAGAGTATAACCACACTACAGGGTGAGTCAGTACAGCATGGTACATTGTAAGAGTACTTGACATGACAGGATGAGTTGGTACACCACACCACAGGGTGAGTCAGTACTCGTGACTACAGGATGAGAGTACTCCACATGGCAGGGTGAGTCAGTCCACCACACCACAGGTTGAGTCAGTACAGCACACTAATTGGGGAGTCAGTACAGCACACTAATTGGTGAGTCAGTACAGCACACTAATTGGTGAGTTATTACACTACACCACAGGGTGAGTCAGTGCATTACACTACACCACAGGGTGAGAGTCAGTACACCACACCACAGGGTGAGTCAGTACACCACACCACAGGGTGAGTCAGTACACCACACCACAGGGTGAGTCAGTGCACCACACCACAGGGTGAGTCAGTACACCACACCACAGGGTGAGTCAGTGCACCACACCACAGGGTGAGTCAGTACACCACACCACAGGGTGAGTCAGTGCACCACACCACAGGGTGAGTCAGTACACCACACCACAGGGTGATCAGTCACACCACACCACAGTGCACACCACACCACAGGGTGAGTCAGTACACCACACCACAGGGTGAGTCAGTGCACCACACACAGGGTGAGTCAGTACATTGACCACACCACAGGGTGAGTCAGCACACCACACCAGTACAGCACACTAGTGTGGTCAGTACACCACACCACAGGGTGAGTCAGTACAGCACACTACAGGATGAGGGTGAGCTCCACACCACACCACAGGGTGAGTCAGTCCACCACAGGGTGAGTGCACCACACCACAGGGTGAGTCAGTACACCACACCACAGGGTGAGTCAGTACACCACACCACAGGGTGAGTCAGCACACCACACCACAGGGTGAGTCACACCACACCACAGGGTGAGTCAGTACACACACACACACCACAGGGTGAGTCAGTACACCACACACCACAGGGTGAGTCAGTACACCACACCCAGGATGACACCACAGTACACCACACCACAGGGTGAGTCAGTACACCACACCACAGGGTGAGTCAGTGAGTCAGCACACCACACAGGGTGTCAGTGCACCACACCACAGGGTGAGTCAGGGTGAGTCACCACACCACACCACAGGGGTCAGAGTCAGGGTGACCACAGTGCACCACACACCACAGGGTGAGTCACACACCACAGGGTGAGTCCACACCACAGGGTGAGTCAGTGCACCACACCACAGGGTGAGTCAGTACACCACCACACAGGGTGAGTCAGTGCACCACACCACACCACACCACAGGGTGAGTCAGTACACCACACCACAGGGTGAGTCAGTACACCACACCACAGGGTGAGTCAGTACACCACACCACAGGGTGAGTCAGTGCACCACACCACACCACAGGGTGAGTCAGTACAGCACACCACAGGGTGGTCTCAGTACACCACACCACAGGGTGAGTCAGTACACCACACCACAGGAGTCAGTAGCACCACACCACAGGGTGAGTCAGTACACACACACAGGGTGAGTCAGGGCACACCACACAGTCACACACACCACAGGGTGAGTCAGTATACCACACCACAGGGTGAGTCAGTACACCACACCACAGGGTGAGTCAGTACACCACACCACAGGGTGAGTCAGTACACAGGGTGAGTCAGTACAGCACACCACAGGGTGAGTCAGTACAGCACACCACAGGGTGAGTCAGTACAGCACACCACAGGGTGAGTCAGTACACCACACCACAGGGTGAGTCAGTACACCACACTACAGGGTGAGTCAGTACAGCACACCACAGGGTGAGTACAGTACAGGGTGAGTCACACCACACACTACAGGGTGAGTCAGTACACCACACACCACACCAGGGTGAGTCAGCACACTACACCACAGGGGTGAGTCACAGCACACTACAGGGTGAGTCAGTACACCACACTAGTAGTACCACACCACAGGGTGAGTCAGTACACCACACCACAGGGTGAGTGAGTCAGTACACCACACCACAGGATGAGTCAGTACACACACAGGGTGAGTCAGTACACCACACCACAGGGTGAGTCAGTACACCACACTACAGGGTGAGTCAGTACACCACACCACAGGGTGTCAGTACACCACACCACAGGGTGAGTCAGTTCACCACACTACAGGGATAAGTCAGTACACCACACTACAGGGTGAGTCAGTACACCACACTACAGGGTGAGTCAGTACACCACACCACAGGGTGAGTCAGTACACACACACACAGGGTGAGTCATTACAGTACACCACACCACAGGGTGTCAGTACAGCACACTACAGGGTGAGTCAGTACAGCACACTACAGGGTGATTTAATACACCACAAGATGACTCCTAAGTATTTACAGTAGCCAAGTAGTATTGTATTAAACCGGGGAAGCTGTGTAGTATTGTAGGAGCTAGTATTACCAGCTGAGTGATGCCATGTGTTTGTTGCAGGTGAAGACATTGTGTTCCTGGCCACAGACATCAACCTGCCTGGGGCAGTGGACTGGGTGATGATGCAGTCATGCTTCGGTCAGAACTTTATGCTAGTGCTGGAAAAACAAGAAAAATATGATGGATTACAGATGTTTTATGCCATTGTACAGTTAATAGGAACACGGAAACAAGCGGAGAATTTTGCATACAGGTATGTGATTCCACCCAGCATGTCAGACTGTTGAAAAAAATGGTGAAATAGGTCCCTGGTTTTCTGTTGCTTGTCAAATCGTGGGAACCTAGATCAGAATAGGTGCCCAGATTTCTACTGCTTGTCTCTGGGGTATCAGAGGTACAATAGGTCCCCAGCGCTCTCAGTTGCTTGTCTCACTGTAGGGACGGGGTAGAAAAGGACCCCCAGAACTCTATTGTCTGTCCTACCATGGGGACTGAGCTTACAAACAAATGTTGCTAGTCACACTGTATGGACTGGGTAGAGTAGGTCCCCAGCGCTGTCAGTTGCTAGTCACACTGTATGGACTGGGTAGAGTAGGTCCCCAGCATGAGAGGGGACAAATTACGTTGGGTGACCAGATACGGTGAATCCGTTGTTTCCGTGTTGTTGTGCTCTATAGACGTCAGATGTTGCTGATATGAAGACAACCACTGGTTTGTTCTTGACAGTTTCTACAGCCTGCTGTACTATTAGCTGGAATATTGCTCCTGTTGACTTCATTATGTCTCAGTCAGCGTTTTACAAGCCTAGCGTGGCTTGTGAAAGAGTCTTTACCATCTGTTATTTCCATTTGATCAGGTTTGGGGCCTTGAATTTTTCTAGTAGATGTCTCATCTTGCCTGTGCATGCTAGTCATTTTCTGACAAAAATATGTTTTGCAGACTAGAGCTAAACGGTCATCGGAGACGTCTTACATGGGAGGCAACTCCGCGAAGCATTCACGACGGCATCCAGTCAGCAATCATGAGCAGTGACTGCCTGGTGTTTGACACCAACATCGCACAGCTGTTCGCAGACCATGGCAACCTTGGAATTAATGTTACAATATCCGTCTGTGAAAGATAGAGGGATCTGCTGGAGTCACTACTGTTTGATATCACCCTTGTACATAGACTTGTAAGATTATATTGTACATTTGATCTAGACGTCCACGGACGGAGCAGCTGACACATCATCAGTGGGTGCATATACCTCAAAATTACCCTGGCTCTCATGGGGAGGGGCCGAGATATAGACTGCTTGGGGTAACGATAAAGTGACCCGTTCCACAAGCAGATCCTGGCCCAAATACATAGCATACAATGTGGACAAACATTGGTAAGGACTGATTATTTCCATGGTATTCATAACTGAAGAAGACGATTTTGACGAAATCTCATGCAGGATTTGACAAACACGATTTGCCACGTGCCAGCAGGACAAGTGTTGCGGAAAAGGACTGCTGCCGAATTTATTAGGCAACTCTTGGTGGTTGGTTAGATCAGTGGTAAAGATTTTTTTCATGATGCCAAAGACCTGTGTTTCATTCATCACGTAGGTGCAACATGTGAAGCACTTTTCTGGTGGTGTTGCTGGAATCAGAGGCCCAGATAAGCTGCGTATCCGGGTAAAATACGCATAGAAAATTTCCAATTACGCATTGAAAAATAATTGTTGCGTACCAATTACGCATTTACAATGTTAGATACACAAAAAGTTTAAAACAAATGCGTACGGAATATATTTATAAAAATCGCTTGCGTAATGAAAAAGACATCGATTGCTATCAAGTTGTACTATTAGTATAGGACTAGTATTGTGCTGTCAGTATTGGATAAGTGATGTTTTTATGAAATCATTTCCATTATATTTAAGTTGGTTTTGATTAGGTATGACATGAGGCAGAACATACCTGCTTAGTAAACTTACTCAATGACATATATACTTAGGTGAGTAAAATGACTGAAATACGCACATATTTGAAAGCAGTGGGTAACGGAAAATGAAATACCCACTTAACATTCATAATACCCACTCCAAAAAATTACAGTGGGTATAGTACCCACATGAGCTAAATCTTATCTGGAGCTCTGTGGAATATTGGTAAGACGGCATCAAACCATATACAATCACTGACATCATGAGACACAACAAAATATATACAACATCTATATTTACAAAGTAAATACTGCAACAACTGCTATTTCAGTTAATTGCAAATGGGAAAGGAACTTGCAGTTGCTTGCATTTTGTCCTCCAGTCATTTGGAGAGATTTTAGAAACACTAGTCTTGATTCATTGTTGCTGTCATGTGTGGTAGATAGTGTTTTGTCAAACCCTGGGCCTCAACAACCTATAGTTGGTTGCAAGGTTAGATGGTTACCATGGTTACCAGATATGTATATATGTTGTGTATTTGCCATAAAAGTTACAGGCCCAGCATTGTTGTGGAACACGAGTCGCGATGTTGTACATATCATGAAATACGAATATCTGAGAATACATATCACAATACACCATGTGGTGTATTAATGATTAAAGAGATGTATTCGTGTTTATGAACATAGTCTTTTGTGTTGTGGGTGGCTGAAATTGACACATTCAGTGTGCTGTATCCGCCCTAGGAGCAAGCATCTTGACCCATAGCAAGAGTTGTAATGTGTCACCTTATCGTTACACCCCCAGAAGCTAGGACCATGATATTCCAGAAGGAAAATGAGTTCATATTGTACTTCGAATATTCACCATGCTTGCTTTCAACTTGTATTGGGTTTGAATTGAGTTTTTATGATGAGGTTATCTTGTGCTTTTTGGGCACAAATCTTAACTCGCTTCTTCTAAGTGGTCTCAGAACCACACCTGTGGTAGGTCTATTAGGTAAGGGAATCAGATCGCTGTATGGAATGGTGCCGTAATCTTTCAAGGCCAGACTGATTTTTATAACTTGTGCTTAAGAATCTGCTGACTCCCGAAACAGATTGTATATATTCCAGTGACCAGAAATGTGTAAAATGTGAAAGAAACCACTTATCCTCAACATAATTACATTTTCTGCAAATATTATAATTAAAACCTGTTTCAAGTTTATTTTTAGACTTTCAAACATAACAAATAGACAGCTATGTTCTACAACCCAAACGAGGTAACTTTAAAGTTGTTTCTTTATATATTCCTCAGACTCCCATGTTTTTATTGCCTACCTACCATATATTACTGTCTATAAGCCGAATTTTGAGGACCCCAAAAATATGTCTGTAGAAGGGGGTCGTCTTTTCTATGAGATAGAATTTCACGGAAATATTTTTTAGCTCACCAGTGCCCTGCCAGGACGATGTTACAGGTTACCGGTACATCTGCCAGGATGTTTGCCATGATTACAGCGTTTATGTTGTAAATGATGAATAAACTACACATTAACCTGTATGTTTTCATTATTTCAACATATTATTACATTTTAGTCATTATGACATTTATCGTACAATCAGCTGTGCACACGTTTCCCGGCTATCAAGTTCAAACATGCACAATAATATAACGGGATGAAATCTGACGGCTTATGCACGAAACATACCATTGAGTCAGCTGATTTTAAGGGTCAAGTTTGGGGGTCGGCTTATTTATGGGGTCGGCTTATAGACAGTAATATACTGTACCTAACACATTAAGGAAATACAAAAGAATGCTGGAAAATGGATATAATTATGCTTTCCACTTGTTGGCTCCAAAATCTGAAGACGCCTGATTGGCTTATGGTGGGGAAAATAAATTCAAGTACAATATTTGATTTTGTCCTGAAATGTAATAAGAACAGACTGTTCTGATATAATATCAGTGACACCATCAGTTATTCTGGAGTCAGATAGTAACCAAGCATGTTGGAAAGGATTATGATGTTATGATTTGAGATAATAAAAACAGATATACTCTTTTGAGTAGCATTTATGTTTAGTTAGGTCTTCAAAAAAAACCAATCCAAATGTGACAATCGGTTTGTGGAAGTTGTAAAATGAAACGGGTTCAAGTCAGGTTCCATTTTATACAGTGTGTACTTCCCAACACCTTATAGTGATATTCTGTTCCTGTGGAGGAGAAGTGGGTATTACTATATAACTGAAGCATTTATTTGTAACTAGGGGTGTTGCGATACGCGAATGTATCGAAGCATCGATACATTTTTTACTGACGATACGATACGCGATACATGCTTGCGTGTATCGATTCCTATTTTAAAACTTTATTGATTCAAATTTGTATGCTATATCCATCTCCTTCAAAGTCTTGATAGTAAAATTATGCGAGATCGCTCCGATAAATAGATGTAGCTAGCTTTACTTAAAAAATAGTTGGAAACTAACAGCTTTTGTGATTGGCTAGACTATTTTGATGGACCAATCAGCGAGCACGTACGTTGCCGGTAAGGTAATGCTATGAAAAGGCGTGAAACTTATGTATCGCGATACGTAGCGTATCGTGACCTTAAAATCGTGATACGTATCGTATCGTGAGATTGGTGTATCGTGACACCCCCTATTTGTGACTTTATTCGTCAGTAGTGAAAGGTCTACACATCTAAATTTTTGTTCTGTGCTTTGTAACAATAAAATATGTGAGTAACCCTTTTAAATGTTGAGTAGCATATATGATTGTACACAGGATACTGCTTTCTGTAGACATAATGTCTATATTTATTGTCACAAGTGGAAATATTTTCTTATTTGGCGGTTGACCAATCTCTCGTGTAGGAAAATGTACTACAACAGTCTACGCAGTTAAGTTATGTTGAGTTGATCTAACACAACTTTACCTTTCATCATCATGATCATGTCTCACCTTCACTAACAAAGCAAATAGAATTTGCTACAGAATACATTTGCTAATAAAGTTGATGCTGCAAATGTCACCCCCCTCGTCCTTGTTCTACATACACTGGTCAGAATATGTGGTCCCACAAACACGAGGGATGTTTAAGCTTACTTGGTTTCAGACCTAACAACAGAAAAATACTGATAAAAGTGGATTTATGAGAATAACTTTACTTGGAAAGATTGTAGGTAGATAGTATGGCCGAGTGGTAGAAGCACTGGCTTGTCATTGTCAAAGACTGGCTTTGATTTCATCCATATTGAACCCATCCAGGAATGGTGAAATGTGTGGTGCTGTGTTATAACAGCGTTATACCCTGGAGCCTAATAGCCAACCAGTATAGTGCCAAAATTTAGAAGATACATATTCACTTGGTATCCCAGATCTAGTGCCCATATCAGTTTTGCTGTTTCACAAGTAATAAGTTGATATCTCTGCGTTTTGTTTTCAATCACTGATTATTATTGATGAAAAAAATATGGTGAATATTTTTTTCCTCTTACCTTCCAATTTCATATTTGTGATGCCAATAATGTCCAAAGGGACGATTTCATTTCATATATGTACCCTATCAGGGGCTGGTACTGGTATTCTTACAAGTGGCATAACATTGTGTTCACTCAAGTCAAAAAGGAAATATTTTGGTGGGAGTTGTGATACAGATCTTAGCTGTCTATGTTCTGTTACCAGAGAGACACTGCAGACCATGATCCCATTGTACAAAACAACTTTAGCACTACCATTTCACTAGACTACAAAGTGCTGAGGTGATGAGCGCTAATTTTGCTTTGTACAACCACACCCCTATCAGTTGTCAATCTGTTAATATAACATTTCCCTGTCAGAGGTTTGAGCATACCATCACAGCTGGCACACAGCCAAGTACCATTGACAGGATGCGAAGGAAGAGAACTAACAACTTCTCACTATTGTATATTATTCAGCTTTGCTTAAATGTATTCCAAAGAGTATCAAATAACACGCAGGTTTGAAAAGTAGGATTAACATAAATGCTTCAATTTATTTTTTGTCTGACTATACTTTTTGCTCCATTTTTTTCATGAGGGGTCTAGTCATCAAATTGCGATACCTTGTTACACAAAGTTGCATGAACCCAACTTGTGTGTCATCCTTCCCCTCCAATAGTAGCAAGCAAGGCAGTACCACATCTCTTGCCCAGGTCGTCACGATATGGCTGAAATATTGCCGATGTGACGTTAATTCTTAACTCACTCACTCGCTCTCTTGCCCAGAACCATCTCCATGGAAAGCCAGACAAATGTAATTCCCTGTGTAGTGGATTTACCCTTGAATGCTAAAATGCCAGTTTCTTTAAACATTGGTTCTGGCAGTTCATGGTTGCGGACACTGGTGGTCCACTGATGCTAATTTGTTGTTCACATTTTACTGCATGTCATTTCATTTTATTTTTCATCTGTTCGCATGCTTGGATTTAAGTATATTTTGTTGCTGTAATTGACTAGCTGAGAGGACTTGGTTTGTTGTTTATGTTTACCTTGGTTGTATGATCGCTTCATATCATGATCCACGTGTGGACTGTTCATTCAGTTGTGAGCAGGGACATTCAGATCAGTACCAGTATTTGATGGAAACATGTTTTGGAGAATGTGTGGATAATATTTTTTTCAAATATTTTTTGCTACATTCACATAAGCAAAAGATGAAAGATTAAGCCTGTAAGTACTTCCTATATATTTTATTCCAGTGTAATTGATAATTGATAGCCCAGTGGATAGAGTGTTCGCTTGTTGTGACTAATGTTTGGGTTTGTCTCCAAATGGTAGTCTCTTTTCACTCACCCTGATGTTTCTTTAGTTATGCTTAAAGCAGTGTCGGACACAACCAACCAACTCACTCTCTGCAGCACAGCGCTGTTCAACAGCTCAGGGGTGGAAATAACTTTAAAATTGCTAGTGTACTCCGGTACCGTGGCACATGTAAAACCACTTGCCCTGATAATTTTTCCACTATACCGGCCGTTTTCTTGTTGATTTTTTTAAATAAACAACATAATTAATATTGGAAAGTCAACTGGACACCTGTACAGTGTGATATACAAATTTGCTAGCCCAACAGAAAAAAACACTGGACTCGGGCGTCGGGCAATGGGTTATTTCCAGCCCTGCAGCTCCAATGTTCGTAGCCTGTACAGAGCAGACTCTAAAGGTTGGTTTGAGTCCTGTATAATGTACTGGTAGATAACGGTATATCCACCACCCAGTGAATATAGTCTCGGAAGTAATGAAACTATTGGTTGCACATGGGTAGAACATCATGTGTCTGGGCTATATATGTTTTTGTTTCAGTAACCAAGGAAGTACTACTAGCTGATGCATTGTAACCTGTCTGTGCTTTTATATATGATTCTTTGAAGCACGTTTAGAAGTCAGTAAATGTCCTCTAATGAACTTTGAGAAACAACTCTAATGGTGTTCCTGGGAGGTCTGGAGGAATGCTGAGAATGTTCTGTAACCTATTTTTGCTGCTTCTGTTTCTTGTAGGCATGCCTACATCCATACTCATGTCTAATATTTTCATAATTATTACTTATTGTCATTGACAATGTAAGATTTTTTTCTGGTTTGCCATTTGTTTGTTTTTAATTGCTATGGAAGAATACTGTGCTAATTGAATCATTATCAAATTCATGGAAAATAACATTGAATATTTTCAACATCATGTCCATTGTTTCTTTCACATGCTGTTCATGTATATCCTCCATTGAAGCCAACTTTTCTGGGTGGTCTTTATTTTGCTGCTTTGTGTCCTTCTATAGCAGAACAAAAACAAGAACTTACTTTATGTAACTAGCTTTTGGTAGTTCCATAAATGAGTACCAGAGCACATTAACTGGCTGACCTTCACATTGGTTGACAGTATTTGTACCAGATGTTTTGATACATAACTCGCAGCAACCCAAGCTGACTAATGTTGGTACGATGGTCAGACTTGCTGACTTGGTTGATGTATGTCATTGTATCATGATTACAGGGAATGATGCTCATGATGTCAATCACTTGATTGTCTGACCCAGACTTGATTATTTACTGACTTCTATCTAAAACTGGATTGGATTGTTGCATTTAAACAACAAACAAATGTTATAATGTACACTAAATTCTACCTATGTTTTGTAAATATAAGGTTCCTTCTCGTTAAGTAATATGAACACAAGTTCAGATATCTCTAATTGATAATCTTACATCATACGGCCAGCTGGCCATAGCAGATTGACCTTTTGTCCAGATAATCCACGGGACAAGAATCTTACAAGGCTGAGATAGATTATGAATGCAATTGTATTATGATAAGAAGGCTTGATTGATGAAATCTGTCCGCTGTGAATAGTCTTCGTTAACACTGCTTCATTGCAAGGGAGGTCTTTGCCACTCTTTAACCTGACCATTCCATAATCTGTGGTAGACTGGTTGAATCAGGTTTACCCAGATTAGTCCTTGATTTATCAGCGCCATCTCTGTCTACCTGTATGTCTAACACAATAGCCGAAGACCCGGGTTCGAATCCCCACATGGGCACAATGTGTGAAGCCCATTTCTTGTGTCCCCAGCCGTGATGTTGCTGGAATATTGCTAAAAGCAGCGTAAAACCAAACTCAGTCAGTCTAACACAGTAGTGGCGGTGGGGTAGCCTAATGGTTAAAGTGTCTGCTCGTTACGCTGAAGACCAAGGTTCGATTCCCACATGGGTACAATGTGTGAAGCCCATTTCTGGTGTTCCCGGTGGATATTGCTGGAATATTGCTAAAAGCGTCGTAAAACCATCCTCTCACTCACTCGCATCATGAAAGTCAGTTTCAGTTATATTGATCAAAAGAAGTTAAAGTCCACTGATTCTTTCATATTATTGTGGTTAATCTGTCCAGGAATAACCAGGTAACAGTATACATGTGATATGATAAAATTGGGTTGTCCTTTACAGTGAGTGAGTGAGTTAAGTTATACCATGCACTCAGTAATATTCCAACTACATGTTGACAGTCTGTAAGTGAGTGAGTCTGGACCAGACAACCCAGTGATCAACAGCATGAGCATTGATCTACGCAATTGAGATACAATGACATGTCAACCAAGTCAGCAAGCCTGACCACCCCATCCCATTAGTCGCCTCTCAGGACAAGCTTGGGTTACTGAAAACCAAATCTAACCAGGATCTTCATAGGTATGTCCTTTTACATGGAATGATAGATTAGCTTTGGTTCTACAAAAGAATCAGTTGGTCCTTTAGTTCTTTTGAGTAGTATATCCTGTTCCTCCATCAGCCCATCAATGTGAAGCCATGCCCTGTGTTGTGGGACGTTTTCTCCCATGGTGGGGAGTCCTCTGTGATTGACTGCTGCCCCCTGTCAGACCACCCATTGATCTTGTAACATGACATCATCTAATTCCACCTGCCATCACTGACATGTTGTAGGTACTGGGTTGGGGAGGTGCAAGTGTTTGTTATTAAAGGGCTGTATTCACAAAGGGATCTCAGTGCTGACTGTTGTATGTCTTTTAACATGTTAGATTTTGATACCTTCAGTGCTTAGATTGTTTTGCCAATACAGTCCCAAAATACTGTTTCTCAAAGCAATCTTAGAGCTATGGCAGATGTAAGTCTATTTTCATCTTACAGCTAAGATTCTTTTGTGAATATGGTCCCATTCTCTGATTAAGGCTTGTGTTGAACTAACCTTAGTACTGCCAATGACAAATTTTTGAGTAAATGTAGAAGATGAAATGAGTTTGTTGGTTTATATGTCATTTTGGTTGTAAGTACAAAGATCACATTGAGAAACAGGCCACATGTTTCAGGCTTTTTTCAGGGTTTGTAATGATTCATGTCCAACAAAAGGACAAAAGCTCTAGGCCAACCTGTATATTTGATCCTTGTTATAAAATAGTATTTGCTTATGACCTCAAAAGCCTGTTACACAAAGCAGTCTTAATGCTACCACTGATGTAGGCCTAAGTATGAGGCTTGCAGCAGTTAATTTGTAGTGCGAGGATCACTTTGTGAAACTGAGTCCAACTTAGGTTTACAGTAATTACAACTAAGATCAGTTTGTACAGATGGAACCATTCTGTTTACCATGTTGCTATATCATTGTGTGGAAGTCTGCAATGGTTTGCCTGCACCAGACCTTGATAACCTAGAGCTCCATCCACTAACCCACTCATCTCACACTCATGCATCAGAAGGGATGACTGATGTGGTTGATCCTTCTGCAGTGAAGATTCCCAGGGAAAGTTCTTGTACAGATAAGATATACATCTACCTTGTGAGGTGGCCCAAATGACCAGGTGATTACCTCAACAGACTCATTACTTGGCTTAGAATTTCTCCTCGTATTCTTAAAAAAGAATTGGATTGTGAGTTGGTATTGTTAATTTATGCATTATCTGCCTGTGGTATACGGCAGTTATCCAACCTCACTGATAAATGTTCTAGAGGTCTGTTTATGAGATACATGTGCATATATTACTCAACAGGGGTTTCCACTTGGGCCACTAGGTTCTTTCAAGTTGCTATAGTTAATATGTCATGACTAGATTAACTACAGCAATATGTAAGAATTAGGTGATCTGTATGCTCTTTGGAATGGTAGAATACAAAAAAAATATGCTGCTCCACTTTTGAAAGGGATGTTTCTCTTATTCAGGCTTGAGACAGAGATGCCACACTGAGTCTTTGCCAAGCATTTAGAAGTTGGAAGACCATGGAAGTTTATGGATAACAACTACTTGTTTTTTAACAAAGAATAAAGAAATTGTTATCCATAAAAAGTGTTGTTTATGTCCAGTAATATATATTGCCTTGAGGTTTGATTCCTTTTTGAGATGAACTCGAGCACCTCTTTTTTTGTAACAGACCAAAATATTTAATGATCACTAGGTTTCTCTGTCAAAAGTTGAGTAGTATATGTCTTAAGTAGGTAACTGAATAAGAAATTTAGGATGGGACAAAATGTTTGACATCAGGTGTTTATATTGGAAGAAATGAGTGCCAAGTACTGTGTAGGCTGGGGCTACAGGGACTGTGTAGGCTGGGGCTACAGGGACTGTGTAGGCTGGGGCTACAGGGACTGTGTAGGCTGGGGCTACAGGGACTGTGTAGGCTGGGGCTACAGGGACTGTGTAGGCTGGGGCTACAGGGACTGTGTAGGGGACTGTGCAGGCTGGGGGCTACAGGGAGGGACTGTGTAGGCTGGGGCTACAGGACTGTGTAGGCTGGGGCTACAGGGACTGTGTAGGCTGGGGCTACAGGGACTGTGCAGGCTGGGGCTACAGGGACTGTGTAGGCTGGGGCTACAGGGACTGTAGGCTGGGGCTACAGGGACTGTGTAGGCTGGGGCTACAGGGACTGTGTAGGCTGGGGCTACAGGGACTGTGTAGGCTGGGGCTACAGGGACTGTGTAGGCTGGGGCTACAGGGACTGTGTAGGCTGGGGCTACAGGGACTGTGTAGGCTGGGGCTACAGGGACTGTGTGGACTGGGGCTACAGGGACTGTGTAGGCTGGGATACAGGGGCCCTCACTGTGCCATGTTATATAGAGATTTATTGTACAGAGGCTATTTTGTCTAAGACAAGTGTATTGAGAAAAATTATTCTGTTTTGATACAGGAATGATCAAGCATTTGGTTGTAGATAGCTAGAATAAGCTTAGCTGTAAATATGTTAGCTATGCAATAAAAAGATATGAACTGGTGATACTGGTTTGTTTTCAGTGTTGTGATTTGCTTGTTCGGGGGTGCAAGGATGAATAGTTTTTGTGAAAGCCTTGGTTCAAAAGGACCCCCTCAGCGTTTAAATGTGGATCTCACAATGGGTACATGTAAGGTTACAGAGAACCTCTTATTGTGTATGTTTGAAGTTTGTTTATGAGTCATTTATGTTTGCCTAAAGTGTGCCTAACTCAAATGCTCTGTACTCCATGTTGAAATGGCCACAACACCCCCTGATGTTGATTGTATGTGGGTACAATCTGTGATGAATCAAGTTAGAGCTATCTTCAACAACACATGCTTGTGAGAGACATCTGGATCCAGTAGCCAGGTTCCCGGACTTGGTTGATGCATGGCATGGTATCTCAGTGATGTCCATGATGCCAGTCACTGGATTATCTGGTCCAGTCTTCATTATTAACAGACCACTGACATGTTGAACATTTCTGTGTGTTGCATTAAAAACAAACTTAGTAAGTATTCAGTTCCATCTTCTATACAGGATTGAGTGGGACACTGGACACAGATTGATATGGTCCAATAGTTCTGTGCTACAATGAATTGGATTTCACATCTCCCTTTAAAACCCCTTGCTTAGCATGTATAACTAACACCATAGGGCATACTTTCTGGTTTATGGACATTAATATTTTAAAGTATTTAAAGATGGCATCTTTTTTGTTTCAAGGGTCTCATAGGCTCAAATCAGCATCTACTAACAAGATGAGTACGAAATGATGCCATTCCTCAACATCCACAGTGGTGCACACATCTCCCCGCCCTTGTCCTGAAAGTTTATTAAATGAGCATTGAAACTCACTCACACTCCACCCCCACCCCCTTTCTCAATAAGCTGTACCCTGCTCTATGTAGCCTGATTTACTGTATGAATAGAATCAGTCACAGTGTTCTGTGAATACTGACCAGTCAAAGCTATCCTGAATGTTTGATAAATACACATTCAAAACAGCTATGTGTGTATGTTTTAGAAGCAGAACAGGGGTCTGTGGTAGCCCATCCAAGACCTGTTTCACTTCCAGTATTCCCCCCTCATCAAGCTCACACGGTATGATATACTTGAAGTATTATTCAAAGCCTATATCCGAGTTGCCATGGTTATTTAGGTTACCTAGGCAATGTTGTATATTTACGGATTTAGGTGGTAACGTTAATTAAACATGTTAATACAGGCGCATCAAACAATGCACTCAGGCATTATCTGTGTAATTAACTCCATTAACGCTATATACTGAGCTGCGATCATGCCTCGTGTAATTTACCAACTTGCGTTAATCAGTGAGATTTGAGCCCGTACCCTTTGATCAATTACCGAGTTATTGTCTTTAATTCGATGTTCATGTGAAAACTCTGTAATTAACGGTCGATGTGTATGGCGTGGGAGGTGAGGTGAAATTGGGTTTTACGTCGTGCTTGAGAATATTTCGCTTATATGACGACGTGCATGCGTGTGTATGTGTATGTGCGGCTGCTTGTACTAGCCCAGACTTAAGCTGGTTTTATAGTGCTAGCCCACTGAGATACCATGCCACAGTGAAGCATGAATACCCAACTCAGACACATTATACTGACTCCGAGCCGACCAGTCCATGATGTACCCATTAATGCCGAGCGCCAGGCAGGGACCAACAAGTACCATATTTAAACGTCTTTTGGCTTGACGCGGTCGGGGATCGAACCCGCAACCTTCCGCTCTCCGGGCGGACGCTCTAACCACTACACCACGGAGGCGGTCGTATGGCGTCTGAACGTATTGCTTCTTGAAACATAGACGTCTACATAGCGTGTGTTTAATAGGAGAAATATTGCAATAACAGTCATGAAACATGCTTGGAACACACATACGCACTACACCAATCGCGGAGATAATCCTCATGATATTGGTCACTGGATTGTCTGGTCCAGATACGATTATTTACAGACAGCCGCCATATAGCTGGAATGTTGATGAGTGCGGGGTTAAACATCAGACAAGCAAACACACAAGTACGTACGCACGCAGGTACACGCACGTATGTATGTACACCTGAAAGAGATGGAAGCGCCATTCCTTCCTTACATAACTGACTCCAATATTATTTACGCTTATGAAGGTATAAATCTAACAATGATGAACGCAACACCCGGATACATGGCGGGTGAGATAGGGTCAAGGCCGTGTACATATATAAGTAGAGTGTACCGGAATTTTCCCATGCAGCAATGCACGGAAACTTACTATCATATTGTCTTACTTTTGATCGTCGTGCACTTTGTCTATGCCGCCCGAGTTTACGGCGTAAATACACACAACATTACGTGAAAATCCAGATGGCAAGCATATATGTTTCAATGCTTAGCCAACACGTGGTTTTAGCATTGACTGGAATAATTAAAGGGAGACTTGACCGTGGCGTAATGACAGGTAAACATCACGCAGATTAATGATGTGTATATACCAGCAGTTACTGGTTCCCTTGGTTACCTTAGATACAAAGTTACAATGTCTCAGTTTCACGGTTCTCAGGCACAAAAGGTCTCAGTTCTACGCATGATCTTCACCGCAATGTCTCATTACGATGTCTCAGTTCAACACACGACAATGCCCTGTTTAGATCAAAGACAGTGCCCCTTTAAAATTATAACACCACTTTCTCTGCAAGATATACGCATACCTCATTAAGAGCACACTATATTATCATTAACATTTCTGAAAATCGATTATTTAAAAGTGATCAATGTAGTTAGCAACGTGAGTATGTTCCATAAATCTTATGTCACGAGACACACAGTCATCACGTGACATAATTAGCCCCAAGGACAGCAAATCAGGCAAGGTTGTGTTATGAATTATAGGTGTGACGGCAAATTATTTCAACAAACAGGCTACAAAGACAATCAATTAGAGAAATACCACCACATTATTTTCTCAGTTCGGATCTTTGAATCAAGCACGTCCTTGACCTGTAGACGTAACAGTGAGTGAGTGAATTTGGTTTTACGCCGCTTTTAGCAATATTCCTGCAATATCACGGCGGGGGACACTAGAAATGGGCTTCACACATTGTACCCGGGTCATCAGCGTGATGAGCCAACGATTTAACCACTAGGCTACCCCACCGCCCCATAAACACATGTTAACCGTTAACCTTATCAGCAACAAGTTACCGACACAATACATGCCGTATTAGTATACTGAGGAAACAGACAGGAGACAATCACATCTTCTCTGTGTACTTTAATTTATCCCCAGCTCAATATAAGACTTTATAAGTTTCCCAAGAAACGTGGGGAAGAATTAAGAACATCTTCGTTCATATGTGGGTGGTGGGGTAGCCTAGTGGTTAAAACGTTTGCTCGTCACGCTGAAGACCTGGGTTCGATTCCCCACATGGGTGCAATGTGTGAAGCCCATTTCTGGTGGCCCCGCCGTGATATTGCTGGACATTGTGCTAAAAGCGGCGTCAAACTATACTCACCCACTCACTCTTTCATATGTTGTATTTTCCCCTTCTGTATGGAAATAACAGGATTTATCATTTACAAATTCCTGTATGCATTTCCAGTCATGGGCGTAATGTAACAAGTAGCGTTCAATGGAAATATCCATATGTGCTCTCTCAGCAATTTTCGGCTCAATTTCAAATGCTACGGAATAAAGAGTCTGACCAAAACTAGAAGTGTATGTTTATTTGTGGTCAAACTGTATAGTAATAGTAGCATTCTACCATGACTTCAGTAAATACTGGATTGTGATTGGTTAATTAAAGTCATTCAGAGGTATATGACCACGTTATACACCTCTGATTTTCCAACGGTATTTTATTTATTTATAATCTTAATAATAATAATGGTTATAGTAGAATATACTACGCGTTCGGTTTTGAATTTCGAACGATGTAATAATTCCTCTTTATATTCAAATATACAACGATACAACACACGACCACAGTTCAATACGAGGTGATTCACAGGGACTGTAATCATGCCAATCCGATATTGATCCCACTAATTTGAATATCCAACTTCCTTATTTGGTATCAGTTGAACGCGCAAGGTTGTCATTTTACACGTGTGGTGTAACACGAGGACATGAGTCAGACACAATTCAGTAATCTCTTTGGGGTCGATTGTACATTTAGTTTTTTGAGCCCATTCTGCTTGACTCGATATATTTATTTTGATTGATCATCACCTTGGTTGTCAACGCTAAGTAATATTTTTTCCCGATGAAGACTTTCAATAATGAATTGTCGTCTCTTCCCAGCCGCTTATCAGATCAGTACTTCGTTTCTCCCCCGCTATTTACACAGCACCACTTCTCATCAATATATGTCCCGTCAATTATTTATCAGAATAGAAATATATAACCAAACTAGTCACGACGTGATCCAACAGCTGGCTCTGGGATCGGTTGAAATCAGTAGTAAAAGCATACGATAGACTGCGTGTAAACGCTCAACCAATCAAAAACAACTATTCTGTGACGTCACAGTCAGGTATCGATTCCTTGGCCACAAATGGCCAGCTTAGACTATTTATAGCCTGACACGTGACCAGACGTGTTGTGTTTACTGTTCGACAGGACAGATCTTGTGTACGGGATATTTATTTTCTGGATATAACCCCTTACACTGGATAAAGGGGGTAAGATTGCGGATTCGCGATGTTTAGATTTATAAGCGCAATAAGGAATGGATCTTCTGTTGAAGAAATCGAGCGATGGCGAGTGAAGAGCGATCCTGATATGACCGACGGGGGAGGGGACATATTGTACCCTCCTCTAGAAGCGCTTCGTTTTGCAGTAATGTACAGTCACTTGGATTACGCACGTCATATTCTCCGAACATTTGGTGAGGAAGTTTTGCGAGTGAGTCTGTGCTGTCCTCTTCTCTTATTAGCCGTCAGACTTAACGATGAGGCAATGTTGAAACTGCTTTGCGTGGAGAGCCGGTTAATCGGTGTTAAAGTAAACATAAATTATGTGAACGCCAGAGGTTGTGAACTTATGGAGAATGGAAAGACAGCGCTTCACACTGCAGCCGAGTTGGGATATGTTAACTGTACGAAGATATTACTACAACATGGAGCCAATCCAATCTTGAAAGATTCAACTCTCATGACCCCTTTGGAGAAATCCTGCCGAAAATACCGTGCAACGTTGAACAACCTCAAGTGTTGTGTTGAACTGCTCAAGTGTGAAAAACAGGTTCAACACAAGTTACTTCCCTTGCTTGTAACTCTTCACGACCGAGTTCACGTTGACGGTTTGTGTGATGTGTGTAAACTTGTACCAACTTCGGTCCAACCGAGCAGTTTAGAACACCTTAGTAAATGCAGTATACGTATGGCGATGGGAATACACCTTCCACACGTTGTTAAAACATTGCCGGTGCCATTAATCGTTCGTAAATCCATATCGTTCCAAGACAACGAGGATTGTACATAGCGTATGTGTGTTATGGTTTGATGACTAATTGTTAATCACACAGTTGTGTGTGACGTCAGTGATGATATAGTATTTATGGCACGTCAGTGGGGGAAGTATTGTACATATCATTCGTGTATTTATTGCTCAAAAGCGTCTAGGTCGTACTTATGTTCGTTTAATGTATGTGCTTTTAGTGTATACGAGGGCGAATGCTCCTCTCGTCCAAGAAACACCGTGAGACATACATGTGTGTCTGCAGAAATGCCTTATTTTGAGTAAGGACACGTGTTTTCGAAAACAGTCTCACAACTATGCAAGTTGATACATCTGCTGTCATTTTGAAATACACATATATCTCTCAACTGCAGAAAGTAGCTCAATCCCTATATGTTACGAAGTTGTCTTTCATGATGAACTAGACCTGACTGTTATGTTTCAATATTGAAATTAAATGTAATCTTCGGTGTTATTTGTTAGGCAGTCGGGGGTGTTTGGGTTATACAACTGCCACTTTTGTACATTCATTCGAATGTAGCCAATTTAACGTGATCGATGTAAATATATGTTATTTAAGTAGTTATTTATGATACGATATCATTATCTTTTTTTGTCATTTTAAAGGGGCACTTTTACCCTTTTAGAGTTGTTCTGAGTACATTAGACGTTGTATCACGCTTTCATTTGGATGCAAGATTCGAAGGAGGAATTATGTTATAAATGAACACTCTCACAACCCTTCTCACTGATCATGAAGATTCAAATTGGGCCTAACTTTACAGTTGCATTTTATATATATCTTTAACTGCCATCTTATTCCTAATTTATTAATCATGTTATCACAGAGTACATTTTAAAATTCATTTCGTGTATTTTTAAAACCAGATTATGAGATCTTGTTATTTTCTGTTATTAATTTAATTCTATTTATTATCTTGAAATATTTAGCTCTATACAAGCTTGCAACATCTGTGATGGGGGAATGCTTGAATGTGTTTTTGTTGTTAACTGGGAATGAACTATGGAGATATATACATGAATAAAACAATACTATCAAAACTGGTGTTCAATATACTAGATATTTGAAGCCCAAATCTGGTGGCGCTTTCAACTTAAAGAGGCACATTCAGTGCTTAGTGGACATGGGGAAGCTACCGGAGTTGTGTGCCTTAGCTACCAGGTACTACCCCAGTGAATTTCACCTGTGTGGCGAACTTCTCAGACCTTTGTTTGTTTGTTTATTGTTTAACCCCGCCCTCAGCTCTATTCCAGCTACATGACGGCGGTCTGTAAATAATCGAGTCTGGACCAGACAATCCAGTGATCAATATCATGACCATTGATCTACGCAGCTGGAATACGATGACATGTCAGAGAGCCTGACCAGCCGATTCCGTTAGTCGCCTCTTACGACAAGCATGGGTTGCCGAGGACCTATTCACGGTTCGTCTCAGATGCGAGTCGCTTTCTCTGCCATTTTGAACTGTCACGTTAGATATAACATTGAAATACTGAAACCAAACTCGCTCCCTAGGTTTCAGGAGGGATTATGTTAATCTCAGCAAGGCTATTGGTAATTAACACAATGCTGTAATCGCGCAATGACTCTGCCTGAAACCATGCATGCAGCAATCCCTGATAATCCTACTACTAAGGTACTAATTACACAATTACACAAGGCACTTACTGGTATTACGCAAGGAACAGACGGACATGTAATGGACCTGGGGACTGGACAGCACAGTCCCTCTGGTCAAGCTGTCAGCTGTACGTTGTGTTAAGTGTGATTGAATGAGTTTTGTTCCCTGCTCAATCATTTGTACTAATGTATCATAGTTGATGATGAAATCAGGATATTATATTTATTCCGGAAGTAGAATCAGCAAGCCCTAAAGTAAAGAGGCCCAATGGTTCTACTTCCGTACAATCAACAGAGTGACCAAAACACACAGACAGACAGATTTTATTCAGTAATATTGTCCTACTGGTCCATGTTACAAATGTTGTTACAACATTTTTGTTGTCACGTGGTAAGAACGTAGAAATAATTTATTTAAACACTGTTTCAAACATTCTTGGAAAATACACACTTTCGAAATATTGCTATTGCTTTAACGGTACATCTATTTTGTGAATTCAACATATTTATCATTTGGGATTTCCATACATATTTGCCATCGAGAAATGATCTGAAAACAACCGATCCGATCCGAACGACAAGTTCAATAGCCCTTTCCCGGACTTCAAATACGGATGATGACGATCTAACCATATTGTTTCCTCTTCCGGTCAGGGTGGTGGCGGGGTAACCTAGTGATAAAGGCGTTCGCTCGTCACGCTGAAGACCCGGGTTTGATTCCCCACATGGGCACAATATGTGAAGCCCATTTCTGGTGTCCTCCGCCGTGATATTGTTGGAATATCGTTAAAAGCGGCGTAAAACTAAACTCACTCATCACCTATGCAATCAGTTTAGGACTGGGGTATTAGATTTACCCTTTGTCATTCTAAATGTTGCTTGTTGCTATGAAAAATGTACATTTTCAACGTTAACCAAAGTTCGGTCATGTAGGTTTACATTCAGTGTCTGAGTATCACATAACTAATCACAGCTTAGTAAAAAGATGTCGGATATCTTTGTCTATTCACTATCTTTTACAACGGATTCACAACTCATTCACTATCTTTTACAACGGATTCACGCCCCAGGATGAACATATAGAGACTTCAATTGTGGTAACACATGACATAGGACACTGTGACCGGAAGGTTGTATTGAAGTGTACACGTTTATTTTAATTGACGTACACACAACCATTTAAACGATCTCCGAACTGAAATATTTCAAAAGAACATTTTCGAGATAATGATATTTTCATCTCTGATGGTATGCCATGTTTGGATTATTATTACAGCATAAACGGGTCCTTTCTTCGACCGACTTTGGGCATGTGTACTGATTTACTGGACTAAAAGCATGACGATCACATGCGGACGTAGGCACACCGTCAAGCCAGTAGATATACTGAAGGAAACAAATAAGGGAAAGTCATTGTACACGGTAAACAACACGCACCTGCTCACTGATGAGCGAACACATATAAATAGCACAGGATACTGGTCTCAGGCTCTCTTCATGCGTGCAGATACCATTTAATAGGTGATCATATTGTCTCTGATGCGTGTCTGCTGTCACTTTCACCTCCCTGCAGGGCAAAGAAAAACATTCACCTATATTTGATGGGGGTAAAAATGAAATGATTTTTCGATGACGATGTATGTGCGGATGTTAGATTTATGATTTGAACATTAAAGGAGTAAGTGAGTATGGATTTACACCGTATTTAGCAATATTCCAGCAATATCACGGCGGGGGACACAAAATATGGGCTTCACACATAGTACCCATGTAGGGAATCGAACCCGAGTCTTCAGCGTGATGAGCGGACGCTTTAACCATAAGGCTACCTCACGAGAACCTAAGGGTCAGTAGGTCGACTGGTCTGAGGTTTTGTTTACAAAATGTTCTAATGTTGTGTTTTGGCGATTATTTACGACTAGGTAAAGGTTGGATAGTAGTTTTGTTGTATTTTTGTTGTTGCATACACTTTTTAAGTGAATCATATTTCTTCCAGCCAATGTATTCGTGTACATATTTACAGAAGAGATATATACTGCATATGAAGTCATTGTATTAAGTTTCTCATATACATCGAGTTGTATACCAGCGATTCATAATACCAACTTGGATATTCTAAAGAATAGATAAAACATGTCTGGCTTTTGAGTCGTACGTCACAGACATGACAGAGGCTACTGAGAATGGATGATACAAGCAGCTATTTCGGGTCCGTGACGTCATCGTGTATTTCTCCCTGTAGTCTCTGCTAATGCGTTAGATATGACACACATACCTACACTTGAACACTTGAACGAACGTACACGCCGTCGGTTCTCCATATATGGGCAAGCGTTGTATAATCACTTTTCTGATACAATATGTGTACACCCTTATATAGTCCCAGTTATATGCAGTCTTTACGGTCACTGAAAACACAAAATAAGAAGAAAAAATCGATAGCGTGGTAATTCAGTGTTAATACAAAAATAAATATTTTTTAAATGGGTCGTCCACACTTATCATACTTTTGCAGTTCTTGTAGTTCATATGAATAAACTCGTATTCCAGCCAAGGCCTACATCGAGCACACCTTGGTATAGTGCAAAGTCGTCTACAGTTCTTGTAGATCTACATATGCCGGTATATACTACATGGTCTCTGATCTACATAATAACATCATAATGTTGTCGTGCGTTTAGCAAACAGTAACATAAATCGATGTCAGCATAAAACTAGTTTTTGTTTGTTTGTTTTTTTAAAATCAAACTTTAGCATCATTGCGAAACGGTCCAGCGTGGAAGAAATGACAAAACCTGTCTTTGAAAGAAAGATTTAGAGTTATCGGTTCAGTTCCAGGGGTCGCCAGTGTGTTATGAGACTGGTTTACCAGTCATTGAGCGCATGCGCTCCTGGACTTCAAGGACAAGTCAGAACTAGACTGGTTTGTCTGCTCTTGAGCACTTGCGCTCCTCGCCACACTCCACTTTGTGCAGCTTCTCATAAGCGAAGGACAGAATACCAGTCTATCTAGTGTGTTGCGTGAACTTCTCCCGCTGACTTCTATCCGTACAGTTCATATTTTGTTGGGAATCTCGCGTTCCAGGTTATCGACATCAAGGTAGTATACACTTGCAAACATACTTATGCCAGTTGTCGAAGAATAGACGATTTCGAGGGACATATCACTCCGTTTAGCACAATTATTGTGTCGTCTGAACCTCCTTGCCAACAAACATGGCGTCATGTTTGGACTTCACAGATGATCCTATGACCCAAGTTTTTATTATTGCAGGACCACATTTTGTTTGAGTAGAATGAATCTTCATGTGAACTATAGATTAGCTTTCCACATCTGTAAAATAGTATAACTTGACATCTTTTTGATCTGATAACCCTATTCCACCTTTGTAAACAGTTGAATCAATTTCCCACAGGATAGCTTAGATGAAAGGGTCATAATACTCATACACTCATAATAGTTGCTTATTCTTATAGAGACTTACAAAAGTGTATAGTAAAATTTCGATGGGAAATGATGCACCTTAGAGTTCTTTGTCAAAGATATATTGTCATGCCTATCAGTCAAACACAACGACGACAATTTCTCATAAGTTGGACTATTAATTTTAGTCTCCACATTTGACTAATGACATCATTGAACAATGGTACTTCTAGTTGCTTCATTTAACTACCATGGTTTTCCAGCGTAATAAAGATCCTACAGATTGACAGAAAGGAAAATGCTTGGCTTGTCACTGTCAGTTTGCACCAATATTGATTTTTCAGGAAAGACAAAATGTTCCACACGTTTCTTTAAACATTACTGTTATTATCACTGAAAGAAGAACTAATTGAGAATCCTTTCCATAAGTGTGCAATAAAAACATTGGCCCCACAATCGAAAAAGGCCATTAAAATATTGGCAAAGTAAGTATTTTATTACTATATGGTAAATAGTGTGTGAGTGAGTATGGTTTTACACTGTTTTTGGCACTATTCCAGCAATATCATTGCCGGGGACACCTGACATGGGCTTCACACATTTTGCCCATGAAGGGGAGAGAACTTGGGTCTTTGGCGTGACATGGGCGGTGGGGAGGCTAGTAGTTAAAGCGTTCGCTCGTCACGCTGAAGACCCGGGTTCGATTCCCCACATGGGTACAATGTCTGGTGTCCCCTGCTGTAATATTACTGGAATATTGCCAAAAGCAGCATAACACTGAACTCACTCACTCACTTTGGTGTGACTGGCGAATGCTTTAACTACTAGGTTGCCCCATATTGTAAGTGAATATAGAAAATAACTTAAATTTCTGTATTAAGTGTTGGTACTTTAGAATCTAGTGCAGAAAGTATTGACCACCTGGATATGTTGTACTGAAACTGGAAATATAGTTACTGTTGGTGCTTGGTATTAACATGATTTGGGTAATTAGACATGAACTGGCTAGCTTGGAGTCAGTAAAAAGTGTCTTGTTCAGCCATGAAGTTGTACAGCTCAGGGGTTTATCACTGTAAAGTAGGCTCAAATCTAGAACAAAGAAAAAATATCCACAAGACGTGTCGCTATGAGCAGGGATTGGGAAAGGCAGGGCCATGGGCCATTTTGTACATAAGAATAAAAAATGGCCCATTAAAATTTTGAAGTTTACTATTGATACAAGTGCAGTGGCCCATTCTAAATTCAGAAAATGGCTAATAATCCTGAAAATGGCCCATTGTCAAAGTTCTCTATCCCAATCCCTGTATGAGTGAAATAATCTTGCTCCGAAAGTTAATCAAATCTTCTCAGTTGTAAAATGTAAAGTGACTGTTCTGGAAGTAAAAGATAACAAACATTGTGAAATTTCAGTTATTAATTTGCTTAGCATAATGCATTGACTGTGCTATCCCATGCTACAAAGTTTAATCATACTTATTTCTGCAACGTTTTTGTTTGTCACAGTGACCAACATTGCCTATTGATTGAAAAAAATGGTAAACTAGAACACAAAATAACTTATGCATTCCCTTTGATGATGTCTCATGTGATACCATAGAACGTTTAAAAGTAGGATTAGCTAAAAAGATAGTCAGAAATATCATTTATGCGAATTATTATCAATGATTATCAATTCAAAAATTGTGCCCTCAATAATGTATTACATACTATGTTGTGATGAAATAAAGTTGTATTTACACCCGTTTACACAAAGCTATTCTTTATTCATGGGGTGCTTCTACATAGGTTCAAAACACTGTTTTCCTTAGTGGTCTGTAGCAGGACATATGTTGATTTCTTTTGACGTTTGGGTCATTTTTGTTCAGCTTCTTCTCTGATATTTATCATGTTTATCCATAATTGATCAATATTTAGGTAACAGTTATTGAACTCTTTGATCTATATTCATAGCTTACACTAATTAGAAGTAAGTTTCCACATTACCAAAATATGTACTGTCACCATGATGAAGGTTGACAGATCAAGTCCAAAAACTTTGCATACATTTCAGCAATTCTGTTTAAGCAGATGAAGCCTCATGATTTACCCATTGTTCATGACTTCACAAATAGAACGTTTAAGTCACTGGAATGATGCACTTGGTGTTGTTTGTCTGCATGGTTTGTCTAAATTGACAATGACATGTCTTACATCTTTGTTAATTTCCATTGTAAAAATAACAATGAGAAATATGCAGAATAACCTACTTAAATTTATTGTTTATTCTCTCATCAGTCTCAGTGGAGAATTTCAAAACACAGCCAGAACACATATACATGTATGTTCAATATGCTGTAGCTCTGTACGTAAATCATCTAATACTGCTGTTAAAACATACTGATGAATTTGCTCAACTTGGCATGCTAGGACTTGCAAGACATCCTTAGAAATAGAATATGTACATAACTGCCTCCATTGTCTAGTGAATAGAGAGTGATATTGGAGAGATGGTCAGTGGTTCGATCTAGGACTGCATCATGCCAGGGATGCTACTTGTTGTCACCCAGCCTGGTACTCAGTTTTAAGGGGATAATGTAGTGTTGGGAATCGGAAACCAGATCCACTATCTATTATCGGAGGACTTGTGTTGAATGATTATTGATTATAATCAAAATATATACATTTTTAATGTAATCACCAATTGTAAGGGTTTTCCCCAGGTTTTTCTAATATGTTAATGAAAATATTCTGTTTATTTATACAACAAATATTTATCAGTATATCTCATTACATTCACGATAGGTGCAAAATTCATTCATAGACAGGTTACAGTAATATTTACAGTAGTGATGAATACGAAACTATGAATGCAATGCACATAGCTTTACGCTGTTGAGCGCATGTTTGTTTGTGAATATTCATCAAATTTAATGGTTAGTTTACTTCATTCAAGTGTGTTAAACTAAAACAACAAAATTTCGATTAATCGAAAATATGTTTTTGCAATCGATAATTATTTTTAATCCTTCTTTCGATTGCTTTTCGATCATCGGAACACCACTAAGATAACGGGATACGTTATCTCGAGTCAGAGCACTGTGTCACAGTGGAGTATCCTTGATGAACTGCAGGATGGTATCCCGTGGTCTGTCTCAATGGAACCAGCATTCAATCAATCTAGTTTGGGCGCGGTAGGATAGCCTCGTGGTTAGAGCATTCACTCATCATGCTGAAGACCCAGGTTCAATGTCCCACATGGGTACATTGTGTGAAGCCCATTAGTGGTGTCCTCTGCCTTGATATTGCTGGAATATTGCTAAAAGCAGCATATAACTAAACTCTCTTAAAACTAAACCCATTTCTGGTTTCCCGCTCGAACTGGAATATTGGTAAAAAGTATGCCTAGTTCGAAAACAGTTCAAACCCACACATACATAATGATATATATTCACATCCCTATATACATAGTATACAGATATAAGTGCAATAATCTTGACCGCAAGATTAAATTCAATTTCCCCTAAACTCACTTTAGGATATTTTAATTTATCCATACCATGCATGATGATGCCCCCAACCCCCAACTGCTATTTAAGAACTGGACAAGTACTTTTGTTGTTGTAAATCAGTTTGTACATAACATCATGTTATAATAATAGATGACAACATAATCGGGATAGTGATGTTGACCCATTAACAATATTATCAGATGGTAATGATATTTGATGAATATTTTTCGACCTTGATATGACCCTTGAACTTCATAAAACCTTTGTTTTTTATTATTACTAGCTGTTGGTTCAGAAGGACAAGGGGTGAACTTTGGACAATTGCCACTGAAAAAGAACAAATAGCTTTGTCAGAGATACAGGACTTGTCATGTTACATGTCAGTCTAATGCTCTTCAGTTAATTCTTCTGAACTTGGGGTATTCAGTGTATAATCTTTGTTGTTTTTTGTCAATTTCAGGTATGTTCAATGGTTTGAAAGGTTATTTTGGCATCTTGCATTTTTGACATAAGCAGTGGTAGAACACTTGTTGAGTTTTTAAACAAAAATGGATATATGATAGGTTCTTTAATCTACCATCTTAATACAAACTCAGTGTTGTCTAGTTTTTCTGTTGCAATAGTGAATATTTGTTTGAGAGGCATTCTAGAAGTTGGTGACCGCCTCCGTGGTGTAGTGGTTAGAGCGTCCGCCCGGAGAGCGGAAGGTCGCGGGTTCGATCCCCGACCGCGTCATACCAAAAGACGTTAAAATATGGTACTTGTTGTTCCCTGCCTGGTGCTCGGCATTAATGGGTAGAACAAGGACTGGTCGGCTCGGAGTCAGTATAATGTGTCTGAGTGGGGTATTCATGCTTCACTGTGGCATGGTATCTCAGTGGGCTAGCACTATAAAACCAGCTTCAGTCTGGGCTTGTACAAGCAGCCGCACATACACATACACATGCATGCACATCGTCATATGAGCGAAATATTCTCAAGCACTACGTTAAACCCAATTTTCACCTCACCTTCTAGAAGTTGGTGTCCCCCGCCGTGATATTGCTGGAATATTGCTAAAACGGCGTAAAAACCATACTCAGTCAGTCTAGAAGTTAGTGGTATAGAGATGACAAGACTTTATGGATGATCCACTTCTTTATTTTGACGATGGCGACATTTGGGTATAGATTCTTATACTTGAAAAAAGTAAGTTGATCATCCATGAAGTCTTGTCATCTCAACAGTGAATATGACTGACTGACAGTATTGATCGTGTTGATAAATAGGTGGTTTGTAATCATTTGATAATGTAGTTGCACTTTGATTAAGCTTCCTCTTATATTCGGTTGATTGTTTTCCAGATGCCCAGCATCAAGCTGCAGAGTTCAGATGGGGAGATATTTGAGGTGGATGTAGAGATTGCAAAGCAGTCCATCACAATCAAAACTATGTTGGAAGGTGAGTTAATGAACTGAGGGCACTCTTGTCTGCTGTGATAATCAGATTAAGATGCACAATTATGTTTGTTTGACTGAGACAAGCAAGTTACAGGCAAAAATGTTCTCGAGCCCACTGAACATGTGAAAAACAGTGACTTCCTACTTGTCCAGCAGTTGGCAAACCCAGCAGCAGGGGCTGTCTAGAAAATATTTGCAATTGATTTAAGGTGATTCAGAATATACAACAAACACATGTCCAACATTTTGCAGCTATTTTGACAGTAATCTTAGCTTCATCTGGTGAATGATTGTGAACATTGTTATACTTTGTCACAAGATCATTCTTGGTGTTGATGGTGGCTGGGCTCTTTTCCAGTGTATCGATGTCTGACGTCTTGTCTTTATCCTGAACTTGTGTCCAGCAAATACCAAATGCAGTCCACCTTTCGATTTCGGAACAAACTGTTCACCTGCTGGAACATTGGCTATGGCTATTTTGAATACCTATTTTGAAAGATTACCTATATATACATTGTATTATACTGATGAATGACATTGGTTCACCAGTTTCAAATAAAGTTCACCAATTATTCATCTAATCAATTTCCTGTTTTTCAATTTCATCATTTTAGTTGAAATAATGTTCATCAATTGATCCAGCAATCCAGCACTAAGTGAAAAGTGTTCACTCCTACAAATTGACTAAACAAATTTCTCTCTAAATGTTAGAGATGCCCCCCTAATCCCCTATTGTCTGACCAATCAGCACACATGGTCGATTTTACACCTGAAACAATAGGTGCTTGACAAGTAGGAAGACCCACTAAAAAACATGTAGTTGAAGACAAGCTGTGTGTTTGATAAATAGAAGGTGAGGCTTATTTGGATTTTGACACAACCTTGTGTCGTCTTATACTTGTCTTGTATACAAAGTTGATGTAGTTGTAAATTAGCACAGTTTCAGTTTATTATACCCCTGGTTTAAAACACGAGGGATATAGAGATCAATTTGTTCATCAGTCTGGCAACCAAAGTTTTTTCATGTTCAGTGCAAAAATCCAAAATCGTGAATATTTCTTTATAAACTTACTATACAGATCGAGGGGCGGTGGGGTAGCCTAGTGGTTTAAGCGTTCACTCATCATGCCGAAGGCCCGGGTTCGATTCCCCACATGGGTACAATTTGTGACGCACAATTTGTGATTTGTATTAACCACCTTTCATGATTTGCAATATTGAAAAATACTGAACATATTCCGGGTTTTTCTCAACTGGAGGTATAGTGGCATAGAACTGAAAGTGGGACATAAGCAAACAAACTCCATTTTAGAATTGCGCCAGTCTTAGGGAATAAGTCTTATTTTCAAAGTGAAATACATGGTTTTCAGACCTGGGAATGGATGAGGATGAAGAAGAGCCAGTCCCACTTCCTAATGTGAATGCAGCCATCTTGAAGAAGGTTGTACAGTGGTGCACCTACCACAAGGACGACCCCCCACCACCAGAAGATGATGAGAACAAGGAGAAGAGAACAGATGATATCTGTTCCTGGGATGCTGAGTTCCTCAAAGTAGATCAGGGAACACTCTTTGAACTTATTCTGGTAAGTTCATCATCCTTAACAGTGTGGGTCATTAGCGTATGCATTTTTAATGTTCAAAGTTTACACGATATACAGCTTTTCCATTGGACAGGGGTCCTAGGAGACTTCATACTTAGGTAAAAACTCCTGGGAATTCCTTAGCATAAGTAAATACAGAGGCATGATCTGAACATTGTGGCACTTCAGTCTTTAACATAGTGTTTTTGCAACATTGGGAAAATAGTGTTTGATTATGCCCATGATGGAGCAAGTTTCACTGTTACCTCATTACCGATCAGGGGTGGTGGGGTAGCCTGGTGGGTAAAGCGTTTGCTCGTCACGTTGAAGACTGGGGTTTGATTCCCAACATGGGGACACATTTCTGGTGTTCCCCTGCCATGTTGTTTCTGGAATATTGCTATTAAAATGTGGTGTAAAACTAAACTCACTCATTATCGATCAACTTTCTCTATTTGCAGGCTGCCAACTACTTAGACATCAAGGGTTTGTTGGATGTCACATGCAAGACTGTAGCTAACATGATCAAAGGCAAATCCCCAGAGGAGATCAGGAAAACATTTAACATTAAGAATGACTTCACACCGGCTGAAGAAGAACAGGTAACGCTCAGTCAACATCAAAGTGGATCGGTGATCATTTGTGTTAGCTACACACTTATATGTGTAGACCATGGTCCATCTAACAGAACAGATATGCAGCAACCCATGCTTGTCTCCTGTAACATTGTCTTGATCTTTAGATAGCAGTATATTTTGAAAAGGTGATCAATATTAGCCTTGGTGGTATGATGTTGGAGTTATGCCCCTTTGTGCATTGTCTGCTCAGCTGGCTTTCCTGTGACATTTCCCTACAACTAGGAAGAAATGTTTTGCTTTCTCTTGCTGACTCATTCAGTTTACAATCTGATGTTACAATAGAAACAGGAAACCTCTGATGTTAATGGAAGAGGCCCAGTTGGGGTGAGCTATTTTTAAACTGTTCATTGGGAACAATAGGACAGAGGTTTCCACTATACCTCGGAAAGAAATGGAGATAAGCAATAATGTATGAGTCAGGACATGTACAAAATATCAATTTTATCATAAAAATTACATTATTTTCTGTTTAAAGGATTCCTAATTAGGAATAATACTGACACAGTTTGCAATTGGCGTTAGACACAGTCAGTAGTACAAGATGTATGATCATGTTGAGGGAGTAGTTCTTTCCCAATATATTTTGATTTCAGGTGAACCTATTGTGTGTAATGTGGACTTGTTAGATATGATCAGTGGTGTTAAGCTGTGTCTGCCTTAGCCACAAGAGCCCTTTTCTTCATGTTTGTTTGTTACTTAATACTGCACTCAAGCATGAATCAACCAAGTCAGCAAGCCTGACCACCCAAACATTGCCTCTTATGATAAACGCTGGATGTTAAGGTCCACTTCTAATCGAGACCTTCCATGGTTTCCAGTAAATTAATGTCTCATATTCATAACTATTCACTCATGTGTTATTACTTGCAATATATTGCAAAGTGTTGCTTCCATTTGTGCTCAATGAGGCTGGTATGAAATAAAGTATGAGATGTAGCCAGGATCTTGCAATGACAGCCCAAATCTATTTTTGTGTAAATTTCAGGTTCGTAAGGAGAATGAGTGGTGTGAAGAGAAATGAGCTGTGACACCTCCCAGTTGACGGTAGAGGAATTCATGGATGTCAGTTGTCCCTGTCTTCAATAACAACACACTGTCAAGGGAAGCACATCATCACCATCACCACCTTGACACCATTGTGCAGGATGTAATCAGCTCTTAATTGTTAACTTCTGGAAGGACCAGTGTAAGACAAATTGGAACAGTGAAACCCTGCGAGAAGTCATTACAAACAACTTTTCAATAATCCACTTTGCAGCGTTTGAGGTTATTTTGCGATTTTTTCATTAGATAAAGTTACTTGTGTTGAAACATTAATTTTGAAATCTATCCAGATCAATAGTTGAATACAGGAACAGTTTTGTGTTTAGAAGAATCCATGGGTTGTGTGACTTCTGGCATAAGGAAGTGATCCTAGGTTTCCAAGTTTGAGTAATGCTTGGTGGTGAATTAGTCTTGCACCAGCGGTGGGCCCTGTGATACTGATTATAACAACATTGGTGATATATACATTTCTCTCATTGCTCACTGACAACTATCATAGGCGCTAATTTATGTTCCGTTGATCCTGTTGACGACTTCTTCCTGTATACCAATCCTTGTCATTCTGTAATTTGGTGTTTTAGATTGTGAGGATATTTAACACAGTATTTCATGTGCAGATTTCATAATGTATGGTTGCAGCACACAATAAAAGCACTGAGAAATGTGGAAAATGGTTTGTGGAAAAAATAATTTTAAATGGCCAATTATAATGTCAGAATAAACTTTGATGAGAACTGTTGGATTGTTTAAATATTCCTGACCACCCACTTGAGTTGTGTTCATTGCTTTTCACTTGATATTTGTCTTGAACACCTTCCACAAGAACTGTCCATAAACATTTCTCTTTTTTGTACAAAGTGATAAAGAATAGTGTGGTAAATAATAAACTGATGTTTTAACTTCAAACATCATTGTCTTGTTCTTTTGCTTGTTTCAGGTTATTTTGCCACTTTTTGTCCTTTTTTAGGGACAGCATGGTTTCACTGCATGCATGAATCTTGCTCACAAAGCTCTGCAACCAATTTCAAATAGAAGATAATTCATAATAGAATACCAACTACTGTAGTGTTACCAACCCCAATACTGGTGCTGGTTCAAGTTCATCACCTATGTTATGGGTACAATATGCACAGCCCATTTCTGGTGTCCCCTGCCGTGATATTGCTGGAATATTGCTAAAAGCGGCGTAAAACCATACTCACTCTCTCATCACCTATGCAATCAGTTTTGGACTGGGGTATTAATGTCAAGGGGCAGTGGGGTAGCCTAGCATTCGCTCGTCATGTGAACACCTAGGTTAGTGTCCCCATATTGATACGTGTGTGAGCCCATTTATGGTGTCGTTTCGGAGTATATTCTTACTCCTTCACCAGATGATGAAGGGAAAAGGACGATGTTTCAAGTGAAGGAATTAAAAAATACTCCAAAATGTATTGTCCCTCATTATAAAGAAGTTGACATCCTTTACTTTTCATTTAATATTACGCCATTGTTTTCCCTCTTCACAAGAAATTGCATCACATTAGAACAGACTCTTAATGCAGAAACATTTTTTACAAGCGGTTTCTTTTCAATAAGTGAAGAAAGTGACAACACATATTCTGAATCTGTATGAGAGGGTAATGTGTGAAAGTACAGAGAAACTTACCTCATGTTATTGTGGCATCATTGTTAGTACTTCAATATATGTAGTTACATTAACTTTCAGGTGAATTCATGTAATAAACTAACTATAATATTCATCTTCAGGATACATTCACACAAAATGAAAAGCAACAACTGTATTTCCACTGTAAATTGTTTCCAGTTTATTCATGACAAAAAGTTTGAGACAGAACATTGTCAAAGCAGTGTACACGTTACAGGATATTCAAAGCAAATAAAATGTTGTTTACCTATAGTCAATACTGATGGACCAGCCCTGCCCACTGTCTGTCGTACCGGTGTTCGGGGAACCGGAACATGTACTCACCATTGAAACGTGATATGCATCAGTGAACACAATATCACCTCAGCAAGGCAGTCTGGTATACATAAGGATCAACAAGATCCGTTTGTGAAATAACAATTTTGATTTAGTATTGTTGCTGGGGGGTCATACGAACTCAACAAGCCCATATTCTATCTGACTAAGTAGTTGCACACAATGACTCCATGTTATGACTGCGAAGGCAAACACATATCACAGACATCACTTGTGCAAGTGACACGACCCCAATCATTTGGCCTGACCTGTCACTGATCCTCTCATAATACTCATGTGACATTAGTATTACATATGTACAGCCTCCATATTCTTTTCTTAGCCCCAACACCTGTACGAGAGATGTAGGAAGGTCAAGGTCCTTTGTGAGCTCCATCCATTTCAAATTTAAATGAGCATAATCATGCTTATTGTCATAACAAACAATATTAATTTCTTAGACATCTAACCTGTGATATCAAGATTCATGCAAGTCACACAACAGAATCATTTACCGATGAAGTTGGTTGTTTGTGGTAGCAAAATTGACAGGATAAAAATAGAACAATGTTGATTTAGAAAATAAGGATGTTTATGATTGTCTGACTGTCAATGTATGAGAGGAGCTCGGCTGAAATGAAGCTTCCCATTTCATGAACTCAACTTGCTTTCAATGATTATGAGTGACATTTGAGATCGATCTACAACTTTGATTGAAATGAATCTTGTGCTTTGTGACTTCACATTCAATCTGGATAGGGGTTACATTTGTTAAATTGAAGAAGTAAATGTAATTGTGAACAAAATTTACAGCAGTGGCGATGGCAACAAAGTCAGTAATTGTAAGTACATATTTAGCAACCTGCCCTAATATCCCAGATTTCTATTTCATTTCCACGTTTATTAACCACAAAATGATATGGGATGGAAATGGACATATGTCACAACCTTGTGTTTCTAGTTGAACATGCAAGCCCACAACTGCCAATCAAGAGGGCTAAATGTCTGACGCTGACTGACAGCACAAGGCTCTTGCTCTAAGTTCAACAGACTGAAGGCTTCGTTCCAAACAGTCAGGTTGTAATACTGTGCCCAACATTATGGACCTGATATGTACGATTACTGGGCAATACTTAGCATTTAGTTGAAATATTTAAAAATATTTAATATATTGACAATATTGATCTTTCAAATTTCAGACTCCTCAACCAAACAAGTTTTATACATATACACCTTGGTTGATTTAAGTTGTTGAAAAATTACTTTGCTGGCTGTCAAAATCAGCAAAGGTTCATGAGCTCAAATAGACAGAAACTTCCTCCCCAAATTACCATGAGAAGACCCCTTCATGATTTTTCAGGCAGGCTTGTTAATATCGGAACTTAACACCTATTTGTTCCTTTCTTCATTTTAAAACCAACAAAATAAGAACTTCACATGAGCATCATACATTTATTCATTTGACACAAAAGGCGACAACAATCTTATGTCTTAAATTAGAAATATGTACAATTTTACAGAGTGAAAGGTTGCAGATACTGCTTCATGGCCACCACTATCACTACCAGAACTGCCGTAACGGTCTCAGCATATATAAATATTAAAGACGATAACAGTTGATTCTGCGAACAGGATCTGTGAGGGAGACTTGCCCTCTTCCTGCTCTGGCTACTGGTCGAACAATTCTCAGCACCAAGATCGGCTAATTCTAAAACAACACTAACACTCCAATAGGGCACAGTCCTCTAGAATACACATTTACAGAACAGCGAGTTCATTTATCACAGATAAAAAAGGTCTTTAAATTAACAACAAAGAAATCAATTATATTTGGATCGTCAATGGTGTAAACAGAAATGGGAAATGAGCCGGTAGTATGCTATTGTATATGCCTATTGAGTAATCATGATTAAAAACACCACGATCAACAACTATGCACAAATATACAAACACCGTACATGGATGTAATGACAACAACTAACTATGACCTGTGTCCATCTGTCGGTTCGTCAGTCTGGTGTTGCGGTAGGCTGTGGCGTGTGACACGCCGCGTTAAAGAAGGTATAAAAGTAACAAGCATTAACAACAGAGAGAGCAACAATTTGCCATAACTGTGAGTCGTGGCCGACAGCCGAGCAAATGGCTGTTCGGCTTGACCGACTAACCAGTATACCACAAGGGTAATGGGTTAAGGCAATGTGAAATACCAGCACACACTGGTCGCACAATGATTCAGCACTTGATATGCCAAGCTTAACACATAGCGGCGGCGTCTCTACCTCCCATATGGCCACATACAGATGATGAACACTGTTTTCTGGGTATTATGCGTTGCACTTGAGATGTGACGTGGCACATCGTGAGTAGAAAATCGCACAAAGCAGAACATATTTCCTGCTGTTGGTCGGGCTTGCTGCGTCATCGGTGCCGCCAGGTGAGTTTGGCAGCTGTGGGTTGATGCCTGTGTGGTGTGGCGGCGCCCTCATACCTCGTCCCCGCCGTGGAAGAAGAAGTTATATTGTTCAATGAGGGTTTGCATGATGTTGACCAGGAACACAGAGTACTGGCCCATCTGCTCGTACGACGTGATCTCCACCCGCATCAGGGTCGGCCACCAGCATCGGGCCAGGTTGGAATCATCCATGCTGTTGTGCTCGCTGTGTTCTGATACTCTGTAACACAACATACCCAGATTAACACAATGCATGTAGGCAATGCACCCAGATTACACAACATTCCCAGATTACACAATGCACCCAGATTACACAACATACCCAGATTAACACAATGCATGTAGGCAATGCACCCAGCTTACACAACATACCCAGATTACACAATGCACCCAGATTACACAAAGCACCCAGATTATACCCATTGTATTACAGCTATAATTACCAACTGTACTACCATAAAATCAAATTGAACCGGAAGTACATACACTTGCATCAACTTTTTGACTGAAGAGCAGCACTTTCACTTCGTATCAGGTTTATCAGAATATTTCAATAATGAACAAACTTTATGGATAACAACAGATTCTCGTACCATTGTCATGCGGTACCTGTTGTTATCCATTAAGTTTCTTCAATATTGTACATCCCAACTTGCAGCTCAAAGAAGTCAGAATATTTCATTTAGGTATTTTGTATAACAGGTTGGAATGGGGCATATAACACATTGAACCCATGTATGTAAATGTCCTGACCAACTGTCTGACAAGACCTACCTGTGTAGATGTGTGATAAGATACTTCAGTACTTCAAAGTTCTGTTTGTACTTCTGATCAGGCAGTTTCTTGAGGACTCCTCGCAGGGCTAACAACCGACTGCTCTTGTCTCGAACACCTACAACACAATGGCCGTTCATGTAACAACACATGCCAGTATTTCCACAGATTTTCATTTCCATCCATTAGGGTTGATTATAGATTTACACCAATATAAGCTCTGTTTACTTGTGTTATAAGCAACAATATCATATACAATATATATCCACAAACCTCATATCCAAATTGAAATTACTTGGTGCAGAATTTACTCATGCTAACATGCAACATTCCTAATTAATTTACTGGTGTGTCATTTACTTTTCATTTGCAAACAATAAAAACATAATTATTTATTTGTGAAGAAAAAAAGAGAACATCTAATTGAGAGGTACCAAAACACCAGAGGCAGAGATATCTTCAACAGAATCTATATTAGTAAGATAGAAAGTGATAACTAAGCACTTCCCTCTTAATGTGCAAGGCAGATACTTGCTGAGTGATTAATGACATGGCTTGTGTACAAGCTGTTCCCATTGCTAATATAGGAGCCAGGTTTAGTTGGCGTTCTAGGACACATATTCTAATGGCGCAGCAGTGTTTCTACAGTATTAGTTGTGCTCAGACACCTACCTCCGAGAATAAAACATAAAATTACACAAAATAGTGAATGTAAGTAAGATTTCAAGCCAAGTTGTCGCAGCTTTTACCTTTTCTGTCTTTTCCATCTAGATGCACAAATGAATTATGTACAGACTCAACTTATTTCTATTATGTAAGCAGAAACACATTTAGTACTTTAACCTTCTTTGAAGCATTTCCTGCCCCTTAAAAATCAATGGGCGCTACACTTCCAAGGCGAATATCGTGCATCAGAAGAATTGTCACAAGCAACTGTGTTCTTCGACAGGGTCTTATCAATACATGTGTAATATAATAATACGTGGCTGCTTAAAAAGGTGGTATAAACTGTGATGTTACAATTGTAGATGTTACGTGTCCTTTACTTATGACAATCATATCATGGTGTAACACATTGTGTAAGTACGAAAGACCTTAATCAACTATCAATGGACCAGGCCAATAATTAAGCCTGTACCAATGACCGCTACTATCCACAACTCAACCAAGTGACCCAGGTTGACCACCCAATCCAGCCACGAATAGCTAGGAATAATGTGTAACCTGTATTCTCTAAGGTTACCATGGAAACGCCATTCCTGCAACTGCTGACACAAGATTTACACCAATACGAAGCACATGGACTGAGCTAATGGGACCTACCTGCTGCAATGATGAGTTCATCGTACAGCTGCACTGGGATGAGGGGCTCGGTCAGGTCCATGAAGAACTGTTTCAAGATGGTAGCCACTGCATTCACTTGTATATCTAGTGAATGAATGTCCGTGTTGATGTCTGCAACAAGTACCACAAAGATGAGGATTTATTCAAAGCACAGTTTCTGATGTTTGTGTAAGAGTGAGTGAGTGGGTGAGTTTAGTTTAGCTTTTTGCAATATTCCAGCAATATCACAGCGGGGGACACCAGTAATTGGACACACATTGTGCACATGGGGGAAATCAAACCCGGGTCCTCAGCATGATGAGCAAACGCCTTAACCACTAGGCTACCCCATCGCCTGTATGCGCAAGAATAAACATACATAGGAAAAGAAAAGGTTTATATATTTCCTATCCGTCTTGATATTATATTTTAGGCAACGTCGCCCTGCAGAACCTGGATAGGGATGTGGATTATAAGGACAAGTGTTTGTGTTAATGATGGATGCTAAGCCACTCACCTTCATTAAACTTGGATGTGAGAAGATCCACCTGCCCCTTATTGCCAGGTATTCGGTAGATACCTTCTGCGTACAGACCTGAAAGATATACCACATGTTATACCAGGCCTGGACATAGCTGACCTAAAACTATAATGTACTTTCACATTAATTCAATCTTGGCAGGGAAATTTGTGTATGAAGCTACTTGGCACACCAAATGTCTTCCCATAGAGAATAAGTACACAATTGTAATATGAAAATAGGTTTAGTTTGCTGTAGGTCCAAAACACGGCAGTAGCAGAGGGATATGGTTGTGCTGGTCAGTTGTCCTGTGATGTATATCAATTTGAAACATCCCAAAAGCACTCAATGATACACTGTATGTTTGGAGAATTTGAACTCACCTTCCTCCTCGATGAAGATGATACACTTCTCCACAAACAGTGGGATGAGGGGATTGTCGGTGGAGGTGGGGAAGTCTTCCAGGCAACAGCCGCTCTGGGACGGACCAGAACTCTTGCTGGGGTTCTTCTTCATCTTCCTCTCCTCCTTAAGGCGCTTCTCCTGCAATAACATGGACATTAGAATCCTACACAGAACTGGAGGTACCTGCTGAGGCATGGGAGGACTGACTGACTGAGTTTGGTTTTACGCCGCTTTTAGCAATATTCCAGCAACATCACGGCGGGGGACACCAGAAATGGGCTTCACACATTGTGCCCATGTGGGGATTCGAACCCTGGTCTTCGGCGTGACGAGCCAAAGCTTTAACCATTAGGCTACCCCACCGCCCTGAGGCATGGGAGGAACTTCAGGGGAAGTTTCAAAATAGGTTATAGTAAACTAGTCAATTGCTCATTTTGATCCGATGTACATATGTACTGTGTACCAAATGAGGAATGAGTTCTGGGTGTATTCAAGGTCTTCAAATCAGTTCAGGCAGTCCTTATCTTCCAAAAATATTTTGACCACTAGCATACTGATATAATTCATACTTCTAGTTTTATAGACAAAATTAATAAATTGAGTACAATTTTTCTCATTAGAACCATCAAAATGATCCATGATACAAAATTGTGGCTTATATTGATATATTTAAATACACGTTGTTCTTTCCTAAGCACCATGCCAAGTGTCACATCACCTGAGACTCATCGTCCTCCTGTCCCACGTAAAATCTGGAGTAGCCACTCACACCCACAGTGGAGCACACTGAGGCTGAACAACCCATTACTCAGCTTACATCTTTTACAAATAATCCAATATCCCAACTATTGCTATTCCCTAATCTACTGTTTGAATTAAAGCACTCGGAAAAGATCAATACCAGAATCTAATGTAACTTGATACTTAGGTATTCGATAAGTCAGAAAACAGCTGATAAGTGACACAGTTGTTATAGTGAAAGTCCTTAGGAATTATTCCATCAGTGCTGTAGGCAACAATGTCTCCTTCACTATAAAGCACACACATAAAGAAACTTATTTCCAATATCCAAAGTACAGCATGTTGACCACACAAGCTAGTTGCCCCTAGCAACCACATAAACAACCGGTGATATTGATCAGTGTTCCTGGATCCCTTCCTCCCTCAGTATAACACTACCCCACTATAAAGTAACATGTGACCTGGAGGGAGGAATCACATGGCAGTTTCATCACAGCGATCAAAATGAACAATAACAGTAAAGTAATATATTAATACATAATTTTTTTTAATGCTTTTGCAATAGAATTTGTCAAGAGATCTAAGTCACTTTGTCACAGATTTGTTTTCTATTTACAGAAACTATTTTACATCTGATCTTTATGTTCAATCATTTTACAGAAAGTCCTGAACTCTTCACCCTGTTGAGTGTACCACAGTTAACAATATTTGCTTCATGATAGCTGCCAGGTAAACGCTAGTGACAAAAAGCTAAGTGCCCCTGGCATGGAAACATTTCTTTTAAATAAACTTACTATTTACCATTACATTATTTATTACAAGATTACATGGATTGGGTAATATATAATTCCAATTTGGGAATTTAAACTGTATTTTTCTGCAGCCTCAGTGGGGAAACACCATGTCAGACATAACTAACATGACAGACCAGGACCAAGGGAGGGTTCATGACCTCATTGCCTACCTCCTCTTTCTGTCGTCTCTTCTCCTCCTTCTTCCTCTGCTTCTCTGGGTCCCGCATTGTTTTGGACTTCAGTTTCACCAGGAACTGGTTGCCGCCATCATTCCGTCTCCTCTGTGGGAAACTGCATCACACAAGGACCAACATAATGTATTATATGGGGATTTAGCAAAGACCCTTAACAGGGGCTCCACAAATATTGCTAGTTTTTTCTGATGACAATTAGATAACAAGATCTAAATATTATGGTCATGTCCTGTCTTTGATATTGTTATGAACAATTAAACCTGTCGGGTAGCAACACATCACCAACCAAGCTACAAAACCTGACCACCAATCTATGTGATAAGCTATGTTGCCTACGATCTATTCTAACCAGGAATCCCTACAAGTTTATCTAACATACTACTGGGATGATGAAGACTACACTCACTGATGTACTCACCCGACTGTGTGGCATAGTGGAGTAAGGGGGAATCATAGGCTCAAACTGATTCTCGTTATGAAATGGGCGACCTGGAAGTAGAAACAGTTGTTGTGATATACAAACAATCAGGAAAATAGATTTATGAAATTAGGAACAATTTACCTATCAAGAAACCAATTATTTTAAATCAAGAAGAATTTAAAAAAAAAAAAAAAAGATTCCCAAGTCATGAACTGTTAAAATATTGTTGTAATTAATCAGGTTGAAGATATTTTAGTGTTACACGTACCAGGGGGGGATCCGACAATGTGGTCACTGTCGGACATGGGTGGACTGATGGCTCTCCCTGGACTCTGGCTGACTACGAAGCCTTTCTGACGACGGAATGACCGCCTCTTCTTCTCCTTCCTCCTGCCGGGACACTCGTCCCCGGTCCCCTCACTCCCTTCCGACGGGGAGTTGCTGCGAACTGCTGAGAGAAAACAGTAGTGAACACAACAAAATGCCAGTGATCTGTGGAATGTAGTATTACTGATAGTACTCTAGAATATACAATAACAGACAATATATTGTTTCTTGAAAGAATAATAGCACAAACTGCATAATTAATAATAAAATATAATAATGCTGAGTAGTCATTTATTTTCTACAAGACCAATAAAACCATCTCCAGCTTAGAAAGACCACTGGATACTTTTGCTCTCTGATGATGTAAGCTGACGCATTATCAACAAGCTACTTACATTTCCCCCCAAATGTGGTCCCCCTCGGAAGCCCGATAGGCCTTCGTTTGTCTACGGACTGCATGGCACTGTCTTGAGATCTCTGTTTGCCCTTCTTCCTGTAGGGGGTGGGGCGCCTAGTGACCCTAGCAGTTGGGGCCACCTCTTCATGCTGGTCACGCTCCAGTGAACTGAAGTCAGAGTCTTCCGAATCGGAACCTGTGAAGAAATTAGAAATATTTAAAAGTCACAGCTCATATATAATTCTTCAACAAACCGCAGAGGAACAGATAAGATGCGCAAATATTTATGTGAAATCTCACTTCCTATTAAGTCTATTGCGTACAAGTACGCTTCAATTTGTAAATACTCAATAGATTTGATGTTACATGCGTACAAACAAAAATAGATAAAATAACTGAGGTATATTGAGAGTTTCTATTTCAGCACCTGGACTTGGCAACTTGCAGTCTTTCTTATCGTTTCTCATATTTATAACAGATCAAATATAAATAACAAACATGTAAACCAACATTTAAACTTTAATATATTTTTACAATTAATGGAAAATGGCAAAATACCCAATTGCGTGAGGTGGGTACAATTTATTTGGTTACTCAAAGGAAAATTAGTGTACCCAATTAAGATGAACACAAGCGAAAAGTTATCTGTAGCTCTGAACCGTATACCTGTACTTTTGAGTACCTCTTGCACACAAAGAATCATACCCCTAGACCAACGAGCCACAGAGGCTAGGACAGAAAATGATTACTCTCTTATTTCAACAGCTCGTTACATGGAACCAATAAACTGCAAGGCAACATTCTCACATCCTATCCTACTTTTCCATCTGAACTGGTACATAGCTAGTCTTACTTTATTCCACTACTGTATTCATACGGGTGTAACCATGTCAAAAAGATACCTAATATGTCAAAGCCTTCATCACTGAAAAGTGCAACTGACGGCGTCTGGGTCTTAAGCCCCAAGGGTCTTAACAACCTACCTTTTTCTTTCTTGCCAGAGGAGGACTTGACACGATGGAGTTTCCCCCGAGGTAGAGCGTCCTGCACTGTTCCGTAGTCGTTCTCCAGAGGCTCGAACGTGTTCACAGCATCCTGGACAAGGCACAAGAGAGGAATCATGTCCACTGTCTACAGGCACAGTCTACAAAGTTTGTTCAAAATTGCCGGATTGCAGGATATGAAGCCTGGAAAGGCGTTATATATATTCGTAAAAACAAAAGAAATCTGTGCCTACCTTCACTGTACAGTAGTCTGCTATCTCGATGGGCTCAGGCACTGCGAGAGGAGCCTGCACTCTACTGCCAGACATCTTGGGCCTATCATGACTTCCTCGAGACTGAAAACACACAGGGAATATCAATCATACAAACCATATTTCAAATATGGAAACAAAATCATGCCAAAATTTGTTGGCAGGTTGGTTGGTGTGTAGTGGTGTTCCGATTAATTGAAATAATAGAAGACTGGTCGCAGTGACCAAACGACCAAGCAGTCGATCACATTTATTCATTTTCTCGAACACACACGATTTTGGAACTACTGTTTTAGTCTTTGAAACACTTGTTGAAGGAACATATCTTCGAGGTTGTCAGGGACTGAAAATGTGTTTAATTAACTCACTTCACTAACTGAAAAGTCATGACTGAATATTTGTTGAAGACTCTGGGAAGTTGATGTTCATGATATATTAGTCATCACTTTAAAGTAGCAAGTTGTATCATGTTATCCTTATCTGCAATAACAACCTGGATAGGAAAATCCGAGAAATGACGCTAACCATTTTTTTCCGATGATTTCTCGAAGCAATCATCAATTGTGAGATTTCAACCAATTCCCAACACTATTGGTTTGTTGCTTAACGCCACACTCAGCAATATTCCAGCTATATGGCGGCGGTCTGTAAATAATCGGTCTGGACCAGACAATATAGTGATCAACAGTATGAGCATTGATCTACGCAGTTGGGATACAATACCATGTGTCAACCAAGTCAGAGAGCATGACCACTCGTTAGTCACCTCTTATGACAAGCATGGATTACAGAAAACCAATCCTAACCCAGATCTTCACGTGTTTGTAAAAGTAAGAGTCTTGTTATAGTCTGATTCATAAACAATCCTTATAATTATTAAAAAATATACACTGAAATAATTTGTGTAATCTGCGTTACCTGTGATCGTCTATGTGGCCTGGTGTCCTGTGGACTGTACTGCTCATCTGCCCACACTGCATCCTCGGGGGACACAGGACCGTACCGGGGGTGGCGGATATCCATAGGGTCGCCCCCGTGGCAGTACAAGTCGTTGTCCCCCCCACACTCGGTCGTGGTGCATTGCACTGGCTGTCTCATATAGGTTGTTGTCCACCCAGCCTACAAATGAAATACACAGCATAAGAACAAACAACACATATAATGGCTGTGTCTCCCAGGTTTAGGGTGTGACCGTCCCAGTAGTCTGGCTAAATAGGAAAACAATCTGATACTGTCATTACAATCTTTGGTAACGACTCAAAAGTTGCCTCAAAACTATTTGACAATTTTATTATTCCAAAATCCCAAAAGTTTGGCAAGTTATTAATATGTATGTACTTAGAAATGAAGAGAACCTATCAACTTTCAAGAAAGTAATGGGGCTGCCTAAGGTCAAGATCAGCCATTTCAGCACCAGACAACATTCAACATGGCCACTGACTGCACACAATACATGCAGGTGACAAAACAATCAGTGATATAGAAAAACATTGGGATTTATCTCTGATACAGTCAAAAACAGGATTAGATAATTTTACTAAATACATATTGAACAAAAAGCTTAAACATCCAACCAGATTACAATTTCAGTTCTCTTACTAACAGCTCAATGTATCTGCAACATTAAGTCATACTTTGGTCAAAAGGCAATAAATAATTTTTTCTAAGTGAAATATTACATTTGTCTAACTATACAATTCAAAACCCTTGCAGTTAGTAATAAACAAAAAGAAAAATCACCCTTATTACTGGTTATAGTGTACTATGAAATAATAAAGCTGAAACCTATAAACACAATACAAGTGGCATTAGCATTGCTATAACGTGAAACAATGAGACATTCTGTGACAAGTGATCCCAATACACTATCACTTGAGAGTGCTTAATGCTGTGTCGGCAGATACTGGGAAGAGAACTATCAAAAACAGACAGTGCTTTGTTCCCTTCTCTTCACATACCACCAAGACAATAATATGGCCACATGGAGCATATTTGGCTATTTCAGAAGAAATATTCAGTTATGCAGTGATACTATATTCAGCGCACATTGCTAATGGCCAAAATAAAGTACTATTTGCCACACCCAGAATTGTGCTACACTTGGTAAAAAGTACTATTTTCCTGATAACTAAATACCTGACAATGATTCACAGAAATACTTTCAATACCTCACTCACTTCTACCTCAGGTACTGTATCTAGTCAGATGTAAAACAGCCATGTGGAATGTAATTTAAAATGCAAGATGCCATTGTCACCATACAAACCTATTTTCATTTTCTTATAGGGATGGTAATATCCACTACAGAGAAGAACACTGTCCAGAAACATGACTGATGACACAATTCTACACTGTAATATCTCTTCAGGTTCTGATCTAGCACATGTCCATGTATTCTGAACACCCAGCAGTGTTCAGCATATATATACTCTCCCCATGTCTTGTACCAACACCCTGGCACAATGCTCAAACACTGGCACCCTCTCCAACCATTGTCTTCCGACATGCTGTGCTATTGTCCCATAAACAAAACACATGACCTGGAGCAATAGCAATTAATCTCTTCATTAATTGGTGTGAGTTTTAATTATGTGGGAGTAGAGCCTTGCTGGCTTGACCAATGGTAAGGGTTGGGTCGGTGAAATGTGGGATCGCCATGCTCCAGCGGTTGCATTGTCTTCCTACAATGATCTGTGTGGGAGATTCGTCAGATAAAGGGCGTTATCAGCAGAAAAACAAACAGTAGTCGGATCAGAGGTTAGATAAACTATTGTCTTACAAACAAGGATTTGTCAGTTTGTTGAACAGTTTGTTTTACCCTAGGGTTTGTTGGTTTACACATGTAGACATGTCACAGTTGTGTAGCTCTGTGTGCATGGAACAGACTTCTATGCTAATATTGATGTACAAAAACTGACACAGTCGAGAAAATTGGAGATTAATCAGGATTATTCACTTTTAAACTCATATTGTGAGGTTTTGTGTGATTGTGGAACTAATGTCACCTTTGCAGGGGCAAATATTTGCCTGTCACAGTAAAACATCTGCTGGCAAATCCAACACAGTGTACGCCATTTCAATATTTCATGACAGTAATTGCTTGGTCAGGACAAAATGTTTACAAAATTTAAGTTGTGACAAGACTTCTGTTTCAATTGTTTCCACATTTTGGAATCAGGTAAACAAGGGACAGGTACTATTAATTCTCATGTTAACAAACAATAGTAGTTGTATACTTCACCCTTATAATACATATAAATATCTGTGTATATTCAAAGGTATTTATATGAATACATGGCCCAATGATTGATTTTCCTTTGCTGCATGAATTAATTTATTTTAATTAATTACATAACATTTAAATTTGTTTCTGCATGTTTTATCACTATCCTGGAAAGGTTTGACAAAATGAGTATACAAATCTGCATGTTGTGCATAATTGATTCCTACTAAATTCTCTACACAAGATTTGAGTGTGAACATAAATGTGAACTAACATCTTTTTATATTTCTAAAAATATTTTCCTGTGCCAAATCTGACTGTGTGTACATACAAATGTGAATCTTTTAGCAATTTCTTTCAAAAATATCTAGATTCAATGTGAAAGGAGCATTTATGTGTATCTTTAAGCACTGTAGTATATAATTTCTCAATGTATGTGTTTTACAGGTGCCTGTATGGCACTATAAGGTTAAGTCAGCAAACAAATATTTCTGTATAAGCCGATGACACCTTGCTAAGCCGACATAAGATGAAAGGATTAGGGGCTTATCCCCGTTCCACTCCACCTGCATGACAAACAATTGTCTGTGTTAAGTGGATCAGCATTCACTGTCACTTGGGTAGGGAGGATTAGTTGACAAGCAGTCATAGACTGTAATGGTTTCAGTACTACAACTGACCCACTGAATGCATCCACAGTAGTGACAACTATTCTGTAGTCAGTCTGACTTACAGTTCCTCAACCACATTATTTTCCCTCCAGCCTAGCCCTCCCTGCAATGGTAAAGCTCTAAATGAAGTAAGTGCAGATTTCCTCAGGTTCAGGATCTCCCATCTAACTGGGGCTCCTTTTCAATGTAATTTGGATTATTTGTTTCTATCAAACTATTATGAGGTGAGGTGAAATTGGGTTTTACGTCATGCTTGAGAATATTTCGCTCATATGACGACGTGCATGCGTGTGTATGTGTATGTGCGGTTGCTTGTACTAGCCCAGACTTAAGCTGGTTTTATAGTGCTAGCCCACAGAGATACCATGCCGCAGTGAAGCATGAATACCCTACTCAGACACATTATACTGACTCCGAGCTGACCAGTCCTTCTTGTACCCATTAATGCCGAGCGCCAGACAGGACCACAAGTACTATATTTTAATGTCTTTTGGTATGACGCGGTCGGGGATCGAACCCGCGACCTTCCGCTCTCCAGGCGGACGCTCTAACCACTACACCACGGAGGCGGTCGTATGGCGTCTGAACCTATTGCTTCATGAAACAGAGATGTCTTCATAGCGTGTGTCTAATACGGGAAATATTGCAATAACCATCATGAAACTATTATGTCTTCAGAGACTAAGCATTAGTCTACTCTGTAGGCTGCATGTTGTTGTGGACCCAGCAGGGATACAGTAGCCTGCAATGTCAGTAGGGTCCATGATATGGGTACAGGTCCACATTCATGGGGTCAACATCTCGGACTAGTGTTCACACTTTGAGTGGAGGTCACTACTTATGAATGGGTTTCTTCTTTGGTTGGGGTCCTACTTTTGGTCAGTGTTCACACTCATTTTAGGGTTTACCACACAGTGTAAGGAGATCACAGTTAGGGTCGGAGTTGTCAATGGTTAGGGTCAGTGTTTGTGCTTAGGGTAAGGGACACTTGTAGCATGGAGGTCTCACTGTATGGGGTTCACAGTTAGGAAGGGGTGTCAGTGTTTAGGGTTAGTGTTTACACTCAGGGAGGGGTCACCACATAGTGTATGAAGTTCACAGGGTAGGGGTTTTCAATGTTAGGGTCAATGTTTGCACTCTGGGAGGGGACAGAACATAAAGTAGGGGGTTCACAGTTCAATTATTAGGGTCAGTGTTCACACTCAGGTGGGGGTCAACACATAGTGCATGTGGTTCACAGTTAGGGTAGCCTAGGGGTTGTCAGTGTTTAGGGTTAGTGTTAACACTCAGACTAAGGGTCAACACTTGGGGATAGTGTTTAAACTTTGTTAGGCAGGTTCATATTTTGCTCAGTGACCCAGACTTGAGTGTGTTCAGCGTTTCAGATTGTTCACAACTAGGGCAGAGGTACTATACTCTGGTTAGAGGTTCACAGATAATGCTGCAGGTCCATACTTTTGGGCAGTGTTCACACGTAGGGTAGAAGGTCTGTACCTAGTTGGGCAGTGTTCACACATAGGGTAGAGGGTCTGTACCTAGTTGGGCAGTGTTCACACATAGGGTAGAGGGTCTGTACCTAGTTGGGCAGTGTTCACACATAGGGTAGAGGGTCTGTACCTAGTTGGGCAGTGTTCACACATAGGGTAGAGGGTCTGTACCTAGTTGGGCAGTGTTCACACATAGGGTAGAGGGTCTGTACCTAGTTGGGCAGTGTTCACACACATAGGGTAGAGGGTCTGTACCTAGTTGGGCAGTGTTCACACATAGGGTAGAGGGTCTGTACCTAGTTGGGCAGTGTTCACACATAGGTAGAGGGTCTGTACCTAGTTGGGCAGTGTTCACACATAGGGTAGGGTCTGTACCTAGTTGGGCAGTGTTCACACATAGGGTAGAGGGTCTGTACCTAGTTGGGCAGTGTTCACACATAGGGTAGAGGGTCTATGCCTAGTTGGGCAGTGTTCACACATAGGGTAGAGGGTCTGTACCTAGTTGGGCAGTGTTCACACATAGGGTAGAGGGTCTGTACCTAGTTGGGCAGTGTTCACACATAGGGTAGAGGGTCTGTACCTAGTTGGGCAGTGTTCACACACATAGGTAGAGGGTCTGTACCTAGTTGGGCAGTGTTCACACATAGGGTAGAGGGTCTGTACCTAGTTGGGCAGTGTTCACACATAAGGTAGAGGGTCTGTACCTAGTTGGGCAGTGTTCACACATAGGGTAGAGGGTCTGTACCTAGTTGGGCAGTGTTCACACATAGGGTAGAGGGTCTGTACCTAGTTGGGCAGTGTTCACACATAGGGTAGAGGGTCTGTACCTAGTTGGGCAGTGTTCACACATAGGGTAGAGGGTCTGTACCTAGTTGGGCAGTGTTCACACATAGGGTAGAGGGTCTGTACCTAGTTGGGCAGTGTTCACACATAGGTAGAGGGTCTGTACCTAGTTGGGCAGTGTTCACACATAGGGTAGAGGGTCTGTACCTAGTTGGGCAGTGTTCACACATAGGGTAGAGGGTCTGTACCCTAGTTGGGCAGTGTTCACACATAGGGTAGAGTTGGTCTGTACCTAAGGTTGGGCAGTGTTCACACATAGGGTAGAGGGTCTGTACCTAGTTGGGCAGTGTTCACACATAGGGTAGAGGGTCTGTACCTAGTTGGGCAGTGTTCACACATAGGGTAGAGGGTCTGTACCTAGTTGGGCAGTGTTCACACATAGGGTAGAGGGTCTGTACCTAGTTGGGCAGTGTTCACACATAGGGTAGAGGGTCTGTGTACCTAGTTGGGCAGTGTTCACACATAGGGTAGAGGGTCTGTACCTAGTTGGGCAGTGTTCACACATAAGGTAGAGGGTCTGTACCTAGTTGGGCAGTGTTCACACATAGGGTAGAGGGTCTATGCCTAGTTGGGCAGTGTTCACACATAGGGTAGAGGGTCTGTACCTAGTTGGGCAGTGTTCACACATAAGGTAGAGGGTCTGTACCTAGTTGGGCAGTGTTCACACATAGGGTAGAGGGTCTGTACCTAGTTGGGCAGTGTTCACACATAGGGTAGAGGGTCTGTACCTAGATGGGTAGTGTTCACACATAGGGTAGAGGGTCTGTACCTAGTTGGGCAGTGTTCACACATAGGGTAGAGGGTCTGTACCTAGGCAGGAAGTTCACACATAGGGTAGAGGGTCTGTACCTAGGCAGGAGGTTCACACTTTCGGTAGGAGGTCTATGTTTATAGTTAGCAAAGTTCACTGCAAACAACTTTAACAATAGTCATGTTGACTGGCTCCTTGAGAGAGAGAACGTAATTGTCTATATGTTTCAACAAAACCAGTTTGGATTAACAATGTAGTACACATGTCCAGAATATAAATTATTGCAATCAAGACTCTGTGAAAAACTACGGCACGGTGATAAATATGCTATACACTGTGACAATGTACTTCTAAATCATTCAGTGAAGCTTGAAGGTGTTCAAAGCAGATTCTACACAAAAAACACATACTACACTGTGACATATGTAATACACTGTGCTAAAAGTACTCCAACATGTGACAGTGAAAAGTAAAGGTGTTCCTCCTTGATTACCCAGTGTTCCACGTCACAATACAGTAATAGCACAATGCAGGTGAGAAAAAATAACGCAAATCACATCTGCATGTTGTCATAATACACCACACAGAACTCAGGACATCCGAGACATCCTGAGCAGAGAGAGCTGGAGATATCTAGTTACAGAGCTGAAGGTGTTAGTCATGCAAAGAAACGCTGCAGCAAGCACTAGGTAGACGATGACATGCGAATACGTAATATGGCGTCACCATCTTCGCTGCTAGAGGTCTGCTTGCAGGCTGCCGCGGCGGCAGCGGCGTACTTCCTCTCATGGTGGCGACGCATGTGCTCGTTAAGCGCCCAAGCTTGGAGAGAAAGACGATGGAAAGGAGGCATGAGATAGACAGAAACACAAACAACACAAGGAGAGACTTTGGCTGAAGCTGCTCTGAAATGGAATTCCTGAAAAGCAAACTCTGCAGATGGTTGGAATACAGGATGACTTAGGAAAGGACGCTGGCAGCGAGTGAGAGAGTGAGTCAAGGTTTACAATGCTTGTACTAATGTTCCAGCAATACCTCGATGATGGACACCTTCAATCAGCTTAACACACTGAAACAAAGTATGGAACCCAACCCAAGTCTAGCGATTTTGAACGGACAGTTCAAGCACCTGCCCACCAATCATGATGATTGAGAAACTGCCATGTATCAGGATGGTTGAACGATGATCTAAAGTAAAAATGAATCCACCAATAATGTCACCATGTTCTCACTTAAAGAAGTCAAGGAGTCCTTGTCTAACCTCAATGCAAATAGACTGAGAGGTCCCTAGTCTGAAATACCTCTGCAGGAAACCTCAAAGATTCCACGTACTTTGAATATGCCTCATTTAGTGAATGAATCAAAGTATTAGGAAAAATGTAAGCTTGCCCTAAAATGATTTAACCTAGCCTGTCTGTTAAATTACTGTCAAATGATTTTAACAGGCTTACTTGATGGAACTATTATTCATCCAGAAACTAACTGGTCTGTGAGTCACTCATTTGTAAGGAAGAGACTTAGACTTTTTCATGAATTCAGTTGTGTCTTAAAATTTGAGTCCCAAGGTATGAATCTTAGATTTTTTAAGGTAATTTACTTAAGATGGGGGATTTCAGGCTGGGATGAATCCTGGTGTCTTGTAACTCCTTCAGGTTCATTCATAGCCTTTCATCATTAACAGTGCATCCTGGGAATAGTCGAGGTCAAGCTGACCCGGCTCAGCACACAACAAGGCTAGGTGGCGATGACCCTACCCAACAGGTATAAAGACAAGGTCATCATGACCCCACCAGAGTACAGGGCAGAGGTAGTCTGTGTTGGCCTCATGTCTATTTGATTGTACCAGTCACAAAGACCCAGGCCACAAGACCCCAGGTGAGGTGAGGTGAAATTGGGTTTAATGTCGTGCTTGAGAATATTTCGCTCATATGACGCCGTGCATGCGTGTGTATGTGTATGTGCGGCTGCTTGTACTAGCCCAGACTGAAGCTGGTTTTATAGTGTTAGCCCACTGAGATACCATGCCGCAGTGAAGCATGAATACCCCACTCAGACACATTATACTGACTCCGAGCCGACCAGTCCTTGTTGTACCCATTAATGTCGAGCGCCAGGCAGGGACCAACAAGTACCATATTTGAAGGTCTTTTGGTATGACGCGGGCGGCCAGGCAGGGACCAACAAGTACCATATTTTAACGTCTTTTGGTATGACGCGGGCGGACGCTCTAACCACTACATCACGGAGGCGGTCACAAGACCCCAGAGCATAAGCCATAGATAGTATGAGATCCAAGGACATTAAATTCCTGGATATGGTAGCCTTGGTACCAGACAGAGGTGCAGTGAATAATGAACTAAATTTGCTTCAAAGTTTGTCATATTCAGTTCACCATGAAGCACAATCGAAAGCAATGATTGGTGTTTTCAGCATGCCCATGGGATGATGGGGCAGTGAATCACGGCAGTGAATCAACTGGGCCAGCAGGGCCCCTTGGTGTCTCCAAGTCAAAGAGACGGGAACAAAATATGTCAGACTCTCATTATCTGTCTTGAGAAGCTGCTTTATAACTTGGGAGAGCTTGCAGGACATGGATACCAACAAACCATTACTGCTATAAAACCTCTAATGATTATATTGGCCTGCCACTCAACATGACAGCTTGTGTAAACTGGGAAAACAACCTGTACTGACTTACACACACAGGACAACAGTGAGTGACAACACCTAGCTGGGATAGAAATGACAAATACTATCCCACAACAAACAATATCCTGTCACAACAATAAGTATTATTCTACTGAACAATTACTACACAAACTAATACATATATGAACAGTGGAGATAATTTTGGCTCATGTGAAAAAGTTTTTCAATTTTTCATCCTAAAACTTGATATGTTACACATCAAATAGCTCACATGAAATGACACTAAAACTCAGGTTCACACTGCCAAAATTGAAACAAATTATGTTTACCAAGAAAGAACATAGCTGGTTTCACATTCACAAACATGAGAGAAACACAGATCTGGAAACAACAAAAACTGAACGCAAATGAGTGACGCAAATGACAATGAAAGACAACAGCGCCATCTAGTCACCTGACGGTTCAACAGGCATCTCTAGCTTCATACTACTGGACTTGTGGAAGTGACTAATCGATTGAACGTCCGAGTCGGAAAACTCCGTACTCTCGCTCATCAGGCGAGAAGAGTCACAGGAGCTCTCCAGTATCGGCAGAGACTTCCGATGGTCTTTGTATTGTTGGACTGAAATTTGGGAGGAATTGGAATTTTAACTACTGTGACATATTCACTGATCAATATTTCTCAGTTTAAGCTGAAAAGAAGAAGAAGAATCAGTTCTGCATTGTCATCAAACCTTTTCAGTACTTGACAAACTTTCTCATTTTGTCACCAATGGAAACCTGATGTCAGTGTCCTTTCTAACAGACAGCATGGGCAGCTAGCCTACCCACACATTCACACAACAATTCCAACCCATATTTCTTGCCTAAATGCAGTCTGTGACATGAGTGACTAGTCTGCTGTCCCAGTTTGATCAGGTAAGCTCAGTAAGTAGACCAAAACCTTGCTGTTTTAAGCTTAGTCAATGCCATACCACATATCACCAAAATGTAATACAGATGATACTAAGACCTAAATTTGGTAGACTCAGAAGTTTTGGCACAGAATGTAGATGCCTGCTTATCTCTTCCATCCCTTTGTCCTGTCCCGTCATTGTGAGCTTTCACTCCACCCTCAGTGCCAACAGTCCATAGTATCCTGTGCGAGATCTCCAGGTTAAGTCAGTATGCTGCATGTCAGCAGCCTCACCCAGTGAGATACCCATGTTGTAGTCATGCAAGTGAGATACCCATGTTGTAGTCATGCAAATGAGATCCTCATGTACAGTCAGTATGTCAGATTAGCCCAGATGAAATCCCATGTAAAGTCAGTATGTTAGACTGGCCCAGATGAAATCCCATGTAAATTCAGTATGTTAGACTGGCCCAGATGAAATCCCATGTAAAGACAGTATGTCAGACTAGCCCAGATGAAATCCCATGTAAAGTCAGTATGTCAGATTAGCCCAGATGAAATCCCATGTAAAGTCAGTATGTCAGATTAGCCCAGATGAAATCCCATGTAAAGTCAGTATGTTAGACTGGCCCAGATGAAATCCCATGTAAAGACAGTATGTCAGATTAGCCCAGATGAAATCCCCATGTAAAGCCAGTATGTCAGACTGGCCCAGATGAGACCCCCATGTAAAGCCAGTATGTCAGACTGGCCAAGATGAGACCCCCATGTAAAGCCAGTATGTCAGACTGGCCCAGATGAGACCCCCATGTAAAGCCAGTATGTCAGATTGGCCCAGATGAGATCCCATGTAAAGCCAGTATGTCAGATTGGCCCAGATTAAATCCCATGTAAAGTCAGTATGTCAGACTGGCCCAGATGAGATCCCATGTAAAGACAGTATGTAAGACTGGCCCAGATTAAATCCCACGTAAAGTCAGTATGTCAGACTGGCACAGATGAGACCCCCACGTAAGGTCAGTATGTCAGACTGCCCCAGATGAGACCCCCATGTAACGTCAGTATGTCAGACTGGCCCAGATGAAATCCCACGTACAGTCACTATGTTGGACACCTACCCATCAATGGTGAAGTCTATGTGGTGAACTCACCCGCATGCATGTGTTGCCGAGTCTTCACATAGCTCGGTCTGACTAGATGTTCACCATTTGACTGTGGTCCAACTTCTGCGTAGATGTCTTCCCCTGATGGTACGGGTGACGTTGAGGACGCCCGGTCATGGTCGCTGTCGGAAGGGTAGCGACCTTGGTACAGATTGGGCTGGTCGTACAAAGGCTCTGAGTCCTCTGTGCTTTGGCTGTTGTGGAAATAATGATAACTATGAACAAAGGAATTTTTACCTTCAAATTTGTGGACATTCAAGACTCACCTCACTAATGAGTTACTCTCAAATAGTTCCTGTTACTGACTAATGTTACAAGAAGTACCTTATGACAGCACTGAGGACCAAGAGTCTTCCAATCTCAACTTATTATTCACATGTTAATGGATGTAACAATTTTTGAATTTCAATTGAGGCAATGCATGTACATTCAACCAATCAATCATCTGTGTTTATTTCATTCCGATCAAGTGACCATTTTCCATAAAAAGAACATCTGTAACAAGAGAGATAAATAACAGTAGGATGGGAGCACATGGACAAATGGTTACAATACTCAGGGAAGGTGTGTTTCCATGTTGCTCCTAATAAACACCAAGTGATGTCATCCCATTGTCTCAATATCTCATCAAAATCCTAACCTGGGCAATACCTATGATGTTACACATAAATTTCCGACGATTTTGCACACAAAATACTGTTTATTTTACCTCGTGGGAACTGTCGACTGTTTTTTTCTTTACATATTAACAGGCAGTCTGGGCCAGACAACTGAGTGATCAACATCATGAGCATTGATCTACGCAGTTGGGATATCAAGCTTGTCAGCCAAGTCAGTGAACCTGACCACCCTTACGACAAGCATGGGTTGCTGAATATCAAATCTAACTTGGATCTTCACGGGTTCCCTATCACCACCCATCCACTGAACTGTCTCCTACATCAAATTCAGTTTTGGAACTGTAGCTAGGTGGGGTTCTCTTCTAGATTTGGGGGACCTATTTTAACGTGGTAAAACTGTCACAAACAGCCTTAAAACTCTGCACGGAACTTAGAAAGCTTGAGCCAAATTTGGGAACTGTGGAACCAAAGGGAACTGTGCCACCCATGCCTTGAATCTGGCTACTATAATGTGTGTCAGTGTTACTAGGAACATCATGGAAGCACTCCCTCCTGTGAACTGAGGAAGTCCCACACAACATCTGGAGTGTAACAGTACCGTTTCACCTACCATTCTACCCACCTATTACTTGTACTGCTCTTGGTGGTATGATAAGTATTGTATGGCAGTGGGGCTGGAGGCCTTCGGTCAATGTAGGTGCTGCGGTCGTCGTATGCCGGTGGGCTCTGCTCGTCCACTGGCTCGAGGAACATGTCCTCTGATTCCTCCTTTCTCTCCCAGGCTTCCTTGAAGAAAGGGTTGTATACTGCTGCTGAAACATGGAAGTGTGCGTTACGCTTCACTAGACACTCTACTTGGTGGAGGAAGCAGCTACTATCCTTGCCTCACTGCCCTCAAATTATCATACTTCTTGCAGAATACAGCAATGTTTAGCCATATTAAAGCAGTCTGTCATTAAATGAGCCTGTACCAATTATTTATTGAATGAATTTTCACATTTTCAGTAGATAATGGAGGATCCTTTTCTGATCATTGTCCTTTTAATTATATTTGATTATTGTTTAACACTGCACTAAGTGATATTTCATGTGTAAATGTGGCTAAAAAATAATTAGTCTAGACCAGACAATCCAGTGATCTATACATTTTGAACAGCATGCCACTCTATGGGGATATGAGGGGATGCTTTCAACTCACTGACCACCTGATCCTCTCAGTTGCCTCTGATGACCAGCACAGGTATAGTTATTACACAGGGATGAATCTTATATCAGTTGCAACTTATGTCAATATTTTTCAAATTTCTTGTTCGGACAAAGACCATCAAAATAAATATTTTCTATACAACATGTCACAAGTGCTATCATAATATTTAGTGAAGAAACTGTCTATTCAGTATGTTCAGCTTGGTTTAAAATAGATCATAAAAATAATGTAATTTTTGGAGTAAAATTGATATTTTATACTTATCCTGACTCATGCTCTTTTTGCTTGTCTTCTTCTTCTTGCGAACATAGTGGAACACTTGTATCTCCCTAATTGAAGCTCCCTTCAATTTAAAATCACTAATTAGTATTCACCACGAGTTACCTCCTTTTCACAAGCGCGTGAACGAGGGCCACCTCTACCCATGTGCCTCACTCTCTCCTCATATACTGAGCCCAACATTTGAATTTACAGGGAAATCCAAAGTGTTATTTGGGAGGATGGGAGGCTGACCTCATGAGTCAGGATAAGTATAAAATATCAATTTTACTCCAAAAATTACATATTTTTCCTTATCCTGACTCATGCTCTTTTTGCTTGTAGCATCCTACGGAACGGAGGTGGGAATATCTAATACTTTGGATTTTTAATAATTAGTGATTTGAACTGTGATGATTGTAATAACCCTATGGGAACTTCATAAAGGCACTGAACTGATGAATTCCTGCTGCTAACTTATCAGCTGCCATATAAAAGGTTATTATCATGTACTTATTATGATAAAGTATATATAACATTAATACAATGCTTAAGACTAATAGACTTAAGCTTGTTAATATGCTAGTATAAACTCCTTAGAGTTTGTTAGCTAAAATACTTTAAGATATAACATAGTACTAAGCTTAAGATATGATTAAACTTAAGCTAATTATATAATAGCAAACTCTTTAGAGTTTGTTAGTTAATATACTTATATGATATAGATATAATGCTGAGCTTAAGATATGAATAAGCTTTAGCTACATATATAATAGCAAAAACTCTGTAGAGTTTGTTAGCTAATATATTTTTATAATATGAGTATAGTACTGTGCTTAAGCTATAATTAACTTAAGCTACATATATAATAGCCAAACTCTGTAGAGTTTGTTAGCTAATATATATTTATAATATTAGTATAGTACTGAGCTTAAGATATAATTAACTTAAGCTACATATATATAGCAAAACTCTGTAGGGTTTTGTTAGCTAATATATTTTTACAATATGAGTATAGTAGTGTGCTTAAGATATAATTAACTTAAGCTACATATATAATAGCAAAACTCCGTGAGTTTGTTAGCTAATATATTTTACAATATGAGTATAGTAGTGTGCTTAAGATATAATGAACTTAAGCTACATATATAATAGCAAAACTCCAGAGAGTTTGTTAGCTAATATATTTTACAATATGAGTATAGTATTGTGCTTAAGATATTATTAACTTAAGCTACATATATAATAGCCAAAAAACTCTGTAGAGTTTATTAGCTAATATGTTTATAGTGTAACCATAGTACTAAGCTTAAGATAAGATTAGACTTAAGCTAAAAGTATATAGCAAAATAAACTCCTTAGAGTTTATTAACTAATATACTTTTATGTTAAAAACATAGTACTGAGCTTAAGTTATGATGAAACTTAAGCTATATATATATAATAACAAAACTCCGTCGAGTTTTGTTAGCTAATACCTTTATAATGTAAACATACTGCTTAAGATATGATGAAACTTAAGCTAATTGTATAATAGCGAAAACAACCCTTTAGAGTTTGTTAGCTATGATATAAACCTAGTATTGAGCTTATGAAGGAAAACTTAAGCTACATATATAATAGCAAGAACTCGTGAGAGTTTGTTAGCTAATACATGTTATAATGTAACCATAAAGCTTAAAATATGATGAAACTTAAGTTTAAATATATAATAGCAAAACCCTCTTTTAGAGTTTTGATAGCTAATATACCTATATGATATAAACATAGTACTGCTTTAAGATATGAATAAGCTTAAGTTACATATATAATAGCTAAAACTATGTAGAGTTTGTTAGCTAATACATGTTATAATATAACCATATTGCTTAGAAATATGATGATACTTATAGCAAAAACTCTTTAGAGTTTGTTAGCTAATCTACTTATATGATATAAACATAGTACTAAGCTTAAGATATGAATAAGCTTAAGCTACCTATATAATAGCAAAACTCCTTAGAGTTTGTTAGCCAATATATTTTAATAATATGAGTATAGTACTATGCTTAAGGTATAATTAGCTTAAGTTACCTATATAATAGTAAAACTCCGTAGAGTTTGTTAGCTTAATTAACTTAAGCTATGTATAAAATAGCCAAAAACTCTGTAGAGTTTGTTAGCTAATGCATTTATCATGTAACCATAGTATTACTCTTAAGATATGAATAACTTAAGGTAAATATATATAATAACAAACTCTGTAGAGTTGTTAACTTATATATTGTATGATGTAATAATCATAGTACTGTGATGATAAAAGGAACTTAAGTAAATTATACATAGCATGAAGCTATTTAGTATTGTTATAAGATAAGTAAAAATCTGTTAGATTGACTTATCTTCTCCGAGGAACTGTCAGCTGTTGTGCGAGGACCATGGGATCGAATTGGTGTATACCTGAGACGCCCTCGGTGGTGATATCTCTCAGATAATGGTTTGCAACCACCATATCGATTTCCAGAAATAACCCTCCATTATTTCAATCACATTTGTGTAGAACAATTGTAGAAGTTAGCGCTATAATATCATGAGTATTAAGCTCATGGAGGGTCGGAATAGGTCCATCCGCATATGCACGTAGTATGACAGTTCTGATCCAAATGGAGATATAGTACATGAGACTTCACTCTGCGTAAGTTGATGATAGAGGAAATAATCTGTTGCATTTTTTCCTCCTGTTTGGTTTGGTGGAGATAAATTTACAGTGCTCTTGCTGGCCAACTTGATAGAATCATCGTGATCATGGGGTCCAAGTATGTCATCCAGGCGTGTTCATAAACCTCACTTGTGAGGTGTTGGAGCACTATATTCATATCCCCAGGTTGGGCGTGAAATTTCCGCTTTGTTCTCCAAACAGAAGTTTAGTAGGTTTACTAACCATCTAGTTGTGTTAGTCGCTTGATGAAATTCAGCTGTAGTCTGGAAACGCTGTGGATTTAGATCCACTTGTATCTTCGCTCTAGGTAATTCGCTGCGAAGTCCTTGACGATGTAGGTGCACAACCAGGTGTGTCTGTCCTCGTTGAACTTTATGTAAAATCGCCTGACTGCCGATCCCTCGCCTTAACTTGACAGGGGAGGTCTCTAACTTGAAGAAAGGCAGTCTAATCATGAATGTTCAGGTTAACTGGACTGTAATGAGGCTTGCTCGCTCACTGATATATAGTTGTCACTTCAGACGTAAGTCTTGAACTGAGAATTGAGATTGACCTCTGTGTAGGTCGTTGTCCCTCGGGTCCAATCAGAACAAGGCATTTTGATTCTGTATAATACCCGGCTGTGATGTCACCGGTGTAGCGGAAAAAAACCCACCTTGAATAAATTCTTGTCGCCGTTGATATTAGCATAAACGCCGGTCTTCACCGTAGCTTCCTCGGTTATCCGAGTGACCACGTGTTTCGAGGGTTAATGGTAATCGCTAGCGAAAACCTCCGGGCGAAATATCTCGCTCTGTAATTATATGCTGGGTAGGTTATTTTCCTGGTTGTCGCGGAAAGTAATTTCAGTTTTGAATATAATTCGACTTCCTTATATATAAGGGTATAAACAACTTGCAAGTTGTGAGCTTGTAGACTGTATACATGAATGTATCGTCATAATTGTAGAATTAACGTTGAACTTGTTGTACATATTTCTTCTCAGAAACTTTGACGCATTAAGAGTTATACTCGCTGTAACAAGGCTGCTGTTCAATTTCGATATTGAATTGTCTGCAGATATGCGTAATGGTCACGCATGTAGATAATCGTGATCGTCGTCCGGGATTGTATATTAGCAATTTATACGAATAGTTGATTTCTGTGAAGATCTATGAAATGTCGTTGACTAATAATACAGCGACGTTCTGTGTTGTAAATAGCCTGAGCAATTATCTTCGCCAGAGGCTTATAGACGGCATCTGGCATACAGTTGATAATCAACTTGGCGCGACGCCTTGAACGGACTGACGAAAGTAGCTATATATGACGAAAGTGGCTAGTATATGGAAACCTTGGAGGAGACTTCCTCGGTGAACGCCGGAGACTTCGCTGAAGTTCTCAAGTATCCCTTCTAGATCTTCTGGGTGAAGTAGACTTGAGTTACTTAGCCTTCGCGACCATCGCCAAGGTGTCGAAGTCAAAGCCCGAATAGTATATATATATATATATAAATATATATATGAGCTTGCTTCGTGAACAGCCTCTGTGTTTAACAGGATGTGGGATCGGCTGGCGCTTGCCTAAGTAGGGCCGCATGGATCATCTTATCATATTCAGAAGTCGCGGTTACTTAAGTCTGGTGATAAGTGTCTAATTGATCGCTCTAGATCTATTTAGGCCAGCTTAACATACGCCTCGCCATGGATTCAACAGAACCAATATACGATTGTAGTTCTTATACTTGATATCGATGATCAACTTGTCTATGGGTTGATCTTCTCGGAGACTTGTGAGGGGAACGTTGATAGTTTCGCCTAAGCTCTTGTATAGTCCCTCGATGTCCTTCTAGATGATGATGATCTGGATTCAGGTGTCTTCTTTCGGCGCATGCCTTCGCGAAGCTTCCTCTGCGTCCGTCCGGGAACGACGATATGACCTTCGCGAAGGCTTCCGCGGATGTCTGATGGTCCGAGTCCACATCTAGGGATGAAACCGCATAAGGTGATGATCTATCCTGCCTTCGCGAAGTCCTTCGCGAAGGCTGTACATCTAGGTTCTTTCCGCCTTCGCGAAGGCTGTACATCTAGGTCCTTTCCGCTTCGCTGAAGGCCTTCGCCGCGAAGGCTGTACATCTAGGTCCTTCGTCAAGGTGGTCCGTGACTTCCTTCGCGAAGGTGACATCGCCCTGGCTGCTACGCTGACGGGGGTGCCTCTGGGGTGCTGTTCACGTTGGAGCCTTCGCTGGGTTCGACCCTGCTACCGCGAGATATAGTGGTCCTCCATGATGTTCATAATTTGTCGCATCATGTCTTCTGGGATGGTCTGCGACGAGGTCGCCGGTGCTTTATCTGGCGTGTTAATGGAGGGGTCCACCGGAAAATCGTCCGACATCAGTGTAGAGGCATCAGGCTGCATGGTGATCTCTGCTGATGTCGTTGTAGCTGTCACCGGTCGCTTTTTGTGGCGTGACGCCGGGATGATGATCAGCTGATCATCGTGAGAGGTCCAGGTCATCGGCTGGAACAATCTCGCTGAGAAAGTCCTAGTAGACTTCGCTGATTTTCCTCAGAGGTCGACGCTGCCCTGGGTGTGCGACGCCTGCGTTGAGTGTTGGTACTGATGGGACCCTCAGGACGCATCATCGCGATATCTGGCGTTGGTACATCAGGCTGCATGCTGATCTGAGCCGACATCGGTCAATCTTTGATGTACATCTGGTATGATGACCGGCTGATCATCAAACAGGCCCAAACCGCGATGGGAACGGTCTCGCTGTTGAGATGTGGTAGAAAACCTCTAGTCTTCTGCTGCGACGATGGGATGTCTGGGGAAGCAGGATGCTTTGGAGATGGCGGACTACGCCCACACCTCTCCACCACTCTAGCGGAACACCACACGGGAGGGGAGTCGGCCAACAGCAGTAGACTGGCGAGGGGTTCCGTGTATCAGTCATACTAGAGTCTGCATACGCGACCTATCTGCTGTGCGTGCCAAACGCAAAGTAAATATTAATAAAAGGTAGAATTGGATAAATTAGTACCGCGAACTGCAATGTGAATATAATAAACATGGCCGCACATCATATTAAAGGCGGATCAGCAGCAGCATAAAAACGTAATCTGCAATAGTACAGAATTTTCATCAACGTAATCCACTGAAACAAACACGGGCCCGTGAATAAACTGTAGAAAACGACTAAATATCAATATATAATCGCTTGAAGGATACTAGCTAAACCTCTATAGATGTCTATACGAGGTAACTAACTAAATATATTTCAAAGGATATAGTGTGTCGGGAGACACAGGCGCTCTCACGTCCAGCTCACTGGGCGAAGAAGGAGAGAGTGAGGCACATGGGTAGAGGTTCGCTCTCCCCGCCGCAGCTTGTGAAAAGGAGGTAACTCGTGGTGAATACTAATTAGTGATTTTAAATTGAAGGGAGCTTCAATTAGGGAGATACAAGTGTTCCACTATGTTCGCAAGAAGAAGAAGACAAGCAAAAAGAGCATGAGTCAGGATAAGGAAAAATAATCAATTATTAGAATTCATCTATCTTATCAGCTGTTTTAGAGCGAGGTAGGTTTGAAGTGTTTTAAGTGGGTATGGTATTGACAAACCTAGAAACATGATCAGGTTAAAATGGGATTCAAACCCACAAGCACAGGTTTCCTGAACACCTAAGGGAGGCAACTCTGCACACCGAGGTGATCCGTACTGACATTATCACAGCCTGCATGAGCGCAGGATGTACAATACAACACTGAGGGTTTTCTGCCATCCATACTGATAACACAGCACACAAGGAAGCTGATAGGTTGATAATGATGCACAATACACCTTGTTCCAATGATTGATTTATGATGTTTTGATCTTCCTCATTGTTCATGAACTGATACAGATTGATCACTGACCATTTACTGCACTTGTCTGGAATCAACAAGGACATCAAAATCCTACACTGTGGAGTTCACAATAACTTCTTTTTCAATGTCTTATCTAAAAGATATTCACACAATATATCAGATTGTATAATGATACAGATTTCCTTTGTGTTTTGCTCATAAGCAAACAGTGAAACCATTTATATTCCTTACTACAGAGCCGAAAAAAGTAATTGAGAGTGTTTTAAATCTGTATCCAGTATCAGAAACTTTGCAGACAACACCAAATATAAGCATGTGGTTTAATGCTGCTTTGAACAGTAATTCAGATTTGTCATGGTCTGTCAACTTGATGTTGAGGTCAACAAATAGTCGAAGCTGCTTTGATAACAGGTACTCATGTGGTCCAACAATATGAACGTAGAGCTGGATATGATAGGACAGCAATTATACAGACTATGAAGACAAAGTTAGCCTGAAAATAAAACAAAAACTAGTGATACAAATAACTTACAAGATTTGTAAAATTTCTAGGGTGGACACAAATTTTGGAAATTCCATGGTGTTTTTTGACAGTTTTAGCAAGAATTCCACTAAACTGTTTCACAAAAACAACAGATTATCAATGTTCAAAAACTGTAGGCATCAAGGACAGAACAGAAAACATGAAACTGACATGACAACACGATGTAGCACATGCCAGTGTACAGAAAAGACACGGAACTGTGCAGAAAGACACGGAACTGTGCAGAAAGACATGGAACTGTGAAGAAAGACACGGAACTGTGCAGAAAGACATGGAACTGTGCAGAAAGACATGGAACTGTGCAGAAAGACATGGAACTGTGCAAACAGACATGGGACTTTGCAGAAAGACATGGAATAATGCATAAAGACATGGAACTGTGCAGAAAGACATGGAACAGTGCAGAATGAAGCAAAGCGGACAACATCGAGAGTACACGAGACTCACTTCCCGTGTCTGCGAGTCCACAAGGAGGCAGCAGCAGCAGGGAGGAGAAGAGGAGGAAGGATGAGTGTCGGGACATCGATAGGGATACACACAATTGCTCAGCAAACTTTGCAAAGCATGAACTAATTCCTCATTATATTCATTCTTGTCCAACAATTATATCTGAGGTCTGTGTAAAAATGTTTGTAGCTACTATCTCGACCCTTCTGTGTTTGCACCTTTGGCAAACTATACCTCCAACATGTGGAATGTTATTTTATCGCCACAGAAAACCTCAAGACTGAACAAGACTGACTAGTGGCTAAAATGGCTGACTATCTTACAGTCGGAGAAAACAAAGCACTAAGTACACCGGGCTAGGCAAGCACTCCCTTGTTCAGTTGCTGAGTCAGCTGTATTTTCGAAAGAGAGACAATAGCATTGGCATGGTGGAAACCAAGCAAATTATATACAAGGGAAATAGCTCAGTTAGTTGCATGAATTCAAATGTTTTAATCATGCATGTTAGTCTTGTCCTTTGTACATTGACATTGGAAAATATTTCAGCTAAGAAATAATTTTGAACAAATTATTTAGATCATTACTTGTTTTGCATGTATTGACAAAACAAAACCTGCTTGTTTCTTTGACTGTTTTGAGAGAGAGAACCTGTTTCCCCAAACAATTTATGCTCACAAAGAAAATATTACCTGACTTTTTATCAGATTTGTATTTCAATACTACTGGGACAGGTATCTCTACTATTACTCAACAACTAAATCAAGTATATCTACTATTGCCCTATGACTATATCAAGTATAACTACCATTACCCTAGGTCTAGATCAAGTACATCTACTATTGCCCTATGACTATATCAAGTATAACTACCATTACCCTACCACTAGATCTAGTATATCTACTATTGCCCTATGACTATATCAAGTATAACTACCATTACCCTACGACTAGATCAAGTATATCTACTATTGCCCTATGACTATATCAAGTATAACTACCATTACCCTACCACTAGATCAAGTATATCTACTATTGCCCTATGACTATATCAAGTATAACTACCATTACCCTACGACTAGATCAAGTATATCTACTATTGCCCTATGACTATATCAAGTATAACTACCATTACCCTACGTCTAGATCAAGTATATCTACTATTGCCCTACGACTAGATCAAGTATAACTACCATTGCCCTACGTCTAGATCAAGTATATCTACTATTGCCCTACGACTAGATCAAGTATAACTACTATTACCCTACTACTAGATCAAGTATAACTACTATTACCCTACGACTAGATCAAGTATATCTACTATTACCCTACGACTAGATCAAGTATATCTACTATTACCCTACAACTATATCTACTATTGGCCTACAACCCTGGGACTGTACAAGTATCTCTACTATTGGCCTACAACCCTGGGACTGTACAAGTATATCTACTATTGGCCTACAACCCTAGCACTGTACAAGTATCTCTACTATTGGCCTACAACCCTAGCACTGTACAAGTATCTCTACTATTGGCCTACAACCCTAGCACTGTACAAGTATATCTACTATTACAACCCCTACAACCCTAGCACTGTACAAGTATCTCTACTATTGGCCTACAACCCTAGCACTGTACAAGTATCTCTACTATTGGCCTACAACCCTAGCACTGTACAAGTATCTCTACTATTGGCCTACAACCCTAGCACTGTACAAGTATCTCTACTATTGGCCTACAACCCTAGCACTGTACAAGTATATCTACTATTGGCCTACAACCCTAGCACTGTACAAGTATCTCATTACTATTGGCCTACAACCCCCTAGCACTGTACAAGTATCTCTACTATTCTACAATTGGCCTACAACCCTAGCACTGTACAAGTATCTCTACTATTGGCCTACAACCCTAGCACTGTACAAGTATCTCTACTATTGGCCTACAACCCTAGCACTGTACAAGTATCTCTACTATTGGCCTACAACCCTAGCACTGTACAAGTATATCTACTATTGGCCTACAACCCTAGCACTGTACAAGTATCTCTACTATTGGCCTACAACCCTGGCACTGTACAAGTATATCTACTATTGGCCTACAACCCTAGCACTGTACAAGTATCTCTACTATTGGCCTACAACCCTAGCACTGTACAAGTATCTCTTCTATTGGCCTACAACCCTAGCACTGTACAAGTATCTCTACTATTGGCCTACAACCCTAGCACTGTACAAGTATCTCTACTATTGGCCTACAACCCTAGCACTGTACAAGTATCTCTACTATTGGCCTACAACCCTAGCACTGTACAAGTATCTCTACTATTGGCCTACAACCCTAGCACTGTACAAGTATCTCTACTATTGGCCTACAACCCTAGCACTGTACAAGTATCTCTACTATTGGCCTACAACCCTAGCACTGTACAAGTATCTCTACTATTGGCCTACAACCCTGGCACTGTACAAGTATCTCTACTATTGGCCTACAACCCTAGCACTGTACAAGTATCTCTACTATTGGCCTACAACCCTAGCACTGTACAAGTATCTCTACTATTGGCCTACAACCCTAGCACTGTACAAGTATCTCTACTAGCACTGTACAAGTATCTCTACTATTGGCCTACAACCCTAGCACTGTACAAGTATCTCTACTATTGGCCTACAACCCTAGCACTGTACAAGTATCTCTACTATTGGCCTACAACCCTAGCACTGTACAAGTATCTCTACTATTGGCCTACAACCCTAGCACTGTACAAGTATCTCTACTATTGGCCTACAACCCTAGCACTGTACAAGTATCTCTACTATTGGCCTACAACCCTAGCACTGTACAAGTATCTCTACTATTGGCCTACAACCCTAGCACTGTACAAGTATCTCTACTATTGGCCTACAACCCTAGCACTGTACAAGTATCTCTACTTCTATAAGCAGGAAGTTGCAGCAAGGCGAAGCTGTGTTGGCTGCACCTGGTGACACTCACTCTGTTGTGTGAAGTTGGCTGTGGTGGTCATGAAGTGAGCGGCAATGCGGTCTGCCAGTGAGTTGCCGTCGGTGATGAGACGTTGACTGTACTGACTGGAGTAGAAGGACGACGCACCGCTGCTGTCCGATACTGCCAGGATCAGTTTAGGCACATTGGGGAGACGCAAAGCAAATGCTCTGAAAATAGTGTGGAAATATAATGAGCAGGTTTGGACACACATTCATTGAATGAGGTTTGTGCCTTTCAAGAAATCAGACATCTGATTTACCAATTAGTAAACTCCATTTGAACTGCTTTTAAAAAGAATTTATTTGTAGGCACTGAGAAATAAAGCAAAGAATCACAGCAATCAACAATGTTAGAGGTGAGGTGAGGTGAGGTGAAATTGGGTTTAACGTCGTGCTTGAGAATATTTCGCTCATATGACGACTTGCATGCGTGTGTATGTGTATGTGCGGCTGCTTGTACTAGCCCAGACTTAAGCTGGTTAGATAGTGCTAGCCCACTGGGATACCATGCCGCAGTGAAGCATGAATACCCCACTCAGACACATTATACTGACTCCGAGCCGACCAGTCCTTGTTGTACCCATTAATGCCGAGCGCCAGGCAGGGACCAACAAGTACCATATTTTAACGTCTTTGGGTATGACGTGGTCGGGAACAATGTTAGAATATCAAAAGATGGAATTACAACTTTATAGATGATTGTTTAATTGTTTGTTGTTTAATGCTGCCCTCAGCAATATTCCAGCTTTATGGCGGCTTTTTGTAAAGAATCAAGTCTGGACCATACAATCCAGTGATCAAAAGTATGAGCATCAATCTACATATTTAGGATACCATGAAATGTTTCAATCAAGTCAGCAGGCCTGACCACCAGATCCCACTAGTCAACTCTTTTGGCAAGCATGGGTTACTGAAGAACAATTCTAACCCGGACCTTCACTGGTAGACCCCAAAAAATCACCAGTTTTGAATATCCTTGGCACCTAAAATCTATAACTGGTTTGTCTGGTCTATAATGGATCATTTAAAGCCACCATCACACAGATGAAATACTGCCCACAATTTGGGTAATCATGTATGACACACGATCAACACTAGGGCTGCAACGAATACACTATGTGGCAAATATGATATGTATCACGAATATTGGGTAACGAATACGCAAACAGGGATAGAAATACTTTTTTCTAAATGTGCCTTAGGGCAACAGACAAATATCTTAGGTGTGCCTTTCAGAAAGTGTGCCCACATGTTTTTAGAATCAATGACAATGATGATGATCATTTGAAATTTTATTGTTAAATAAAGAAATGGGTTTTTGAGCATTCAAATTGTGTATGGCATTATCCAATTCGGAAAAAAAAAAATTGTTTGGGGGATTAAATGACTAAAGGTGAGTTATGTTTTCAAAAAATTAGGCATGCCATAAGGCACCGAGAATGTTAACCATGACATTTCAATATTTACCATGCCATGGAACGCCACCAAATGGGGTATTTCAAACCCTGGAATAATTATTCACAAATACAATATTGTAGTAATTGTTTGATGGACAATACGGAACATCCATGTTGTCAGTGTTAATTTGTCACAGCAATAACCAGTGATCTCATGACACTCAAATTTGGTATGTAATAGTTATGGTCGACAGTACCATGTGCGACCTTTGCAAACTTAAATGACTTGCGTTACCGCAAGGCTAGTACATATTCCACTCTTGCATATCTCACTTTGAAAAAGGGCATAAGGGTTCAAGTAAAACACGCTCCCTTAAAAAGAGAATCGTAAATATTTGTAAATATTCAGTTCATGTGACCACGAATAACCAATCGAATTCATGAAGGGCTACGGTTCCATTCACCTAGTATGCTAGTGAATTGTAACAGCCTTAATCAACACACGTGATTACCAGTAAGTATGTGTTTGTTATTTAATGGCTTACTCTGTGTCATACATCAGTCAGTTAGCGTGAACACCCAATAGAGCAATTTTAATCCAGATCTTGAGGATTAGCTACTGACCTGAGCGTCATAAGAGAAGCTTTCCGTTTGGCGGAGTATACAAGAATGTAGCCATGTGTGACTTGTTGAAGGTCGTGGCTGTCCCCATGGTAAGATGACACTTCTATTTCTATTCGCTGTTTCTGATACTCCAGGAAAGTGTCCAGAGTAATGAGATGGGGTGCTTTAGGTGACACTCTGCAGAATTCATTATTCAAGAAGGGTCCTAGCGGGACGTCCACCATGAACTCATCACCGCACATCATGCACACAGATATCCTGAACGGAACAAATGATACAATTAATTATAAAATGAGAAAACATAATGAAATTCATACAATCATAAACATGTAAAAAACACATTATACAATGAGAAAACGTGGAATAAATCATTATACCAGAAAGCAAGCTATAAACAATTATACACGGCCAAATTATTAAACAATGAGAAGGGAGAAGACATGATAAAACAGTTGTCAATTTGGTATTCTCTAGACAAGAAGAGAACCTTCACAGAAACTCATCATTAATCATCTATACAGGGTATTAGAAACATTTAAAAGTGTTGTCATCACAGGATAGATAATTCGAGGTGAAACCAAAATAACACAGGAAAACCAAACACCCTTTTTTGTGCTTTGACCAATGGGTTCTGAAAGGTAAGGAAGCAACTCTGGAAAACCTTGTCCCCAAATGAAACAGAGGGTTTGATAAAGTAGAGGTATGTTACCTTTATTGTCATTAAACAATGGACATTGTGGCATATATAGGAGATATATGAGGCTACAGGGGTTTAGGAAAAGGCTCTGTAGTTATGGTAGTCTGTCTCACAGTCCCTGAACCACATTATTTTCCCTACTGCCAAGCCCTATCTGCAGTGCTAAAGCCCTAAATAAAGCAAGTCTAGATTTCCTCAGGTTCAGGTGGTCTCCCTGGGGCTCTTTTTCAATTTAAATGGGCTTGTTTGTTACTATCAAAAGTATATATATTCAGAGACTAAGCATGAGTCAATAGTTATGGTTCCAGGTGGATTAACAAGGTTAAAATCAATGATTGTTGATGAACAGCTGACACTGACATCCAAGGGATGTAACTCTGCAAACAAATCCCTTTTCCACATCCAGAAGAAATCTCTAGTAAATTCATAGTTGACTGACTGTACCATGAACATATGTTTAAGATAAAAATATTACATTATCAAAAAGGTGAGATGACCCTGCTCCACTGGTGGTATCCATCATAAACAAATGTAAAAGCTTGTTAATTGTTCAAGTAAAACAGTGAGTGAGTGAGTTTATTTTTACGCCGCGAATGCTTTAACCACTAGGCTACCCCACTGCCCCCACATAAAACAATATGAAAACATGTGGTACAAGTCAAAATAGGAAATTGCATCAGACATCACTACTGCCAATGATGTGTCAAATTTGGAAGTGTTCCCCCTGAAGCTTTACTGAGCCCTTGAACGTTGTAACCTTGATTAAGCAACTTCTGAGCAAGAGTTGTATGACCCTCTTTGAAATCTTGGTAAAAGTAGCATGCTCCAGCGTGAAATGTACACAAATAAGGCTGGAGCTGTAGGAACACTGATCAACATTATTGCTCAGTGTCAGTCAGGGTGTTACAAACAGCAGACAGCATTCTACACACCTGCAGAAATCTCTGTTTCACCGTTAGGATTCTATGTTTCAACAGTATTCTAGCCATAACAAAGTTGAGGACACAAAGATGGTATTTCAAACACAGTTAAAATTCCATGTCTTTGATTCAAAGAGTAACCCTCAGAGATACAAACTGTCCGTCGCAGTTCATTCTTCATCGCCAGCATGTAGAAATGTCACTTACCTTGGTCTTGAGGTTCAATTTAGATGAACATTAGATGTACAATTTCACATAATGAAGTCAGAAAGTGTTCATCTACCTTGAACCTCTCGGATAGTGTCACATGTAGCTCACCATCTTGAAGGGGCATGGGGTGGTAGCTCACCTGATATCTGGCTGTGCATGCTCTGAGAGGAGCCAGCCCCCCATGCTTGATGAGCAGCGGCGAATGACAGCCTGCAGCGCCCGGTGGATCTGACAGCTGTCAAACTGCGTATGTGAGGCCTCATCTATGTCCTCAGGAATGTTGATGAATTCACCATGTAACCTAGGAAACCAGTACAGATTAATAAATATCAAATAATTGGCTTCTTTTCTAAAATCAATAGATATTTCACATCTTCACTGAAGACCTTGATATTGTGAGTCCTCCACAATAGTTCAAACTAAGGCTGTCATGCGATGTCAATGGCTGCCACCTTTCCCAAGTTACAGTTAGTATATCGCTACAATAAACAGGTGAAGACACCAAAACTTTATGATATTGATAATTTTATCTACAAAATTGTTTATAGCTTAGTTTCTACTTCAAATACAGCAACCCAATATGAGTGGACTTTCTGCACTACACAGAGGCAACACTACAGACAGACTTACTATCAGGTGATAAACAAGACACACTCGTTTTAGTAGCAGACTGTGTAAGGCCAAACAACGGCCTTTCTTTATGTGTAGCTATGCAATATCTGTTTTCAAGCCGGTGGATTGGCATATTTTTCAACAAAATTATGGCTAAAGTAATACTTTCATATTTGCCAATTTAGGACACTTAGTTTCTATTTGTGTCTATAGCTATCTTGACTTATGAATTCAACCTATTTCCAATGTTACCAAATGAAAATTCCAAACATATCCTAAACTGATTATTACAGGTTTCTAGTTACTAGTTCATGATAATCAAAAATTTAATTTATATCAATGTAGGTGATGTCATCTATGAAAATCGTTACTGTAGCTGACCTTTTGGCAAGATTCTGGCCATCATCGTGGAGTATCTCCCGCTCCTTGTCACTTTGACTAGAATTATATGCTTGAATGACTGCAATGGGCATCCCGTTGAGGGCCTGTACATCCTGCTCGAGATCAGTGAACAGTGAGCGTTCCAGACTCTCCCGCACATACGTCAGAGTGTGCAAGGAGTTGTAGACACACACACATCCTGAAACACGGGGCAGCAAAAATCACATCTATACTATTGAAATAGTTTTCCTATCCTTGAATTTGAAATCATTTCCCAAATGAATGTATAGTATTTATGAAACAAAAACAAGCTAAAGTAGTTTCAGTCCCTTTTAATGACTGACAAGAAACTTGAAACCCAGATCACGTGAACAGTCATGTTTGTTTAAGAGGTACAGGTGCGCATAAATCTAAATCAAAGTGAATGAATCTAGTCCTTCCTGTATTTTGAGCTGTGCATTTATCAACAGAAGTCAATTACTAAACTATCGATAGCCACACATACTATCGATAGTTTTTTGTCTCTACCATAGTGAGCTAGCCTAGTGGGTAAAGCGTTGGCTCATCACGCCGAAGACAAGGGTTTGATTCCCCACATGGGTACAATGTGTGAAGCCCATTTCTGGTGTCCCCCACGTGATATTGCTTGAATATTGCTAAAAGCGGTGTAAAACCAAACTCACTCACCCACTACCATAGATTAATTGCTACTGGAGACACAACAATTGCAACCCATCGATAGTTAAATGCAATGTTACAGCCCTAGTAACCAATACTATATAATGTCACACCTTACTCTTTTTATAGATATTAATGTCTGATTCAATAACCTTGACGAGTTTCAGAAACTCTTAATGAGTGGAAGTGAACGAGAGCATCACTGATGTGACCACTCTGCTGTAAAACCCTGCAAGGAGGTGAGTATTGGGGAACCATTAAAGTCCTTACCATGTGGTTTGAAGTTAGCTGTGGCTAATGCATTATGCTCCAAACTGACATCGCCATCTATAGGCCGGTAGTCAAGGCTGTAGTTGACACTATCATGAACATACTCATCGTCTATACATAGATTCTGAAACAGTAAAGGGAACATATCAAGTTCACAGACACCCTCATCAACACTCATTGTCTATACATAGTTCTGTCACTATGGGCTAAACTGACAATCGCAGACATGCTTGAAAACACTTTATGAGTTTTGAATTTAACTTTAGAAGCCTGTAAATATTATTTGAAATATGTACGTATGTCTGGAAGACATCATCAAAGATTTGAAATTGAAGGCATATTCTCATATTCTGCAATTTTACTATTTCCTGATTGAGGATGACCTGACAGCTTCCGGCATATTCAGCGCCACAAGAACAGCCTCATGAACTGTACCCACGACACGACACAATGAAGGAAAGTCAAATCCAGGGATGAGAATTTTCTGCGGATCCGCAGAATTTTGCGGGCTGGGGTCATTCTTGTAAAATCGTCTATATCTGTGGAAAATAGATGTCTCATTTTCCTCTTTTTTTCCCACTCATACCCATTCTCACCCCTGCTAATCCCAATGCCATCGCTAATGACAATCATGGACTACTACAGATTAACTGTAACCAGGATCCGACAGGCTTGACACAATGTGTCTGTTTTTGTTGTTGGTTGTCGCAATCAGCAGTATTCCATCTATATTACAGCTGCCTGTAACCGACAAAGTCTGGACCAGTGATTGATACTGTGGGCAACAATCCATGCCATCAAGTTACGATGACTAACCATAAGCTTAGCCTGGCCACCCGATCCCCTTAGTTTCCTCCTACATAAGCTTCAAACATATCTTCCTGTTTAAATATGGATTCCCCGCAGGGTTCTAGAAATAAAGAGCTGGGCCCTTATTCTCGAAATGTCCGTAGCCCTAAGAATTCTTAACTTTGATCATAGCCAATGTGTTAAAAATAGGCTTAAGAAGTCCGTAGGGCTACGAACGTTTCGAGAATGGCTAGCCTGGCAACTTACCCTGATAGCCAGGTTGACATCTTTGGCGAGTCCGTCCTTGCCAAGCAGCACCAGGTTGAGACACCGTTCTGACCCATCCTCGATCTCACATGACTGGACCACCTCCGGCCTGCAACATACACACAAAGATACAGAACCAGAACAAGACATGCATCTTTCTGCTAGACCATTGGAAAACAGACACAGAAGTTATTATCCAAGGAAAATCTGCCTGAAGAATGAGATAAGGTGACAAAGGACCTGATGGAGCTCACCTGGATGACCTGGAGGACAGTAGTTTTTGGGACTGCAGGTCAACACAGTTCTCCCGCGGAAGTAGCACCGATCCTTGGATGGACACTGGATGAAGCCGAGATGGTTGAGAATCATCACTTTACGGTCCTCCTCCAGGCGACAGAGAACCTTGTACCTGAAATAATACCAGGATTTTGTCACTAAGAGACAAGCATACACAGTAAACTGCAGCACTTCAGGTGATGCCCTGCTGGGTTCTTTAAAAAATAATGACACGACACGGGAGTAGGGAGATGAGGTTCAATGACACTAAACCAGTCATATTCATTCGGGACCCTCTGCATATTACATAACTGCTTACCTGCTGCTAACCGCATTAAGCAAAGGATGACCTATCATCATTTTATAGCTATTGCTGTTTCAGATATTGTATTTCCTTTGATCAAACAGAACCTAACAGCCACTATCTGACAACAGCGATCGAGCTCAGTGTCATGTAAACTTTATCATGGAGGGGAATACCAGGACTCCACTCACTGTACCCATGTGAGCCACTGTTCATGTATCTATGTTCGTGAGATATAGCAATACTTTAGCCACAAGGTTACCTCATCGGTCGCACATGAACTTAATCAGTATCACTACTAGTGGTGTTCCGACACAATCAAAGGGTGGGCGCAGTGACCAAACCACCAAGCATATCAATCACATTTTCTCATAATCGAACACAAACGATTCTGGACCTACTGTTTTAGTGTTTGAACATATCGTAGAAGTTGTCAGGGTCTGAAAACGGGTTTAGATCTTAGGAAACTCACTTCATTTACTGGAAAGTAATGACTGAATATTTCTTGAAGACTCTGGATGGTATATGTTCATGAAACATTAGACATCACTTTAAAGCAGAGATGCCAACCCCAATTTAGCCCAATTAGTATTTTGGCCAAAAACTGATGCAAAAGCTAGTATTTTTTGGCAAAAATTAGTATTAAACTTTCCAAAGAATTTTCATATTTAATACAGAATATATAGATATTCTAAGAACTTGTTATTAACATTGTACTCAACTAAATCAGGAGTAAGCATCCACATATTACTTGATGCTGAATAAGATGTGTTTAGCGATTTATTGTGCATGGTACATATGCTATTGATAATTTCATGTATTTTTCTTAAAATTGTATATTTTTACTACTATCGTAGTCGCATATTTTGTGTTGATTTTTCGTAACGAATACAGTAAAATCGTATGAGTTGGCATCTCTGTTAAAGTAGCAAGTTGCATCATTTTACATTGGATGTGAAATTTGCAAATATCTAAGTAAAACAAAAAAAACCAGAGAACCATATTATACTTATCTGCATTAACAACCAGAACAGGAAAATCTTAAAAATGATGTCAGCCAATTTTTGTCAATGATTCCTTGGTAATAAACCAATCATCAATTGTGAGATTTCAACCAATTCCCAACACTAATCACTACCTAGGATCATCGTGCAGTGCTAACGTGATGCCCTTCAGGTCTTCTGGCGTCAGCCTCCCTGTGGAATTGAGATTCAGAAATATCTGTGACTGTTCCCACAGGAGTTCCTGGAACTCATGCTTGGCCTGCTGTCGCAGTTCCTGCTGATGCTGTTCGTACACGATGCTGCGGTCCGTCTCATCCAGCCCGTTGTACCCCTCCTTCCCTACGAAGAACACGTACGTCTCCCCTAGCGTCTTCCCCGGTGTCACCTGGTGATTCTCCTCCAGCAGCTTCTTGAACTGTCGCTGGAGTCTGAGGACAAGACACACTGTGAGTCTTGGATCAGAATTTACCACAGGGGCAAACCTTTGTAATACATGCAACACTTAATATCTAGAAACAGTTAACTCAACAATGCTGCTTAAGAAAGTGCCATACACCTAATCTATCCATTACATAAACTTCGTGACACTTGCTGTGTTGATAACATACAGTCCATTCTTCCTTCCCTTCCTAAACAGGATAGGCTTTGTCTGGATTGTTTTTGGAAGATAACATATCATTCTTCCCTCCCTACACTTACTCCTTCCTACGGTGGTTCGCCTGCAGCTCGTTGACGTGGTTCCTGAAGCAGGTCTCTGCATCAGGGGAGTTGAGCAAATCAAATGGTATCCTGGTCTCATCCTGGCTGTCAAGGAAGGCATCAGTCGTCTTCCATGTGCCCTGCCCTGACGTGCAAGCGTCCACAAAATACTTGGAGAAGTCTTCATGCTTCTGGATGTTCTTCTGAACTGTTGGCCAGCTCCTGGAAGCAAAGGCAGTGGAACATTACTTTGACAGCTTCACTTAAAACAAGACGACATGAATTAGTGCTACCTTTTGAATTACAAACAACTACAACACACCTATATCAATGAACAGGTTCTTGTCACCGATGTAAAACTTAACAAGAGGCAAAACAACTAACAAGGTCCACAAGGCTCTGTAGCTCACCTGCTGCCAGTCTGAAATATACTGAGAGAAACAAATAAAGGAACACAGGAAAATTCAAGTGTTCCTTTAATATTTTCCAGTTTTCATCACCAGCTTTGAACAGCGCTGTGGGAGGAAATCTGAGAATAAATAAAGGAACACTGCCATGAAGTTGTGTTCCCTTATTTGTTTCCCTCAGTATATTATATCCATAAGGTTATATACCTAAGGACAAGTTGGCTAAAGAAACAACACAATGAACACAATAGTGAGTGAGTTTGGTTTTATGCCACTTTTTAAGGCAATATTCCAGTAATATCATTGTGGCACCAGAAATTTGCTTCACAAATTGTATCCATGTACTATGATGTAGGAAGAACCTGCGGTTTCCAGAGTTATGAGGAAGTGCTTTAAGCACCTGGCTACCCCACCACTCCATTAAAAAAATTACAATAACAAGAAAGAAGAGTGAGTGAATGAGTGAGTGAGTTTAGTTTTACGCCGTACTCAGCAATATTCCAGCTATATGGCAGCCATCTGTAAATAATCGCGTCTGGACCAGACAATCCAGGGATAAACAGCATGAGCATCGATCTGCATAATTGGGAACCAATGACATGTGTCAACCAAGTCAGCGAGCCTGACCACCCGATCCCGACCACCTGATCCCGTTAGTCACCTCTTACGACAAGCATGGGTTACTGAAGATCAATATTCTAACCCGGACCTCACGGGTAATAATAAGAAGAAACAAAATACATCCACATAGAACGAATACAATAAGGCCTGAAGATTCTACTAGTCCATTTTAAAGTTAAACCAGCTTCAGAACTTTCATTGTTTGTTGTTTTAGGCCCCACTTATTCTAATGTGAGTGAGTGAGTGAGTGAGTGAGTGAGTGAGTGAGTGAGTATGTGAGTGAGAGAGATGCACCAAGCAACGTCACCTGAAATATTCACCAACCCAAATAGTGATAACATATGAGACCCCCAAAAGTGTGAAATCCTGCAAGCTCTCGGGGGACCTTTAACATCTGACAAACTGACACAGGCTAGTGCTAAGATGCACACACAGTACCTCAGCAGGTGCTCTAGGAATCAGATTCACACATTATACCTAGGACCATAATGAACAGAGGTGTGATAAGAATATGTATCTCACACTTAGCTTCTACATAGCTGTTTGGGAACAATACACAGACCTATGAATAAGAACAATTTATGTCCACTCAGGGTTATATTATTAATGAGGGTCATGACAGTGAGTCACCTAATCACTACTGTGAGGAAACAAATGGTTCCAACCAAGAGACTGACAAGAAATAGCACAATGCTATACCAGTCTAAGAACTGCAGTAGTACCATGCTGTAAACAGATGATTCCGGACAGAGCAAACCAGTGAAAGCAAAGTCACTTTTTAAAAGCCTGAGCAAAATTTATTGGGGTTTTAGGGTCAGCAGGCTAAAGGTTAAGGATCCTTCTGTGTCAATTGAATCTGAGGAAGCCCGTTTAAATTTCAACAATAGTGTTTGACAAGGTTGGCTGGTTGGTTGTTGTTTAACGCCACACTCATCAATATTCCAGCTATATACCAGCAGTCTGTCAATAACTGAGTCTGGATCAAACAATCCAGTGATCAACACCATGAGCATCGATCTATGTGATTGGGATAAGACGACATGTGTCAACCAGATCTCGTTAATTGCCTCTCACGACAGGCATGGGTTGCTGCAGACCAATTCTAACCCGGATCTCCTCCGTGCTTAAAAGCTTGATCAATAGACATATCATGAAACAGGAAGTCAACAGCTGTTCCTGGATTTCCAATGTCAACCCATATCAAATTTGTAAATGTGCATGAATATATTGCAGATGAGTGTCACAAACAGTTGGTTATGTGTAGGATTTGTCGGGTTCAAAATTTATTGGGGGTCTGTGGGTCCTTCAGAATCTTTCTGTGGTTACTGAATCTGAAGATGCCCCAAATGTCTAAATTTCAACATTAGTACTGAGACACGGTTGGTTGTTGTTTAACGCCGCACAGTAGCACTCAGCAATATTCCAGCTATATGGTGACGGTCTGTGAATAATCAAGTCTTGACCAGACAATCCAGTGATCAACATGAGCATCGATCGATCTACGTAGTTGGGATACAATGACGCTGCAACAGGATCCCTTGGCTTACATGCTTTTTATTTCTGACACTTGGACACAGGTTTATTTTTCAAACAAATTATTATCTTAATCAAATAACTCCTATCAGAAAGGAAAGGAAAAGGGACATATCAAAATTCTGAACTACAGACTCAAAAACATGTTGGATAACTGTAACCAGTAGCGACTCTGAGAGACACTGTCATGTGTTGTGTTGTAATCAATTGTACTCAACACTTGTCTGCCACACCCCTACTTCCTCCATCAATAATGTAATATACTTCTCTGACATCCATTAAGCTAACCTTGTTACTTGACCTGCTAGATCATCAATGGGAGCCCATCTAGCCCAGGTTGCATATCTATTACAGTTTTCCATGAAAAACAATTCTGAACTGCTTGTAACCTTGAAATCTGAATGTAAAGAACTTGCCTTTGTGTTATTTTTAATCTGAAAGATTAGACAGTGAAACTATGACACGGATGAATGCCATAATACCCCAATGTGTGGAACTGATGATCATACTATCTACCCCTAATCGCACTTGAATGCACTTGAATGCTACTCGACATATATTTATATATACAAATACTTTCTGCGTTGTAACACGTTGAAGAGAAATGTGAGTTAGTATGCTTTTACGCTGCTTTAATCAATATTCCAGCAATATCAATGGACACATTGTACCCATGTGGGGAATCAAACCCAAGTCTTCGGCGTGACGAGCGAACGCTTTAACCATTAGGCTTCCCCACCGCCCCGTCGTGTTCAAGATGAGAGTGTTTTCATATCTGTGTGGTAGCATGTTTGTGGCATGTGTATATTTTTGTTAATTCCTGTTATGCCCAGTGACAGACAGGAAAACAAATACCAGTTCTTAATTCTTATTGGTTTGACCCAGGGATTTAAACCACTGACCTTCCACTCTCAGGGTAGAGGTTTTATCTACAGAAGCAGTTGCCAACAGTAAATATTATGTAATGTGTAAATGCTGCTTGACACATGTGTGTACCCACACAAACAAATAATGCTCCCCAGGTCACAACAAGACCAAACCTATCTGCTTCTGTGACTGGGGACAACCTGTATTATCCATTCATGAACAGGCCGCAGATCACCGACTGTGACAACTCCGCACCGGCCAGGAAACATTCTACTGTCACTTGATCTACCATTGTGTTAAACACTAGACCCTGCACAGGATATTTCATTTTTTCCTTTGAATTATATCTACAACAAGGATGTCATTGTGCGTAGGACTTTTTAATGCCTATTAGATGCTGGGATCAGTAACACTGTGGGATTTGTTGGAACACCTGCTGTTTGTACTTGTCACTTCCTAATGTTTGACATTATAAACATATCTGTTGAAAAAAACAAAACTATTTAGCACATATGAACTCATGCCAAAATAGATGGTGGAGGCGTACTTCTCTAAATCAATAATCAAGTTAAATATCGAGAGGACATTGAATTTAATCCGACAACCTGCCAGCTAGATTCAAGCAGTGAATACAAGTGAATAAATCACAAATATGTATCTGGGGATGTGCATTTAGTGGTCACCAGAACCAAATATTAACAAATATTTACAATTTTTAAAGGGAGTCACAGTGTGTTTTACTTGAACCCTTATTTTCTTTTTTAAAGTGAGATATGCAATTATGGAATATGTATTAGCCTTGCAGTAGCACAAGTGAAGTCATGTTAGTTTGCCAAGTCCACACATGGTACTGTCCACTATAAACTATTACATACCAAATCTGAGTGTCATGAGATAACTGGTTATTGCTGCAACAAATTAACACTGTCAACATGGGCATTCCATATTGTGCATCAATCACTTAACTACAATATTGTATTCGTGAATAATTATTCGTATTCGTTACCCAATATTCATGATACATATCATATTCGCCACATAGTGTATTCGTTGCAGCCCTAGTACATACCCTTCATCAACCCGGTACCCCATACCAACTGTAGCTCACCACATCAACTCAGGACCCCTGTATGAATATGAAACCCTTACATCAACCAGACAATCACAAAACCCTTCAAGGCAAACACATCAAACCCGCCCCCATATCAACCAGTGACTCACAAATCAATCTAGTTCAACTGCTTGCATGACTGTTTGAATCAATCATAATAAACCAGTGCTTGATAACATGAGCACAATTCAAAGCAGACAACACAATCAACTAGATCTCTCTTGTAGCCACTAGATCACCATCAAGTGACTTTTACAACAAGTACTTGACAGACGAACCCAATCCTGACCATTCAGACAACAAGATGGGTTACTGGGAACCTAGTATGGAATATCCCTGTTTATCATATAATGGAGGGTTTATCAGTGCAGTAAAGCAATCTGATAAACTTGGTATCCAAATCTGATAAATATGCAAATTAGGTCAATACACTAACTACTTTCAGAAAACTCCACACATGCCATGCATATCCTTAAACGTTAACATTTCATTGATGATGTTGCAAGTCTACAGGGGTTTTCTATTGCGCCATGAACGACCTTCACCTTGATCTACCGCTAAGTATTCTTATGCAAATGCTCGATTCTCTTCATATAAATTCATGTACGATTTGGTGCTTTGTTTTTAGAGTAATCTTAAGAATAACATTAGATGATAAAGAGATTATTAACCTTGTTTGTTTCCGAATCATAAATATCATATATTAGGAATAAAGAATGTATTATGTGTAAGCATACAAGGTTAATAATCTTTATAGAGTGAGTGAGTGAGTGAGTGAGTGAGTGAGAGTGGAGTTTTACACTACTTTTAGCAATATTCTAGCAATAAAAACACAAGGGACACCAGAAATGGGCTTCACATTTTTACCTATATGGGAAAACAAACCCATGTGTTCGCAGTGAGACATACATGAAATTCTGATGATATTGTTATGCTCTATAATCATCACAGGGGATTCAGACAGAATTATAATTTAACTTTATAATGCAATACATTATTAAAATCTGTATATATTCATATATTCAGAATAAATCATTGAGCTTGCTGAAAGCTACTGTGAAGAGTTATGTCATGGTATTTCAATTTTGGGAGTGGGGATTGAGGGGTCGTGGTGGAGATGGCGTAAAGGGATGGATGCCCACATGTTTTCCACTCCGCCCACAAGCTGTGATCTTATGCTGATCAAGGCAAACCAGGACACAAAATATCCAGAATGACAAGGAAGGAAATATCCCCCATATAATGCAAGAAGTTGTCACTAACCTTACAGCCTGTTATGAAACTAAACATTAACCTTGAAATGTGGCCAATCAACCATCATCACCAATGATGAACCCACAATCAATTTTGAAGCCCAAAGTAAAAGTGAAAGCAGGTTCAAATAAACAAGAAGACAAAGTCATCAATATCCCCCGCAATGGCAAAATACTCTTCATGAATATGTCCACGAGTTATGATTATGTCAAATGTTTTGGTGTGTATATAGAAAAGTGGAAGGAGAGTATTGAAAGGTTTTAAAACTTCTGCTCCTGAAAGGAGCACAACCACCAATTTCAATCTAAGTCAAACTTGTTGCCATGGAAACGCCAAAAATATTTTATTCAGAATACCAAAACTACCAAAAGGCACCAGTACACCACCAGATCTATCCATGTGCCAAGTTTGGTGAAGAAATATTGAATGGTTTTAAAGTTCTGCTCCAGAAAAGACAAATGTGCACGGACGGAGTCCATTTTAATACCCCCCAAAACGCGTTGCGGGGGATAATAATTGTATACTGTAAATTCCCTTTCATATGCATGTTTAAAAGGACAAAGCATGTTTGGTGAATGTGTTTTTGTTGTTGTTTAACTTGTTGGTCAAGGATGGTTGAAAGCAACATTGCTGGAGACACACAACAAACGGGCATCCACTGAAACATATTCTCACATGGTCATGGGGCACTGGGGAACTTTCCTCACCTGTGTTTCTACCTTGCCATTCTACCTGGGACCTCTACACGTTTAACAAACACAGAGACTTATTCTACCTGGAAACTCCCAACTTTCTATTTTACCTAGGACCTCTACACGTTTAACAAACACAGAGACTTACTCTACCTGGAATCTCCCAACTTTCTATTTTACCTGCGAGCTCTACACGATCAACAAACAGGGAGACTTATTCTACCTGGAATCTCCCACCTTTCCATTTTACCTGGGAGATCTACACGTTCCACAAACACATGAACAGAGACTCGTTCTACCTGGAATCTCCCACCTTTCCATTTTACCTGCGAGCTCTACACGTTCCACAAACACATCAACAGAGACACTTATTCTACCTGGAATCTCTCACCTTTCCATTTTACCTGGGAGATCTACACGTTCCACAAACGCATCAACAGAGTCACTTATTCTACCTGGAATCTCTCACTTTTCCATTTTACCTGGGAGATCTCTACGTTCCACAAACACATGAACAGAGACTTATTCTACCTGGAATCTCCCACCTTTCCATTTTACCTGGGAGATCTACACGTTCCACAAACACATCAACAGAGACACTTATTCTACCTGGAATCTCCCACCTTTCCATTTTACCTGGGAGATCTACACGTTCCACAAACACATGAACAGAGACTTATTCTACCTGGAATCTCCCACCTTTCCATTTTACCTGGGAGATCTACACGTTCCACAAACACATCAACAGAGACACTTATTCTACCTGGAATCTCTCACCTTTCCATTTTACATGGGAGATCTACACGTTCCACAAACACATCAACAGAGACACTTATTCTACCTGGAATCTCTCAGTGTCTCACCTTTCCATTTTACCTGGGAGATCTACACGTTCCACAAACACATCAACAGAGACACTTATTCTACCTGGAATCTCTCACCTTTCCATTTTACCTGGGAGATCTACACGTTCCACAAACACATCAACAGAGACACTTATTCTACCTGGAATCTCACACCTTTCCATTTTACCTGGGAGATCTACGTTCAACAAACACATCAACAGAGACACTTATTCTAACTGGAATCTCACACCTTTCCATTTTACCTGGGAGATCTACACGTTCCACAAACACATCAACAGAGACACTTATTCTACCTGGAATCTCTCACCTTTCCATTTTACATGGGAGATCTACACGTTCCACAAACACATCAACAGAGACACTTATTCTACCTGGAATCTCTCAGTGTCTCACCTTTCCATTTTACCTGGGAGATCTACACGTTCCACAAACACATCAACAGAGACACTTATTCTACCTGGAATCTCTCACCTTTCCATTTTACCTGGGAGATCTACACGTTCAACAAACACATCAACAGAGACACTTATTCTACCTGGAATCTCACACCTTTCCATTTTACCTGGGAGATCTACACGTTCAACAAACACATCAACAGAGACACTTATTCTACCTGGAATCTCCCACCTTTCACTGAGACCTACTTCACCTGTAATATCACATGCAAATAAACAGGAAGGAAGCAAGAGATACTCACCTGTCACCTATTGCATCTAGACTAGGGAGGAAGTGTTTTAAAATCTTGGGTATCTGGGACAAATAAGTCTGTTCCTTCAGCTGAATCTGCTCATCCCGTAGGTGTTTTACATGGTTGCGAAACAACTTCTTTGCCTTATCTGTACCAAAGAGGTCAACATAATGTCCAAAATCAGGCTCATTCACAAATTTCTTCCGACACGCCAGCCAACTTAGCACTGGATCTGTAACATGCAATTTGAGCAAGTTCTGATAGGCTTTGTTTGCAACCCCGAGGATTTCTTGCCGAGCTTTCAATGCTTCATTGAAAGGAATCACTTTGGCTCGAGCTTTAGTCTTGTCAATGAGGTGGGCTAGAGTCATGAAAGCAAGCTCTGTATTCACATTGTCATGTGCGGATGTTTCAACCAATGGAAAGCATCCTTTGAACTCCCGTCTGTTGAGTAATTTCTCTACTTTTTCCACAAAAAGTTCCTCTGCATCATCATGTTTTGTGGTTGCAAGAACCAGCGGTTTCTTGGCTTTGAGAACAGCGCTCAGCAACGCTGCCACGAATTCCACTTGCTTGTCAACTGGCCGCTGGGGGGCCTGACTGACGTCAAAACAGCAGATGAAGCCGTCAATGGTTAACTTTCCTTCTGGCATCAGCTTCTGTTCATAGTCTGATTCCATACCTACAATACACAAACAGGGAAGGAATTATGACATGCTCAAAGAGAATTTTCTTGAAAGCTGCAAATATTTAGAACATAGTTTTACAAAAGTTTGTGAGGTCACAATACATCCACAGGGACACGCTGGACTGACAGTTGCCTCATGGATGAAGGCAATTGAAAAGGTGGTTGTGACTGCTATTTTGCAAGTGGACGAAGAATGACAACTCCTGTCTTTGGAGAAGTGAGTGAATGATAAATATTGGAGTCAGCATTATTACTGCAAGCAGGTGATCAAATCTGGATCAGGCAAACCAACGACATCAACCATCACCCAATCTCCACCAAGACACTGCCCGACCACCTGCAAGCAATAGGGTGCAGGCTTGCAAAAGTGCTATGTCACAATGGACCTATTGGAATGCAACAGACTGGGATACTGTAAACACAGGGGTCTTACTTTCCTTTTATCTCATTAGGCCACTTATAAATTATATTCTATAGTTCATCAAGCACAGAACTCAAACAGAAATTTTTCAGGAGCAATAAATAGATCAGAATCTCCATCTTAAAGTTAATGTTCCCTCCTCAGCGAGTATTTCTGAACATGACGTTACATGAAATTGCCTTCAGTACTGGTGACATGAAGTGTGCTGAGACAGACTCCATTTTATCAGTACTGTTGACAATCTTGAGCTGATTGGTTAGTTATGACATGAATTTAGCCATTATGTTTCATAAATCCTTGTTTTTTCTTGTACATATGAGCTGTGTCAGCGCTTTGAGCATTGCCCCTGTGTGGTGGAAATCAGCGCTATATAAATAATTATTAAGATAGACCCCAGTCTTTCAGTACTGATGACTTTCATAAGCTAATCTGCTACAGTAACGAATCTGCAAAAGATTGCCCCTCTGTTTTTGTTTAGTTTGTTGTTTTATGCAACACTCAGCAGTATTCAAGCAACATGGCTGCGATCTGTAAATAATCAATCAGGACGAGACAATCCAGTGATCAACAGCATGAGCAACATTCTAAGTAATTGGGATACAAGTACTGACATGACTTGTTATAGTCATGAGACACTTAACACTGATGACACAATACGGCTTTAACATGACACAGGAACAATACATGTTTGATGCAAGTTTGGCTGTGTGGCATTATCAAGTTTTATTCAAACTGTCCTAACCCTATTTTTACTACTATTTCTCAACTACTGACAGAGGTAATCAGGTATGTCATCTAATTTAGATATACACTTGATATATTACAAATTCATCTTTGTGTAATACGGAAAAAAACCCAATAACCCCTATCAGTAGTTAATTTCAATGAGTCTGTACTGAAAGTCCAGAAGGAAGACCTCAAGAAGAAACACTCCTACGCCAGTTGTGTAAACTTGTTCCCTGCCAGCCCTGGAAAAGGTTACTAGTCCTTACAGTATAAAATTTTCAAATGTTTACCAACAAGGACTACAAAGGTTAGAGCATTTGTAAAGAACTTACATTGCTATACGGGCAAGTAGAATTATACTAAATTAGCCTGGGATAATTTCGACAGGCCTCGGACCTACACAAAAGCGCTAATTTCAATCCTGTGTACTAACTCTTCAAAATACACCAAATGAATTATAACAGAAAGAGTTTCAATAACAACTTGTTTCAGTTTGAAACCCTGAGTTGAACCGAGCTCTTAACCTGCTCAATCCCCAAATAACCTTGATGTCATTTCTTATTTATACAGTACACCCATTCAACCACACGATTAAGTTTCTATGTCAGCGAAAAAGATTTTACACACTATTTCTGACAAAGACCAAAATCTTGACACAGAAATATCCTAACTGAAGCTGCAACCTCTATCAATAGGACCAACTATCCACAATAAATGCTTCTGTTTGCTGTGTGGCGTTAACAAATACAACCAAGGGCTTTTCTGTTATGTAACACTGTGTATGTTTCAACTTTCTGTGTACATAGGTGGCCACATCGCAGTTGTGTTATTTGTCTGTCGATTAAGGTACAATATTCAAATTTGAAGAGCCTGAAGAGTTTTATCAGTCACACACCAACAGGTACAGACGGAGCAAGTTGCGATTGTCAACACATTGAACATTACACTTATACTCACCAAGTTGGTCCTTACAAATGTACATCAGTTTCTCCGCAGACTGCACTTTGGTTTGAACACATCTTTTGGTGTAAGGTTCCGTCCTCCCTGTTTTGAATGGTTGAAACGACACATCATCTATAAACTCAGTCTGTTCCACCACATTGAAAGTAAAATTGTTCCCTTCATCCGTTTTGGTGACTTCGCCCCAGTACAGGAAGTGGTCGTTGTTGATGACCCGTCCAGCGAAGTCACTCTGCGACAACACAGAGATGTGTTCTGTGTGGTACTTGTCAGCCACCTGGTACAGGAATCGATTGCAAAGACAGGATTTGCCCACACCATATTGCCCCTTCTCCCGTTCAGTTCCAGATAATCCGATCACGCCGATGTTAAAAGTGCGTCCCTCTGCCTTTTTCGCCATGACCACTGCGTGACGTCGTCAACCAAAAGGCATTGAATCCACCATTATCCACATATCAGCCATTTGCGTATAATCGTTGACTGCATCGTAGAGCCATTATTGCACTGGACATAAAACATAACAACATAATCCTCGATGGGAGGGAAAACAAACACAAATCCTCAACAAAGGAGTCCTAATTCACTACAAATTGCACATGAATGTTGAATCTGTAAATATTCTCAAAATGTCATCTGTGAAAATATTTCAAGGAATCCTAAACGTTCCAGCTTGCATGTTAGGAGGAGAGAACGTGTTGGCGAAGCTGTTATTACAACACAAGGATTAGCATCAGTGGAGTCACATCTCGGTAACAAACTTCTCTGTCATTTCCTTCACCGGGTTGCTCGGTGCAAGGTCATGACCTGAAGGTCGCCCACCACATGCGACAGCAACATCCATGTGCTAGCACCTGCAAACAGAGAGAGAATCTGATGAATGTCAAGATAAAATAACCCACTGGAATGGAATTGGGCAGAAATGTCGTCTGCTCCCTGTTGAAATTCTCTTTCAAAGAATGAAATTGGAACACAATGAACACTCCTGCTCCGGAAACATGAGGAGAATTTACTAAATACAAACAGTACCTTTCACTTGAGATTCAAATCTCAGCTGTAAAATAGTCGTAGTAGTGACTACAGTCATGAAGGAGTATACATAAAAAAGGCTGCCCACTGATAGCATCAAGAAAGTAGAATTATACCTACAATTAACCCTCAATGGATAAGTGGTATAATGAATGGTTAAGCCACTTTGGTTGTATGAATATGACTTTGAAAATGTTATCATAATTTTCAATAATCTCAACTCAAATAGCTGTTAAGTATCTTAAACAATTTTTCTAAAATGTTCAAGTGAGATTATCAATGAAAACACGAACTGACATCAGCAGTGAAATCTGAACATGCTTCTCATGCTTTTCACTTTCATAATTAGGTTTAAAATGTTCGGACAATTTACTTCCCGAGGTGGGGACATGGAGTTTCTGATGGACTGTTTTCTTCCAGTGAGTGAGTGAACTATTTCAACGATGTCTCGGATGCCTTTTAAATGTGTTCAGACAGTGCATAGACGTATGAGTAATGTTTCACGACACACAACCAATGGCCACACACTTCAAAGACACCAATTTTCTGTTACACATACCATGGAATCTCCAGGATTTTAAAAAGGAATAAATTTTGATTAATTTAGAAATTTGAAGAAAAGTAGCAAATTCCTACTTGTGTACAATACCATGTCTAAAACAATGAACGATAGTCTAAGTTTTTTTCAGTGATGTTCCTATTATTGATAGGGTCTGTACATTCAAACACGACAGTTGGAGCCACAAATGATCCCAGAATACCCTATAAATCCCACCACATAACTTTGTGTCTTTGAATGGCATTTAGAAGTACAGTTAAGGAAGAGAGTTATTTTGTGGATGGCAACATCGTTCTTATGAGGAACACAACGTATATCCTTACTCCTTCATCAGGTGAAAGGGTGTGAGGGGAAAACACCAAAATATCCATTTTAAATTGCATCAATCTGGGAGTTGAACCCAGGACCTGGGTGTAACAAGCAAACATCTAAACCACTAGGCTCCCTAACAGCTACATGACTTTCCTTCTTGATTAGGATCGCTGTATACACACACAGACATGATGATAGTCTAAGTTTTTCAGTGATGTTCCTATTATTGATAGGGTCTGTACATTCAAACACGACAGTAGGAGCCACAAATGATCCCAGAATCCCCTATAAATCCCACCACTGATTAGGTCACAGTTGCCCTACCTGTTAGACATGTTAGCTGCAGGAGCCAGGCAGCTCTTACTGCACCTCAACATAGACTACACCAGCAGTGAGGAAACCTAAACCTACGCTATGTTTTTCACGGCTTCCATGCATCATAGGACCTGAAATTCCTAACTCTTCTTACGTTATTATTCAGGCATTTAATCTCCTGTGAGTCAAACACCACCTCTCATATTCAGCCTGACGCTGGAGTACTGCAAGGTGCCCCCCTCTCACACACCCTCTCCCATCTGATGGAATACTTCAACTCACCCCCATCTTCCACCTGCCTGACTGGGTCAGTAGGTACACACACAATCCAGGGTCGCAGTATATACAATTACAACCGCCACAATACACCGGCCTCACATGATGTCACATGATGTCCCATCCTTTGTCTATAATCGTCCAAATACAACTCACTTGTATCAATACCTGTGATGACAAAGCTTTTTTGGGGGTCTTTACTGATTTTTTGGTTCATTTGAGATTATAATGTTTCAAATTAGGAAAAGGTAATTGATATAAAAATAACAGATGTTGTAAAATATAGACAATGAAATTATATAGAAGAGAGTGTGTGTGTAGAGTGATGGAATGAGTAGGTGAACGAATGATGGATCACATTAATGATGGCATTTAAACCATGCCTGTCAGCTGCAATGTCACAGTGAAAAACCATTGCACGCCCAGTAGAAAAAAATTGCAACAATACACACCAGGGGTGGAAATAACTTTAAAATTGCTAGTGTACTTCGGTACAGTGGCACATGTAAAATCACTTGCCCTGATAACTTTTCCACTATACTGGCCGTTTTCTTGTTGATTTTTTAAACAAACAACATAATTAACGTTGGAAAGTCAACTGGACACCGGTACAGTGTGATGTACAAATTTGCTTGCCCAACAGAAAAAAACACTGGACTCGGACATCGGGCAATGGGTTATTTCCACCTCTGCACACGCTTGTGAAAAACTGGAAAAGTAGGCAAGTATTTTATAAAGAACTTTCAACACTGAAGGATCATGAATAGTTTAGAAAATATTTTTATCAAATTGTGTCATCTTTATTATGAGGAACATAACGTTTCGGAGTATATCCTTACTCCTTCATCAGGTGAAGGGGTGTGAGGGGAAAACACCAAAAATATCCATTTTAAATTGCATCAATCTGGGAGTTGAACCCAGGTCCTGGAAGTAACAAGCAAACATCTAAACCACTAGGCTTCCTAACAGCTACATGACTTTCCTTCTTGATTAGGATCGCTGTATACACACACAGACATGATGATATGGCACAGCGAGGTGGCGAATATTGTTGACCTAGGGTAAGTCAGCTGTGCATGTACATTACATCAAGCTCAAATATAGCAACACTGTCGTTATCTCCCACATCTACTCCTCCAGACACGATAGACAGGGCATTACATACCTAGTCATTCAGACATATACATGTGATACACAGCGTGTTATAGGTAATATACCATGTCAATAGATATAGTAACACTGTATCTCCTATACCTGGTCATCTAAACATATGATATTTACACATGATAGACAGGTCATTACAGTAATATATATCATGTCAATAGATGAAGCATCTGATCATTTACACCCAGTCATCCAGACATACATTCATGTGATAGACTAGAATGTGGTATTATGGGTGACAGATCATGTTACAGACATGGCAACACTGTAGTAGATCGACAATAATACACACACAATGATATGGTATACAAAGCATAACATATCCAACATATCATGCCAGTAGACTGGTCATTTGTCTTGATTGCTAGAAGAAAATCCAGAAAGCTTGTAAATGGGAGATTAATGGACATGAGTGTATGTATCCAAAAGAAAATGTTTAATTGTGTATATTGATTACCTTGTGTATAAGATGTATTCAAAAAGAAGAAATCAGATACTCTGGACTATACAATGTTCCTGCAGTGTCTTCTCCCCATGCATACACAAACATTACACAATTTGCTAATTACTTTCATTTCGACCTATCCCATCCTCATCAAACACACTACTGATCTCCAGCTAACATCCAGAAACAGAAACAAACCCAAAGAACAGGAAACATTGACAGTGTTGCCTGCTGTTTGATATGCTTTCATTGTCTGTGTATTATATGATATAATTAGATTGTGCTGGGTTAGTGAAAAGTTCTGAGGCAACACAACCCTACCCAGCTGAACATAAAATTTCAAAGCCAGAGATGAATCCTGGCTGAATGGCAGGCAAGGCACCAACAAGTATAAACTTTTAAAGTATACTGAGAGAAAGAAATAGAGGATCACAGGAAACTTCAAGCGTTCCCTTAATATTTCCCTGCTTTGAATAGCGCTGTGTGAGGAAATCTGAGAATAAATAAAGGAACACTGTCATGAAGTGGTGTTCCTTTTTGCTTCCTTCAGTATATTTTGGAATGACAGCCAGGGGGGTTGAAGCACCTACCTTCCACTCCTATAGCAGACAATCTATCCATAGAATGACAGAGGCAGTCCTTACTGATAAAGTAGTCTGGTGAATTCAGTCAGCAATCTTATCATGCATATCACAGGTGGGTCAATTTTTTCCTTATCAATGTTTTCCTTATAGAGTTCCATTGAAGTGTAACCTACAACTAACAGTCTGCAGCTTTAGTCAATAGTATGGGCTGAAGCCCTGTCTCATAAAATCCTCTTTGGTGTGAAGCTGATAAATATTAGGTGAGGTGAAATGGTTTAACGTCACACTTAAGAATGTTTCGCGCATATGACGACGTGCATGCATGTGAATGTGTGGCTGCTTGTACTAGCCCAGACTGAAGCTGGACCAGTCCTTGTTGTACCCCTAAATGCCGGGCGCCAGTCAGGGACCAACAAGTACCATATTTTAACGTCTTTTGGTATGACGCTTCGGGGTCGAACTCGCGTCCTTCCACTCTCCGCGCGGACACTGAGAAATATAAGTCCATACAATACTAGAATCAACTGAAAACAGTGCTTATAGCTAATTTCACTGCCTCAAATGTTTTTGGCACAAGCTGAGTGAGTGAATGAGTGAGTTTAGTTTTTCACCGCACTCAGCAATATTCCAGCTATATGGCGGCGGTCTGTAAATAATCGAGTCTGGACCAGACAATCCAGTGATCAACAGCATGAGCATCGATCTGCGCAATTGGGAACCGATGACATGTGTCAACCAAGTCAGCGAGCTTGACCACCCGATCCCGTTAGTCGCCTCTTACGACAAGCATAGTCGCCGTTTGTGGCAAGCATGGGTTGCTGAAGGCCTATTCTACCCCGGATCTTCACAGGGCGACACAAGCTGAACTAATACTTAGCTGGGTTAGGTTAGCAACTTTCCTGAGATATGCACATCATTTTTCTTTCAGGGACATCTGTGAATACATGTCCTTTCTTAACTCTTCACTCTATCAAAACCGTTTGTTATCATAAAAAGACAGATAATGACATTTTAACAGCAAGATGTTCCCCTTTTTTAACGCCCCGCTCAAACATTAATTCTTTGAGACATTCCCTGTAAACCTGCTTTATGGAGACCCTCCAGACAGGGTGTTGATTTTCCTTCCCTACATTCATAGGCTTAGGTTGATTTTCAAATCAATATTTTCAG